ATTTCAATGGACATAATCGTTGACGCGTAAACCACTGGGTTTCATCCCTTCTCTGTTTTTTTGTGGTCTCTTTAAAATTTCTTATTTCTCAAAAATATAACTTGACAATCTTTTTACCCTGCTCTCGGGCTATTTCCCAATCCCGATAACGCATAGGGATTTTAGTGCCTAATGCTAATTGCGGGCTCCGAGTCCCTGGGGTTGTATGTAGATACGTGTGTGCCTATTGCACAGGTGCATCGGCAGACCCTCTATTATCTCTAATTTGAACCGGATAACAGCAGCAGGTGGTAAGGTATATCGTAGGACACGGTATATTATATGGAAAATAAATATTCAAACGATTAGACACCCAGAGAGAGATAGAGAGAAGAGAAAGATACATACGTTGCGTCATACTTATAAATGTCCTATATATATGAAGTTATATATATATATATGAAGTTATATATATATATATATATATACTCTGTTGACAATTGTTAATAATCGTCAGATCAAGAACAGCAAGTTTTTTCCACCACACTCGTCTATCGTTACTACGGTACACAGCCCGAAGGGATGCTGCGAGGATGAACGTCCGCTCGTTGGCACGTCTTCGGCTCTCACGAGGCAAAAAGATCTAACGAGTAAAGATGCCAGAACGAAGAGTGGATCGGACGTTTGAGAAATAAGGGAAAGCACTTCCTTCCGTCAGAAATGTATTATTGATAAAGACGCGGTGCTCTCATCTCATCCTTTATAGTCTCCTCTCTTCCGATCTCCGGCACCTCTCCGCATATCCTCCTCTCCTCTTCGGCTGAGCTAGGAGCGACGGGACTAGCCTCCCCACCTCCACACCCACCGCCGATACGCCCAAGTTTCCTCGCGACGTAATCCAAACAAGTTTATCTAACGTGTCCATTACTCACTCCACGAAATTCTCGGCCGCCCGAGGTTCGTTACGCAATTACCACTATCGTACCTCGCATTTGCCATAGGAGCCTAATTAATATCTCGAAAAGACATTGCAAGCTGGCTGTGTCATAAAGGAGGCGAAGGACTATCTCATGGGGAGTATACATTCTAAGAGGATATACACAGTTTGGTACAGGATATCCTTTTACCCCGCGAGAATCTCCATCTTGTTTTATTTTACGCACAGTTACGTTAATAGCAATGTAGTTAAGGGCCAGCCGCAAATGACTCTTTTCAACTGGTAATTGAATCTCCCGCGCTAACCGAGAGGAAAGCAAAAGCGTCGACGAAAACCGATGCGTAAAGGAGCCTGATAAATCGTTAGGATCTTAGCTGCCAACGAGACCGAGGATAATCTTTGTTAAACGTAGGAAGAAAGCAATTTAATATGCTGATTGCTCTCGTACGTTTTACGGTCGGTAATTCAGATTTCTACCTTGTAAGAGAAAAGACGTCTTTTCCTTCCCTTGTATACATCTGTACGATAATAACCTAACCTAGAATCCCTGAGAACTCTCGTTATATCATTTTACGTTTCATTCCTCGCGTATCCATTTTGTATACTATTTTCGAGGGTGCAACAAACCCCCCCTTATACGATTCACGTTATTTCGAGAGGATATATATATGTATCTCAGAGCAAAGGGGGACACTTACCTTTTGTGTGGGGCGGTGCGCACAGCGCCAGCAGGATGATCAGCAGTTTCATGGCAGGCACTTTTGGCACCGACGATTCCGACATGTTTATTACGTGTTTCGGACGATAATTCCACTCTCGCAGTCTCTTATGAAAACATCGGCGAGCACTCGTGCCTCTTAACGTCATTCGCATGACATCGATGTCACTGACCACGAATTGGTTTCAACGATCTTCAACGGACGACGCGGTCGTTTAAATACGTGGGCGAACGAGCGCGACGCGCGGCAACGTTAATTTACGATGTGGATATTCGATGTATGCTTATTTGGCTGAGGACTTTGGCTAATGAGCGAGAGTTAACGAGCGCGGACTCTTCTCGGGTTTTCTTTGTGTCGGGAGTAGGAGTCGGTTCTCTATTTTCTTTTTTCAATTCAAAAAGACCGTTTACGGGCACGGGAGTCTCGCTCGTAAGTCGAGAACCTAATGAATTCTTTACGGGGCGTTGTTTTGAGTAAATAAATATACGAGATTAAACGAGAAAACACTGTAACGCAGGTAGCATTTACTTTCGACGAGAAACTCGATTTTCTTGATTCACTTCTTAGGGTTCTACACGGAAACCAGACGAACCGGTATCTCGTGGGAATTGCGATACTTTGTCGCGACGTTAGACAGAATCGTATTGGCACGAGCACGTGAAAAGTATCGCTGAGTGAAAAAAAAGAAGAAAAAAGAAATCAAAAGAAATTTATAACACGAATGATGCCTCTTGGTGCAACGATGTCAAAGACGTCGGTACGGTTTTATTAATTTTTCTCGACACGTCACTTAGAGATCCTAACCTGAGAGTGGAATGATTGATTTTCAAATTTCGCGGCTATCTCGATCATTGAAACTTGTCGAGCACGGAAGGAATAGCTTGAGCCTTTGTCATCCAATGCAGTTATTACGAGTAGAGTTTAAAGTATCCGTGTCTAAGCTGTCAGAGGCTAAAACAAGAGCACGAAACTCAAAGTGCTGTCTGACAAACGTTATCGTCGACAGTGTCGCACCAACCAAGTTTTCCCTAAAGTCTATAAAGTTCAACAGAATTTCCCGTCCGAATATCTCACAGTCACCGCACTTTTCCTCCTTAACTATCCGTCGGAAGATTTTACGAAAAACCGCACTGTACACACTCGCGCACTGACAACACGTACCCGCGAAAACGCCCAAGTTACACTGTACAACATAGAACACGGTTGGCCTCCCCCATATGCAACTTGCGTCAAGCTCACAAGAGAAGCCGGGTTAACTTAATACTATGCCGAGTTCATTAGCACTCGCAATATCGCGTGTCACACCTTGATTAACTACGAGAGGGATTTCGTTAAGTATCGCACTCTGCGTACCGATGGAGAGAGTCACTCAGCACTGATAACTCGTTTAACCCAAAAGTCCCGGATAAGCGCTACAACCTTTCGACACGATAGCGCACATGAAAAACGTTCGTATACATATTTGTAATTTCTAATTGGCGCCCTTTGCCCACGCCAATGAACACGCTCCAGATTATCAGCCAGGAATGTCAGTTACAGACACGACGTCACTACCGATAAATCCTGATGCACGAAATAACTCGATGACACTTTCCTGGGGTTGGGTAAACGCGAAAATGAACGCACCCTCCACCGCCGTATCCTCGGTCTGTGTTTTACGAGCTTTAGGCGTATCCGTCGGCTACGGCAGCCAGTTTTCCTTTTTCTTTTCTAGCTCCTGTCCTTCTCTCTCTCTCTCTCTCTCTGGCGAGTGTCGCGTTTTACCGATCACGAGAGACGTACGTCGATAACGATCGCTACTAACTCTCGTCGGGGCGATTCGAGCCGCAGACCACTTGCAACCTCGTTCGGCAAAGGAATGAACGCGTGTGCGCCCCACGGCTCTGGAATAAGAGACACGAGAGAGGGAAAGAGGCCTCTGCCCCCGCAGAGATCGGCGGAGAGTGCCGAGCGCGGCCGAACTTTCACGAGTGAGCGCAGCCCAGCGTCACAAGCCCACCAACCCCCAGGACCAGCAGCAGCAGCAGTAGCAGCAGTGGGTAGGTGGAAACGTTGCTGGTTGCTGCTAGCGGTGCTGGCTGCTGACGACTCTCCATACCGCCATCGTTCTTCGCTACTCCGGCCTATGGCATTGCCTACTACCCTCGCCAGGGAGATACCCGGCCTAATGATATCGCTATATCCCACCTCGTACGACGTAAACACGCGCCATATCCGACGACTACGTATTGCCCTCGTCCTTTCGTGAGCTCCTCCGGCTGTCCCTCTTTATCTATCTTTCCCAGCTAGTATCTATATCCTCTATATCGCAACCTTCCACGGCTGTTCTCTGTCTCTTTATATACTGAAAAATTGCAGAACCACGCACGACCCTCGTAGAACATTTGAATCTTTCTGTCTTTCCCGCCCTTGCTCTATCTCACTGCCCTCTATCTCTGTCTCTCTCCCGCTCCCGTATTATCTACTCGTCTCGCTGCTTTTAAACCAACGACACGATACAGGGAGGGCCTCCCCATTTTTGCGTAGCTGTATGTACGTTATACCTTACGACGAAAAGGAATATCATGGCGAGTATGTTCTCGCGCGTAATTGGTTTTGGGTCGAGTTATGTCGAGTGAAAATTAATAAGCGTATTTGAATTTTAATGGGGCTACGGATCGTGGGATCCTCTTCTACGCGCGCCTGGAGAACCGGATGGCCCTAAGCGATACCAGCGCCAAGAAATTTATTCTTCGGCTATCGCAATTCTACGAGTAACGGTGTCCTTTTTCTGCGAGGTACAATATTTTTCACAAGTAGCATTATTATGTTTCGTTTCAATGAATCGTAGTCGGTCGTTGAGAAAGACTCGGAATATTGGAGCAACTTGGGCCTTTCAGCCTACGTATGTCGCGTTTGCTTTTGTCTACGTCTGGGCACGTAATTAGGTTCACTCGTCGAGCGTCGCGCTACGTTCCCAATTGGCATTATCAGTAGGGCTGTTTAATTATAACAGCGCGAATTCGCATCATAATTAATTAAGCTCGCCATGCTGTGGCATTAATCAACGCATTGCTGATTCATCGTGTAAACGCTAATTCGAATACGGAATCGTGATAAAATATTGCTACTGTGTACATACAATAGCTGAATGGGGGCGACCAAAGTTTGGATGCTTCCAAGCATTACCACTGTAAGAGATTCGCAAGTTCTAAACAGTCACGCATCTTAATGAATTTAGGGTAGCACCAAGATATTCAATGGACTCCTTTAGTCTTTGACATTCGTGCCTAACGATTTTTATATATATTTTTATGTTTTGTAAGTCTGAAAATTTTGTAAAAATTTCGAAATTAAAAATTCTACATTTGTCAGTACTTATCATTTTTTTCTTTCCTTCTGGGTCACTGGTCTATGTACGTATCTACGGATGTTTGACTTGCGATAAATAACCACATTGCGAATAATAATTAAATGTTATCTGCAAACATTAAAGACTCTGTACCAAATATTACTGAACGAACGATGCTCAGCATGTAATTTTTTAGTAGATTGACTTGGTCTATGTTCCTTACTATAAAAAAAATTCATTTACTGTTTTCACGAAGCACATTGGATACAAATGCAAAACAGAGACTGAAATCCAATATGCTGGGTAGTGCAAAAATAAAAATTATGTCCTGCAGGAAAATGCATTCGTTACAGATCCACACTCGGAACGCTAATTTTATATGCATCTGTCGATACGTTACACACGGGAATTCTGCACCATCAATATGGAGTGCGGGTACAGGAATTATTTCAATTTTTATTTAAATTGTTTTTTTTTTCACAGAAAAATATATTTCCCCAAAAAAATCCACTACAACCTACAAGCAAAAATGAGTAACCAAAAATCGTGAAGTTTATTTGGCAAAGTTAGCAGCCACTCAACGCTTAATATTTAAAGCTAACTACTTATCCGGCTTTCTTGGTTACTCGTTCTATTTAAACGAATAACTTCAAGTATTCGCTATGCCAGTAACATTTTCATTAATGCAAATGATACACCGCCCATCCATGAAATTATTTTCACGTAGAATTAACGCTCGTTATTATTGTCCACACGCGGTATAGCTATACACGTCACATGTATCATTGGATGCGCATTTGTACCCTAACGCGTGACGCCATTATGTCTATCCGAGTGAAAAAAAAAAAAGAGACAAGCAGCGTTCTCAATAAGTTAAAGAAAAAAAAAATAATCAACTATTTCCAATAAATATCGATTTTGTATTTGCTATGCTTTATAGCATTTACAAGCTACTGCTGTTGCCACTGCGTTACCGCAGAACGGAAGCTTATTAACTCCCCCAGCTCCTTCCCCGACCCCACCCAACCAAACCATATTATATACTTATACAGAACGCTGTCGAGCACGAAAATTGTCGAAACAGAATTATGACTCTTCTCACTCTCTTTCAGTTACTCACTTTTCTCTTTCTCTTCTTCGCCTGTGCACTCTCCTGCTGCTAGATTCACCATCTTCGACTAAAAGAAGCTCACTTCACTTTGGCGGAAGTTGCGCCGGAAGCATTTTTCACTTGCACATTTTCACCGGCGTCTTCCTCGTCACTGAGAATCACTGGGGTCTGTCTGTCGCTTGCACGAGTTTAAGAGGTTTTTATGAACGTTGCGTTAAACAAAATCGTAACACCCCTTAAGGCGAATCTCTATAATTTAATGTTAATTGCTCATACGGTTTAATGTGTACGTTGTAAACGACAGGACGTGTCTTGGCTCTTCGTATAATCATTACACGTGACGTGTAAGGAAAAACTTCGTTAACGTATTTATACAAATTACACTGTATACATATAGAGTAACGTTATATAGTATATAGCGTAATGTAAAATGCATTTCAATAGGATTTAAGAAAAATGTATAAAAGTAAACGCTTATCCACTTCCTATAGTAGGTATGCAAAGAGAAACGATAACGAAGTCCGTCGACGCTGGCCCCATTTAAATAAGCTGAATAATTCGAAAAGAGCGAAAAGTCCCGCCGTCCTCCGCTAGATGGTGCGAAGAGAAAAGAACTAGACGAACGTAAGAAAAGTCTGTCCGCCGTAACGAAGTATCGTAACATCGTCTAATCTCTTCTTAACGGATACAAGACCATACTTTGTATACAAGTTACTTGAGATCCAGTGCCTTTTAAGTTACTCGAGTCCATTATAAGCATCGCTTGAGAGAAGGAAGTCAGTGTCAAAATTTAGCAGAATAATAGGATCTCAAACGTTAAAATCTCTGTTGTATTCACGAGCAGTGTAACGTAATACAGCAGCGACTGACATCCCTCAGGGCTGAACAGTACACGGAGGCTTGCGAATAGGTAATTAATAAGCTATTAGAGTTATATCGATTGATTGACGCCAGGTAGATATACTCATCGAACGGTGTACGGATTGGTTATCACTAGTTTCCCTCCTAGTCGATAATGCACAAATTAAACGTTCACAGAACATAATTCCGAGTCAGTCCGTAGCAATCAAGTGTATCCAACATGGCGGATACGTAACCGTCCGGTTTAAACGTCCCGGCAGATAGCTGTGACAGTTCTGACATCGGTTTGACTAGTTATTTAATTAGATTTTTCGACTAACGTAATATCCCTAAACTTTACTTGACAGGTTGCGTAACAGTAACCGGCTCAACTTCAAAACACTCTTAGAAACACAGTGTCGGTGTTCACGTGTCCTACAGGAAAGTGTGTTGATACAGACTTTTGGAAAATTCAAAAAAAAAAAATGCTTACGGCAAAAGGTTCTGACTTGAAGCAGCTGGCAAGAATCCATATTGGCACAGGGCGATTCTCAACAAAGAACTGTTTTCTTTTATGTACGTCCGTAAGTACATATGTACGTACGTGATGGTATATTCATCGACATATTTATACATACGTATACAGTAGAGCAAAGGTTAGCATGTGTTAGGTACGTGAAAGAATTTTCGACAAACGATATTTTACAGGTGAATCGGAAAGTGGGACTAAGGGAGGACTCTAACCTAAGAATACTACGAAGCTTCCAAACATCTACGTGCGATAAATTTTTCATTGGCATCTCGATGCTCCCACGAATATTCGGCAACTCGTCACAGGTGTATCCTGGTTGCATACAAGTTACGTTCCCGATAATGTTACCAGACTGCGTTACGCTTCACGCATCGCATATTACGGGATCAGTGAATGACTGTAGAATGCTGCACTGATCTCTTATGTACTAGAACGGTTTCTTGAAGTGTACGTGAAAACGGTGATCTACGACGTTTCCATTTTGTCCAGAAATGTACACTAGTCACTATATACGTATATACGTATATACGTATAATATATATATATATACTGACTAAGTGCACGTTTAGCCTACAGCAATTCCCCGTCTCTTTTTATATTATGCATTATGTATGTACAGAGACAACAGCGAGCAAGAAAAGACAATCGAGAAACAACGAACTGTGCTTTATCGGCGTAGTTTGCGAAACTCTGCTTGTCTTAATGGTTAGCAGCGTGACCGGCGTCGAGAGGCAGGGGCGTCGTCGTACAAATAATACTGTAGCCGAACGTGTGGCAATACCCTCCCGCCGAAGAGAGTCTTTGGAAGTTTATTCTTGAGTTTTCCACGAAGGATAGCGGAACTGTTTTACAACCAGCACGGATAGTGGAGCAGGTAATCATAGCTGTTATAATTTAAATAATCGCAATCCTTTGAAACTCTATACGTATACACAGGCCCCCTCGTGGATGCTGAATCGTCATAGAGGTAATCTGATCTGGATCGATCCGATGAACTACTGATAATCTCATTGTTGATCGTTGCTGCGTTCGTCAACTCATACGTCGTCCTCGTCGGCAGGAGAGACGATAATAGAATTCCCTCGTATAACGTGGAAAACGAAGCTGATCCTGGTGCGGATACGTCACTCTGGTACGATCTGAAATTCAAGTATATTTTAACATCAGATATATAACTTCTATCCCTTCTAGGTCTCAGGGTACTCTACGTGCAGAAACGTATAAGGATCATCCTCTAGGACATGACTAAGGAGTCTGACTAATGGACACCCTCGCCAGGAATAACTTTCAAGCAGATCGGGTTATCCTAGAGGAGATCTGTCTTCAATAAGATAAACAGTATCAACCTTGCCGGTTTCTGGTCTACGTGTCCCCTCCTGGGGATGTTCACCAAGTCCGACTGGATTTTAGCCAAGTTAGCTGATTGGAGGGCTATCCTGGTGTGCACATCCACTTCCGCCGGTAGATCTTCGACGTTCTCGACTATAGGTTTTTCTTTCAGCTGCTCCTGCTTCTGGTAGTGGTGTCGATCCTGGTCCTGGTCCTGATAGTAGTAATGGTGTCGGTGGTTGTGCTCCTGCTCGTAGCTGACGTCAGCACGATAACCATCATCGTCAGCTATATAGTTAACGATTCGAAGACGTTCTTCGGGTAAGGATACTTTGTATTGGCCACGAGTTGACGAACCGTGATTTTCACAGGGTTGCTCGATTTTTTCCAGACTATAGGCGTGACTACTCTTTTGACGGCCATTTTCAACCTTCTTGGAAACCTGATGATAACGAAATCCATTTGATATCCCATTTCCACAAGACTCGGATATCCAATTCCCGAAGAGGCATCCGATACAAGCCAAAGGTGGATGTAATTAAGTTTTGATTACATCAGACATTGGATTATTGACAAAGAACCAATGTTACTGTTTTAGGAACGGTGAGGATTTTTGAGTTTTAACATTTCATGCTTCGTTTCGCACCAAACGATTCATCGTTAATATTTTATTAAACTCAGCAAAGATTTTGACATTTATTGCTTTCTATTAAATTAATAATGACGCAGGACGTAATCTTGTAAATCGGTCATTGTAGGTAAATTCATTTCAGAGAGATCATATTGAATTTATCAAATAGAAAATTTATCAGGATTTCATGCCGAGTTACGTAACCCGGTAAAAATAAATGCAATATATATTTTGATTTTTCGTATCAATTGGTCAGGTGCACAATTTTTTCTATCCACTCTTTATGCTCAAAATCCCTTATAAATCATAGCTTATTGCTCATAAACTAGTAGCAGCGTTTAATAAATGATATTTCCGTTAGTTTACGCCTTTTCACAATGGTGCGTATAAACAATGTGATATTGTGCGTATTTCTATGGTCAACACATGCCTTATGCACATTATGTATTAATGATAGTGCGCCCTTTGTGAGTAATGGTTCGATTTAAAGTTATTCAATGGGGAGACCGAGATGAATTGATGATTTTTTGAAACGTTATGGTAACCTTAAAGTGATGTAACGGCCTCGGGGCGCTCTGACTCTTTTCATCATATTTTTCAAAGCTCATTTGAATTTTTTTCAGAGAAATATCCACGTTAAATAATCATGAAGCATTTTTCAACGTCGTTCCTCTCAAATTGAATAAAACCGGAAGGCATCGAAAAGTCAGAACAAGAAGCAACCTGGATAGCGACAAGAATTTTTCAAAGACTCCAAAAAATATTAGTACGGACACGACAAATTTTCATTCATTCAGTTACAGACGTATGACTCGTTACGAGAAAATTGTAATTTAAAAAAAAAATTATGAATTTGTGAAGTATCAGTAATTCTTCATACTTAAGTATTATTTTGGAACTGATAAAGATATGAAGCATAATGAACATTATCAACCAGCAGTTAAAGATATACCGTTCTTCCAATTTCTCCATATTTCAATGTATCCAAGATGACAGATTACTTGCCTACGGAATACTCTCTTAATATACATATGTATATAAAAGAATTTTTCTACTCTCTCTCTCTCTCTCTCTCTCTCTCTCTCTCTCTATATATATATATATATAAAAGAGTATGTACATAAGGAAGAAGAAAAGACAGTGTCTCTCTAAAGAAGATTGAAGAAAACAGAATCATCAGCACGATCGATCTTGGCCGTCGTGATACTCGAAACATCTTAGTTTAATCTAATTGAATCGACTTGATTCGATTACCGAGTAGTTCCTTGGCGTTGCCATCCTAGTGCCGAGTAACCGTCGCACATAGTCGTCAAGGTTACCAAATTGAGAGACATGATTTATGTCGTGCGTGTTTTGCCTCCCTTTGGCTCCTGATAACTTGAAGGAAAGTGCGGCGTACGGATGATCAAAGTCCTCCAGGAGAAGCTGCGGTAAAACCGTGTAAGGATGGTGGTTGAAATTTCTGGGTTCCAGACGATGCTCCGGTATAGGCAGTTCCACGGAGTGAACAACGACGTAGAGGTTGAGCAAGCCAAGAGTACAAACAGTCTAAAAACAGTGGAATAAACTGGAAAAATACAATAAGGAACGAAAAGAAGCTTGAAAAGTAAAGAAGGACTTGAGAAAATATTATTGCACCATAAGAGAGAATCTCTGGGAAGTATTACAGGTGATGCTGGAATAATGAGATAATAAATATGGCTGATATCTATTGAATGCAACTTCTCACGATCCACTGACAAAATTCGAAAAAGTTAAACACAACTTGGCGAATGTCTAGAGTGCAAGGATTTTCAAGCGTTGATTCGTTCTCTCGTTCTCCTACCGAACCTCGCGTTGATGCTTCGATTTGTTGGTGCGGAATCTCTGGCGCTGGTGTATTAAACGAACGAACTTCAAAAGAGTGAACTTTGAGAAATTGATTAAAAGCGACGCTTCGATTAACGCGGATATTTCCGACGCTTCATTACGAGAGTGAATTTTCACCGTTAAATCTCTAACAACTAGTATATACGCAAATATATATATATATATAGTATATATATTTAATCAGCAATTTCTTGTTAACCTTCGGTTACGTTTCCATCGATAGTTTCATCGCTCATTAATAGACTGCTCTCAGTTTGTATAGTCTATAGACACTATTAAATATATTTTTGTATTCTTTCTACTTCATAATTAACAATCAAATTTAACGACAATAGTCTTGCTACAATGACTGAGCGCGGAATAACACTTTTATCAATTTTACTTACATTTAAGTGGTACATGGCTTTTTATTATTTTCTGTTTCTTCAACATAGACACTTGAACACAACAATTGAACTGGTACTAAATGAAGTAGCGCACTGGCAGTTCAGCCTCTTTATACGCTTCTCAGAGTGTTGAAATTGCCAAACGTGAGAACTAGGAGATTCGTTTACACAATGATTATGAGATAGAAGTCTTATACAGTGGATTTCACGAAAATAGAATGAAGTGAGTAATACAGTGAACAAAGTCAAGGAACAAGTATAAATAAATATATTTTTACACATGCTGAACATAGTCGAAACACAAATAGTACATTTAAACTACCCAAAAAAAAGTTTACCAAGGAACATTCTTCAGTCTCCATATTGACTAAAAAATACTTCTTGTTTTTTAGTGCATACATGGACCTCTAATCTCTTTGATCCGAGAAACAAGAACAATGCAGAAGATTATTATAATTGTTGTAAAATCATAAAATCCAAATTTGTTACTATGCCCAATCATAATCTTGACTATGCATGGAAGTCATAGAAAGAACTCCAATAATGATTATTATGCTTGCAGGATCGCACAGTCAATAATTGCTAATATAATTAGTCACGGTTCAGTGGCATTGACCTCACTCACAAATTACAGGCTACCAAGTCGCACTGAGGTCAAACGGTCAATTCGTTTAAGAATCATTGTCGTCGAACAGACCCGTCCACCAACGCATATGGGATGTAAAGTCTGACACTTGTATAACGGATATATGATACATACAGGTGTGTTTGATGGAAGATATTATCTTGGCAAAAATATGCAAACGACCTGTAACAATGAGTTATAGCGCTGCATATTGTCACACGTGACAGTATAAAAGTGTCGAAATTCGAGTGACGTGGATTACAGTCTCCAAATTCATCTGAGCATATTGGAAAAACTGCCTGGAGGTCAATGAAGAAAGAGAAAATATTTGTCCAGGACTATTAGCTGGACTAGACGATTTCATTATCATAGAAATAACATCCAGGAGCTTCTGCCTTGATCATAGAATTATATCTTTTTGTCCCTACGGAACGGGAGAGCTGCTGAATAATATTTACATCGTTTTTCAGTAGCTTTGCATTTTTCAATTAATTATCGCTCATTATCCTAGCAAATTTCAAATATTTGCATATCGATTGATGATACTCTGACAGCTAATCGTTAACGGTTTATACTAAGCAGAGCGTTAATTAGTCACTAGGTGTAATATAATGTAATGGTGAGTTATTGCGTTATAGTTAGTGAGTTATAGTTATGATAGACACTGCATGTTTATTCTTTTTTTTTAGGATAAAGTAATAGAAATTGTGATGATATTTTCAATCGCACTGAACCCTGAATATGTCGAAACTTGTTATATCCAGATACATAGTTTCATTGGAAAACCCAGTGCACTCTGTGTATGAAAATCTTTATTTGCTTGGTGTAGTGCGACTCAATCGATTCAGCATTTTCTCTCGAATTCCATCCACGTATCTATGAATTCACGTATTTCTTTTTGGGGCAGGCTATATTTACACGATAGCCAGTAAGCATTATAGTAACCATTGTTATATGGATCAAGTACACCGAAGAACATCAAGAGCATTTCGTTTTAAAAGCGATTGCTACGTATTGCTTTCTTTATTACTGATTTACTTATTAATGGATTATTTTTATGTATGAATATAGTAATTGTATTTAATAAGGTCAAGCGGACCTTTTCTCGTAACATTTCCAGTATCAGTAGCGTCTCTGTAATATTTATGCCTCGCAGCAAGGAATCGTTACAACGATTGCAGGGAGCTTATAAACTCACTTGAGTATGAAATTCAATTTAGAGATTAATTTTATACAGAAACAATGTTCAACAGGTGTTAGAATTGCATATAAAGGATTAGTGAACTTTTTAATTGTTTTTATGAATACTATTTTTTTTTATATGACGTGAGATACGTTCAGAATTTATAGGTATTCGTGTCTCACATTTGATTATAGGAGCGTATTCAAATTTTATGAATTTTATTTCATGATGTCAATGGTCGAGGGTGGAACAAGGGTTGTCCCGTACAGCCCATGATCGCAGACATATTAGGGTAACATTTACTTATTGGTCTTTGCCACCATACGGTGAAGACCACAACTTACAATTCATCTTTATGTCAGTCAATTTAGAATATTTGACTACCATGGATATTGCAGCAATGTTAGATTAGAATACCAGTAGAGTAACTCGATTGTCGGTAACGTAGGCAATGATACTTAAAGTCTACTACATTGTCGATATAACGGCTCTTATCTTAGGAGTCTCCCCGAAGTTGACATCTGCAAACAACAAATTTCCTACATGAGTGCAAGATAATTACAAAATATGATAGAAAAAAGGGCTCAAAGACATTTATTGCAATCTTTAGAATTGCTTATCAGTAGCCTGTAAGGAAGACCTATTCACATCTAGGGGATTCGACTGTCAAAAAAAGCAGTCTGATATCTGACGACTTATCGCGTTTCACTAGGTGGGGGGAGATCAATAGAAAAGCTACGTTCACACTGTGAGTATTTAACGCGAATGTTGAGGAAACAGACGGTGTGTTGTTATTTTTAGATTTGTTGACTTAAATCCTCCATTACCCTGCCTTGCACCGAAGCCATTGTAACTCTCGTTGTGACGTTTCTAAAATGACATCGGTCTGTGGATCTATCAGTTTGCACATTTGTAATCAGTGAATATCATCGTTTTCCTAACAGCTGTTTCTAACAAAAGATGTTAAAGATTTTGCGACCTTACGTCTCCTGACAGCTGCCTAAAATACGTGAAAGTGAAGACAGCTGTTATGCCTAGCCATGCAGACGCACAGAGGACTCCTCTTTATCTGTTTTGGATTCCTCGCGGTTTTCCTTCAGCTAGACTATGCTGAGTGCACGCGGATCAGGGGTACCTTCAAGACCAAGGAGTTCTTTCGATTCCTGATGAAGTTTGGTTTCCAAAAGGCAGATCAACACACACAGAAGGATTCTCATGGATATATCTTTGGGAATGTTACGTCGCGTTCGAATTTCTCTGCACCCATCACCCTGGCAGTACTTGATCGGGGCCACTTTTTGGAATACTATGGAAATCGTACTGTGAGAGATAAAAGTGCAGCATGCTCACTAATGTTTTCGACTCTCAATCAAAGCTCGTATGATACACGATGCAACGAGGAAGGCCAAGATTATCTAAGGTAACATAATCATTGTGATTTAGGGCATGGATTATATGGAACTGATTTTTAAGCTGTCTCATATTTTTCTACTTATAGGAGAATACCTTGTCCAAAAGGCAAATTGTGCCCTGATGAGGATTCTTTATGGAATGTAGTGAAGGGATATCAATTCACATACATCATTAAAGATTTCTTACATCCACGATTTTGGTATATGAGTATGGTAGCTTGTTACAGAAATAACACAACGTGCCAATGGGAACACTATGATAAACACGATGAATTAGATTATGATATCTGGCTAGTAAATGGCAATCCTAATACCAGTGGTCTCAATAGCTTGACTTATCAGTTCTCTTATGACAGACAAAATACGATAGAACTGTATCTATTATTTTTTATTTGCTATATTATTTTAGTACCACTACAGTTATATGCAGCTAGAATGCAAAGACACCCAGTCACGAGACTGTTTACAGCAAGTTTATTATTAGAATTTATTGCAATATGTTTAATATTGATACACGTGCTAAAATTTGCATTGGACGGTGTTGGTTATGAACAACTAGAGGTTGCTGGTGACATATTTGACATTCTCTCTCGTGTAAGTAATCCCAAGTAAGATAAGAATTACATGTAAAAGTCAATACACATTTTATCAAGCCCTATAACTAATAAGATAATCAAATAGCGTCATAATTTATTTATACCAATAACTTAATTTTCTAATGTTTCAGGCATCATTCATGTTACTGTTACTTCTGCTTGCAAAAGGATGGGCAGTCACACGAATGGAATTAACATGGAAGCCTTTGGTCTTTGCCATATGGCTTTGCTATGGTGTCGTACACATTTTGCTGTATGTCTGGAATATGGTATGTACATCGATATATTTTTAAGTACATTCTTTACTTAGTAATGCAATGACTGATCAATCGCATATACTTTTTCAGACCGAAGTTGATATCATTGAAGATATAGACGAATATCAAACATGGCCTGGATGGTTTATCCTTTTATTCCGTAGCGTTATTATGGTGTGGTTCTTATACGAATTACGAAATACTATGACATACGAGCACAACACTCAAAAACTTAATTTTCTCCTTCATTTTGGAGCATCGTCCTTGGTCTGGTTTATCTACTTGCCCATAATAGCACTTATAGCACTTCAAGTCAGTGCATTATGGAGGTTTAAATTGTTACTTGGTGAGTAAAAGTTCAGATTTTTTTTTCTTCAAGATCCACTTTAAGTGACACCGTAAACCTTAAGTTTACTATCAGTTCAGATTAACGATACAATTGTTATTTGATCTTCAGGAATTACCTACTCTGCTGACTGTTTTGCATATATCGTAATGGCCCATTTGTTGTGGCCAACCAGAAGTGAACAGTATTTCCTACTTGCACAGGGTGCTGACAATGGGGATGAACTTGACGAATTCAACGAAGCTCCCCACGTATTGAACAATTATGTAGAACCACCGGAACTTAGTAAAATAATTGCGTAATGCTTTTATTAAGGTAACGAGCGAACTAAATTCTAACGCGAAACAAGAGAGTTAACGATGTGATGTACATTTGCCAAATGGTGAAAATGGATAGAAATGAAAATACTCCGACATGCCGTATTTGAGACTGAAGTACCTTGCACACCCTTTGATCTGATGTACGTTTGTTTGTCTTACGTCTCGATTGTCAGGGTAGCACTTTAATTAAAAAAATTTTAATCTAGGGCAAAAAATAAGATGAAGTAAACGACGTGTGTTACTTATGATATGATACTCATTTTTTCATTCGTCGTTGCTTTTTGAATCCCATTACTACATTCGATTCGTCAGATTACCAAAAGTTACCTACTCTTGAGAATGAACAGTGTCACAAAGTATCATTAAACGTGTGCAGGAATAAAAAGTAATAATTATCACTACGTGCAATAATAGTAAACACGTGTATTGTGTACGTATTACAATTTTTTTCTTTTCACGTAAAACCATTATTAAAATAATTGAATTGGTATGGATTCATATACCATTAGACATTCTTTGAAATTATAGCGAGTAGTCATTGAGACATAGCGCGTATACATGTTAACAAGTAAATAGTAATTCGTACTTTGTTCCTGAGGATTAGAATATGTATATATATGTTTCAAGTTAGTGGACACTTTTAAAAGGGTATTTGAAATCTACGAAAATGGGTTTTGCTCTCGAGTATTATGACACATTATTATGCATAATTCGTGAGGTGCAGTTTTAGCTGAAATTTTTATGACTATTCTTTATTGAAAAATACTTTTCACTTTTAATCTACGACTTTCATCCGACTTCTGTGTAAACGCAACTCGATCGTTTTCATCTTCTCTCTCTTCTCTTCTGGCATTCTTCAGTAACACGTGCACAAAAATGGCGCGTGAAAACGTGAAACATCGTGCTTTGACAATTATCTATTTATTTATAAATAAATCACGGAATAAGCGATAGCATCGTCTGTCTATTCCAATTAACGAAACGGATCATTTTATAATGCGTGAAATGTGAATCAGAGCCCAAGATTAAAAACAAAGAAGATCAATCGAGGAACGTAGAATTCCATTTCACTTTCGCACACTTTTCCTACAACGTTGTTGCTCAAAACTTATAATGAAATAAATGGTAATATTAGGAAGTATATTATTTGTTTAAAAAATAAAAATGTGAGCCCTACGATACGGTAATAGGGTCGGTGCGATATTTTTAGTCTCTTGATATTTTTAGTATTAATAAATAAATGGTTAAAATACCAATTTCGGTATGGAGATCTAAACATCTGTATAATCGTAGCAATAGAGACAGTGGAGATCGATGAAAACGCGATTATCTAGAATGTTATGGCAAACGAAGCTATTTGACAAATTTGTTCCTCGTGGCAAATAAAATAAAAGAAATAAAAATTTATTTACACCCGAGGTAAATGTAATTTTTTAATCGTCGCATGTTTGCCATCACATAAAGTGTTTTCACGAGCACATAGATTTTAACTAACTAGTTTTATATATTGTTACATTCAACATAATGATGCATGGATCGTTATGCAATTTATAAAATTACATAGTATTTCTTTAATTTTTTTCTCTATAAAGAGTATGGACGACGAGAAACAATATTCTCGCGTTATGTAATGATTGTTACATGCTGCCATTATTGTGCGTACTGTGTAGGCATTAATCTAATTAGGAGCATGCAGAACGACGGAGATCTAATACCGTGCGATCACAAAATCGCGGCATATAATCTACACTTACTTATATGTTTTTACTCGGATAATAGACACTACATCTATCACGTTAAGGGATTATTATTTGTTACTTTTAAATTTATAAATAAACGAATTACATCGACTATAGAATAAAATGTATATTTCATTTTTTTTCATTTCAACAAATGTTATTCGACACACGTGGTACATTAATCACAAAACATGAAACGGAACTAGACACTTTCTTTGCTTGTCCTCTTTTTATAATTTACAGTAACTTCAAGTTAGACGTTAAACGTTCAACTAAAACCCTGGGAGCTGGTCCAATTCCAATTGCTGAAATTGTGCCTGGCTCTAATTGTGTTCTACCTGCATCCTTTATCACAGCAGTAACTAAACCTGCTACCTGGGCATTATGTGCTAGAGTTAACAATTCCTTTTCACTTGGTATTTTGAGAATTATTTTTGGTTGACCGAATCTCAACCAGGAGTAAAGTAAGTCTTCGTGTTTCTTATCTGTCGATGCTTGACGATAACACTCTAGTGCTGCATGGGCACATTGAGCAGCTATTTTACCTTTGCCCATAGGAATGTCAGTCCTAACGACAATAACCATTTTATACCCATCTTTATGCAAGCTATCGGCAAAGATTGATTTTATGTGTTTTATTATCGACCCCATATCCAAGATTATTGATTTGAATTCAATTTATTTATATTCCTCCTGCTTTTTTCTTTGATAATCTGCCATACATGTTCTAAAACTTTGCACCTGCTCTTGACACTTCCTCCAGTCTTGCGTCTCAGCTATGCATTCCTAGAAGTATTGCATAAAACAGTAATCTTAGTCATCTCATAAAACAAGTTATGTATTAGGTATATAATGAATTGTATATATATTCTATACCTGAACCAGGTAATGCAACTCAATACAACCTGTTCTCTTTAACATGAGCTCAACAGGGTCTTCGATGTCATTTTGTGATGACGACGATGCTTTAGAAACGCTCATACTAAATTATAAAATAAAGCCAAGAAAATGGGTCTTTTTCTACAATCAGAATTTATAATTTCATAATATCTAGGTGAATCCTAATTTTGGTTAAGTTCACACGTGGTAATTTATCAGGCTAAAATTACTTTTACGGATTAAAATCACCTAACTTCAAACCCTTTGAACAGACCAATCTTATCTAACTCCTAGGCAACGATCATAAACCATGAGTAATACAGAATCGCCATCTCATCTCAATTACTAAATAATTATATGAAACGAGTTTCTAAATTTTTTAAGAAAAAACTCAGTATAAATTGTAGCAAGCAATTTCACAGCAGATCACGCTAATGTCAATCACTTAGTAGTTGTGTAATATCCTGCATAACTTAAATATAAGCGTCCTTTACGTGCTATGCAATCCGAATGCACAAATGAACGGGCCTTTAATCCTGCGCAGCTTCTCAGCTCGTACGGACAGGCGTCCGAGTAGAGGTAGAAATGTCGAAAATATGGTGACGTATCAAGGATTCATTTCGTTATTTAGATCTCACTTGATATCCGATATTGGTTAATATTAATGATACTCCAGTAAGGCTGGTTCCCTTTTAAAAATTTTATTAAAACATATTTGCATTCATACTTGGCCATTGCCAGGGCACGTGGCCGTTACCGGCGTGCACAGTGGTGAACAAGTAGCAACAGTTTTCCCAGTGCAGTGAGACACGAAGCATATTAAAAATATGCCTTGGTCATCCAGAAGTAACCGATTTCGTGGCTGTTCGTCCGCGTGTGTTCTTCGCACGACACTTGCAGAGAAAATTGTATGCTGAAGCCACAACGAAGTTCGGTGGTCCAGTGTATCGACCACTACTCCGTCTGTATCTGGATATTATCTGCAGCCTATTGGCCGTCGTTCGCAACACCGTAAGTCCTTGTTACGACTCTTATTTTCCAAAATATAATTAAGAAAAGCTCTTTTTTTTGTTTAAAGAATAATTATTAACAAGTAGGAATTGATTGTTTCGTTGTATAAGAGTATCCACAGTTTGTAATTTGACTAACGTTGTGTCATGGCCTGATTAAGGCAGGAAACAATCCCACAATTCCACACGGCTTAACCGCCTATACACGAAACAGTTAAAAGTTAAATTTAAATGTTTAAACATTTATTTGATTTCATTATACAACAAATCTTACATTGTTATATCGTAAAATTACTTTTACCATACTTGTTAGATTGTAATGTAATCATTGCAATTTGAATATATATATTATGCAATCATAATGCATAACCAATAATGTCCATTTCTTATTATTATTGTTTCTACACAACTTATTTTCATATTTTCTGAATTGTGTCTTTCAACGGCATTTTTTTTATTTTACATTAACGGTTCGTTTCGCAGGCGTAATAAACGAGGATGTGCTAATAGCGATAACTGCCTCTTCTACCAAGGTCTTAAGTGCCCTTATTTAAAGGTTACGCTAATCAACCACGCTTCAATTACCTAATCAATATACGAGCGTTCAGAGTTCATGAATCATAAGCGGCTCATTTACATCAAATGCGTCCGTTTGTCGAAAGCTATTCTATTTTCAACCGTCACTTTTCGTACGGCCGAGTTTACTCAAAGACGCACGAAAAATAATGTACATGTCGAAGTAAAGTATGCACATAGTATTCTAATTGCATGCTGTCACGATTCTGATAATGTGATGAATTCCTACAGCTAGAACAAAGACATAATAAATACTTACACAATCTGAATGAATTAATGAATTCGTGCACTTGATAATCAACCATAACCAAAAATTGAAAACAATATTTACATAATTACTGTAGAATATTTCGATTAGATCATACAGATGTCATTGGCTTTGTCTTCTAAATATAAAATTTCAGAACGTATTACGAGAAATTAATTTAACGTAATTTTTTTTCTACTGATAAAATAACAAAGGAATAGTATATGGAGTCTATGCGAATTAAATAAATTTCGTTAATGTATATCTTTCCAAGTTACTTTTTTAGACTTGTGAATATTTTCTAATTGCGTTTCTAAGATCTTTTAGGAAAAATCTGTCACTCGAATATATAGTTAGACCGGTTATACAATGTTGTCATGGACGTATTGAAGAAACCTCTTCCAACAAAATATGTTTATTGTGTGTTGAAATATTTAACACATTTTTTTTCATTTAGTTTTCGAGACTTTCGCAAAACCTCTTCATAAATAATGCTATCTAATCACCGCCTACTGGTAAAGTACATATTTTATATTCGCGCGGCATGCGGGTTTTTTATTGCAAGCGTAAAACAATTTACGTACCCTGTTCAAATCTTCGTCTATTACGTCATCTAAAATAGCTCAGTATAATCAGGTTATAAAAAAAATGAAGGAGCAATAAACGGATAAAATATCCACACGGCAAGAAATAAATATATCCGCTGTTATGCAAAAATTTAAGAAAGCTCAAGGACGCAAAAGATTCTTCGACATAAGTTGTACATAGATCGTAAAAATAAGTTGTACAGCCACCTTTCAAATTGATACTTAATCTGTGTGACAACTAGAAAAATAAGAAACTTCAATCTGTTGTTTAACGTAGTATTAATTATATAATAAATTCCAATTATCTCAAAGTCATTCAGTCGCTCACGTCAGAGAGAATATCATAGAAACACACAGTATCCAATTCATGAAAACCGTTAATTAATACATAAATATTTTTCGAAAGACAGCAAAAAACTTAACGGAATCAAACAGGTTTTGAATAAACCGCGGACAAACAGCAGTCTCTAGCATAGCCAGTAGTTCCTGAGTCGCCGCTAGATGGAAACCAGCATGGCTCAGCCGGCTTCTACCAGTAGAGCAAGTTGAAAGTAACTTATAAAAGTCGACTTATTATCCTCCTTAAATTATTTCTGTACTTTCAGCAATATAAATTGTACATTAAAAACTCATATGCTTATATTATTATATTAAATTAACACACTAACAATTTAACGTAAATCTTCGTAGTTTCTCGCAAGTTCACTTGCCTCCATTCAGAATCTATATAAACCCGCAATGTAACGCTTATTTCTAGGTAGTCCGACACTTCCCGGGAAAAAACTACATATTATGCGGCCTACTACAGACCACGTCATGTTCTCTGCACCGCAACAAAACCGTCATCGATTCGATAATTTACTTTAAAACTATACTGTGGAAGTAACTTCGACTATCATTTTGATTCCCTAGATTATCAATTTTTTATAAAAAAAATTAATTCATCGACTAAAGATTAATCATATCTTTTCGCTTCCTCGAGTCACTCGCAGCTTTGCAGAGAACTTCATACCTAACCGTACACAAGATAAGATTTAATTTTTCTCTGTCCCTAACGTACATATTATACTTTCTTGCAATAACTTGCGTAAGAGCACAGAGAATAATTATATCAATATTAATATTTACCAACCAACATTTTTCTATTTATTACTCACTGACTCAACTGTCTTGTCAATAATTCGTATGGATATAAAAATTTTGTTTCCTCCATTTCGAAACAATCTACAAAACATCCAGCGCGTCATTTTCCTCGAGGATCAGCCAAATAAATAAAATATTACGTCGTTGACGTTGCCGGCCTGAAGTCGTCGTATCGCAAAATAACACAAGTTAGAAAGTTACTACTATCATTGTCATTATCATAATTCTATAAGAAACATCCATCAGTCCAAAAGACTCTGATACATAGGAAATCAATTTTACATCCGATTCATTGTTTGAGCTGTCAATACTCCATGATAACCCAATTCACAGTGATATCTTTCTTTTATTTACCTTGTCACAGTATACACTAACAATTTTGATACTTGAATACATCTCCGCTTCATTCTTGTGCCCGGATAAAATTTTCTGGCTATGATCGAATTTTTTTTACTATCTTAATTATCTTATCGAATTATCAATAGAGCCTAAAGACTTACGCATCGAATGGAAAATTTCCCTAATAAAAAGCTATGTATGCTTTGGTACGTTAATCGTAACGAAGCATCAATGTTTCTTTAGTCCGTCCGTAGTATCTAAGCGGCGGTTACTAACGATGATAAACAGTCTAATCATTTAACATATTCATCTTAATTTTATCACACGATCCTCTCTGCCCTGTAGTTATACTATAAAGTAACATAGATCTCTCACCAAATCCAAATTCCTTGATTAATGTATCGTTGTGGCTTACCTTACTTATCCATTTGATTTCCTAACCTTAAAATTAGACACGTATCCTAACTATAGTATTTGCTCTGTAGTCAGACTTTGCATATTTAAGTCCCTGCCAGCTGGTCGAGATAGTGAGTTGATGGATAGTCATCTAATCGAACGATCCCCCGGATATTTTTTAATTTACAATTTACGAAATCAGTCAACGATCATCCATCGATCGGGAAGTTCATAATATTTCGGGAATGTCAAAAATCATCGTTTAATGAGTGACAGTGGATCTGGGATAATAATAAAAAAAAATGCTTACCTAACAAACTCGTGTACAGTCAAGTGCAACAATTTATTAATATCTATTAAGATCGTCAAATCGACGCATATGAAAAGACCTACAAAAACATGGAGAGGAAAACAAGCATCTTTCAATTTTTCGCATATAAGCCATCAGGTATGCATTGACTCTTAGGATCTATTGAATAGAATCTACTTCTTCCCTCGTAATATTTTAATCTCAATGCATAATTTATTTTCTATCTTGTTCCAAGAACGAAAGGTCACCACGTGGAACTTCGAATCAAAGTTCACAACACGCCACCTTCTTTCCTTATATATTAATACAATTTTAATTACACTTTACTCACTGTCATTGTGTCATTGCGTTCTCTACTAATTTTATGCATTTTTCTGGCTATATAAACTCCACAAGAATTTTAGCTTCTTTTTAATGATCCATATATATCACACTTAATGCATTTAATATGTATACATATATACACACGTATATATTGAAGATGGTCGTTCCGCAACTACTTGCCAGAAGGTACACAAGGCTTCGTCAGTGACACTGGCCCTTCTAAAAATAAATCATTAACGCGGCTGACGAAACTTTCTATATCGTTGCCGTCGGAACAAAAGCACGTGAAGTATCACACGACGTTCATTCCTCTGCCAGGCAATGCAGCGAACTAGCAAATGGCGTCCAGCAGCAAAATAACGTATAGATTCCATGAAATAATTTTTTTAACTTCCTCAGGCATTTTTGCTCTGAGGTTTTCATGGCTGTGTTATCATCGCCGACGTGTACATTGCGCAATTGCGGATCGTAACGGCCATATGTAAATTCGAGGCGTACTGAGTCTACTATAATTTTATTATAAGTCTCGACTGTCTTATTAGTACCGAGACCGTGATTATTCGAGCGTGCCCGATCAATACGATTTGAATGTGGATTTACGATTTGAAGATGTGGAACGGGAAATATAATTTTTTAAAATTTTTTAATGAAATTTATAAAAATTTGTAATCTTGCAGAAAGTGCACAGCTCTTGTGCTGATACGAATGTAGGGAGTCGACGATGTTATATATACTTGGAAACGTGAACTGCGAGGTATTTAGTAAATATGCAAGTGGGGCCACGTGTGGGCGTATGTGGTTTGCAGTTTTTTTTTTATGGTCGTATAAATTGCGCAAAATATCTGTTATCGGTGATTAAGTCTTTACACGTGGTTGTTTCCATTACGATTGCAGGATAGTACAGTTCTTGGAAAGAGTTTTTTCAATATAGTCAACAATAACCTCTTTTTTTCCTCTATGGGTATGTGTGTGTGTTTACATATATATATATATAGAGGAAAAATTAATGGCCGCCATGTTGACTTTATTCGTATCCAAGCCTTGTCCGATATTCCGTTATTTAAAAAACTCGTTTAATTGTTATTCATGAGATATTTGTATTTGTATTTCTGAAATTCCCTGTATAGCGCAATGTAGATATTTGAATTCTCGTATGGAGAGCAGAGTGAGACGCGACGAACGTCTGTAAAAGAAACAAGGCGGGATCGGCCGAGCCTCCCGCTTTAGCCAATGACGTTCCTTTCGTCGTATGACGTCAGCACTCGACTCTCCGTTTGGTTTAAAAAAGCAGACAAGTCGACTGCACGGGCATTGCTAACATTCCTTCACGACCGTGTATAACTTCAGTTTAAGTCTCAAGAAATCCTCAGAACGGTCTACGCTTTTCTCTGGATGAACTTTGTCCTAGTGTTTTTCTTTTGCATTATTCGAGACAGCGCGATTATTTATTCCCTCTTTTTCTCTGTTGGATTTTCATCCCTTTTGAAAGTTTTTCGAGTATCGTTGTTTCTTGTCGATCGCAAACTTCTCCGAGGACTTCGAGGATCTGTTGAATCTTCAAAATCGCACGGATCTTATCATAAGTTTTTGGAAATACTTGTGTCATAAGCGCGTGACAACGGAAATTGGTATGAAATTATTTTTGGTTTATTTATCTTGAATTTTTTTCCGGGGCGAACATATCGGAAATTCAGTTTTATTTTTTATTTGTTATTTCATAATGACTCTTGTATCGTAATTATTATGTTAGAGATTTTAAAATTTTTTTAGGAGTGATAACTTCAGATTCACGTTCATGTGCGATAAACGTTATTCGTCGTGCTCAGGTTTATAGATTAGACTTAATCAAATGGAAGATTTTTACTGAGCATTACTTCGATTGAGCGCTTGAAAGTTTATCGCGGTTAGAAGGGTCAGTGAGCTTTTTTTGTAGAAATTCAAAAATATCATTTTTATTTCTTTTCACAGAGTTCAAGGAACTCTAGATCGGGAACGAAGGAGTAGCATAGCTGCGCTGAGGTCAATAATAGTCAAAATATTGTTATATACCAGGAGACAGTCAAATAAAAAAATATATATTAACAATGGTTAATTTGTATTGTTTATTTTAATCGAATAATAATACACGTAGAGACAGTGGCAGTATAAATAAATAAAGTTGATTTATATTTCTTGAATAAATAAAAAAATTAAATTTATTAAAAATACATCGTTTACTTGTTCCAGAAATAATGCCTGGCTCGGCAAAGAAGCCTGGACCTCTTATCGGAGTCATCGATGTCGGAACGCGGACAGTTCGATTTGCGGTAAGAATAAAATTTTAATAATTTCCTAAATGACCTTTTCATTCATTGCACAAAGGTTACTCCAATCCACTTATCGCTACTTCGAAAATTTGGATTAGCCATTAAATAATTAATTATTTGATTTTTAATCATTTATTCGTCATTTTCACGGTCCACTGTGATAATTATCGTTAAAACGACGCCATCGACGTTTCTCCGGCATTTTGCTCCGGGGCTGCCGGATATATGACTAAACATCGCAGATGCGATAGCTTAATCACTTTGAATATTAATTCGAGGGGAGAAAAGACAGACTACTTAATGATTTTGGCTGAAAACATACCTATGGCTGTGAATTGACATCACGGAGCAAGATGCGCGATAAGAGAATGCTGCGTAGTCACGTGACATTAGGACGACTAGTTGATTTCGATGCTGTTTATTAATTTGGCAACAACGTCACGCGTCTAGTGCATACGCAACAGTGACACTTGTAGGAATTACGGGATTATGAGAATTTTCTATAGTACGTTTGTCCAATGAAAGAAATATGCAGAACAAATTATATCTGATACGTCTGTGCGTTTGATAAGTCGAAAAAATACAGACAAGAATTTTACATATGAATATCGTGTATGGTTTCGTATATATATTCAGTAGTCACCTGAACAAATACCACGCGGTTCAAGTGTAGCATCAATATCTACAATAAACAATAACACGCTGATTTCGATAATTCAGTTTTACAATTAGGAGAAAATTAAACGTATCCTGTGATACGATATCTTAATTCGAAGCGACTATCTAATCGTTAATGATTAAAAAGATAATTTTTGTTTTACACAAACACGCCTTCTCTTGATTAGCGTTGTCGTTACGCACTAGTCAAAAGCATGTGGCCGATTTGAATTTTTTTCGTCGTAGAATATCGAATAACTTGACTTGTTTACCGTTTCACAGGTTTTTAATGCCAAACATGTGACTGAAGTTGCCTCGCATCATATCGATATCGAACAATCGAGTCCGCAGGAAGGATGGGTGGAACAGGATCCAAAAGAGATTTTATTTGCGGTGAAGGCCTGTATCAAAGATGTCCTACGTAAATTTGATTTTCTTGGATTGAACGTTAATGAGATTGTGACTATCGGTCTCACCAATCAAAGAGAAACGACTATAGCTTGGGATAGTACAACTGGCGAGCCGCTTTACAATGCTATTGGTAAGCTCGATTTGGGGTTATTGATAAGGTTAATCAAATAGATAAGAGAACGCATCTTATCGATCGTTTAAATTTTCAATCTTATCGCGTTTTGATAGATCAGATGGAATTAAAATTACGTTCTGTGAAATATACGTATTACGTGTTGAACTTTGATCGTTAGTCAATTGTATTAGACATTGGACCGTTATTGAAGATTTTATTTACGTACTTAAATCTTAGCTAGTATCAGAGAAAACTTACGCTCGTAAAGTAACGATTAGACATGGGTCCCAATGACACACAGAACCAATTAAGGGTCAAGACCTAATCTAAGGCAACTTTACTATTCGTATTTAATAACTGATGAATTATCATTTGCAGTGTGGTCCGATATCAGAACGGATTCGACGGTCGATCAAATAATTGCCAAATTTCCTGATCAGAGTAAAAATCATCTTAAACCTCTTTGTGGTTTACCGGTTAGTCCTTATTTCTCAGCTTTAAAGATACGATGGCTGAAGGACAATGTGCCGGCTGTCAGGAAGGCAATCAGGGAAAAACGCTGCAAAGTGGGAACAATGGACACTTGGGTCATTTGGGTATGTAAATATTTTATATTAAATACTATTGTGAGACGAGGCAGTTAACTACATGTCGTTTTTTCTTTTATTTTACAGAATTTAACTGGTGGTAAGGACAATGGGCTGTATATTACTGATGTAACCAATGCATCCAGGACTATGTTGATGAACATAGAGACCCTTAATTGGGATCCTACACTATGTAGGTATTTCGACATTCCCATGAAACTTTTACCAGAGATCAAGAGCAGTTCTGAAATTTATGGTAAAGTTGAGGTTGGACCACTCAGAGGCATTCCTATATCAGGAGTAAGTCTGATAGTTATTTATACACCTTAAGCAATAAATGAATGATAAGGTGAATTAATGAATTTATTATTTTCAATAGATTCTAGGCAATCAGCAATCAGCACTTGTTGGGCAGAATTGTCTGAAACAGGGACAAGCGAAAAATACATACAGAAGTGGCTGTTTCTTACTTTGCAATACAGGAACTACGGTAGGATAATAATTCTAATAAAATCCACTTTATTTCATCGTGCGGTATCAATAGAAATGCTTTTCATTATATTTTCAGAGGGTGCAATCGTCGCACGGTTTAGTCACCACTGTGGCATACAAATTAGGTCCAAATAGTCCAGCTATTTATGCTTTGGAAGGTTCCGTTGCTGTGGCAGGAGCCGCCATTAAATGGCTGAGGGATAATATGAAGCTTATTGAGGACGTCCACGAAAGCGAACACCTGGCACAAAGTGTCTTTAGTACCGGGGACGTTTATTTTGTACCTGCCTTCTCAGGACTGTATGCTCCTTACTGGAGGAAGGATGCCAGAGGGTTGGTATACAAGTTGCCATTCTTATTTCTTCATTACTGAAAAATCTGCAGGGTATTAGATTCATTGTACGGTCCTGTACTGTTTGCAGAATTATTTGCGGTCTCACTGCCTTTACAACCAAACAGCACATTATAAGAGCCTCCTTGGAAGCCGTCTGCTTTCAGACTCGTGATATTTTGGAAGCTATGTACAAAGACTGTGGCTTCCCTCTGACGAAATTGCACACTGATGGAAAAATGTCTACCAATAGTCTTCTCATGCAATTACAAGCAGATCTTTGTGGTACTCCAGTATGTAAGTAAAACGAATTAAATTGCAATTTTACATTCGAAGCCGTTACACGATAATAATTGTCTCTATCCTTTCAGTCAGGTCAACAATGCCAGATATTACAGCACTAGGTGCAGCAATGGCGGCCGGAAACGCAGAAGGTATCGGCGTCTGGGAAATCGAAGGAGAAGAAGTTGAGACTGTACCCAGTGATACCTTTTTACCTACAACGACGCCAGAAGGTATGCTGTTCTTAGTGGCAAAATCAATTAATCACTTGCACGATTTCGTTTCAGTGTTCATAAAAAAGAATGTATTCTTTTCAGAAAGGGACGCCAGGTATAAGAAATGGAAAATGGCCGTGCAAAGAAGTCTTGGATGGGCAGCGGTAAAGATGTCCGATCAAATGACAGGTAAAGTTAAAAGAGCAGAACAAGTGAAGTTGGAAACAACGTACGTTATCAAGGACAGATTGTTGAACGTTCCTGCAACACCTGCATAACCCGAACGCATAAATGCGTTATTTAAGTCGTACTTTGCGATTTGTACATAGATGTAAATAAAATAAAAGGCAATTAACGGGTAGGAGCATGAACCGATGAATGTTGGGCGGTTGAACGAATAATTGGGAAAGTCATACAGGAGACTTATTTTATCTCCTATATGGACAACTGTTGTATGAGTTTGCATGACACTCTCTAATTGTTATATACTTTAGATTTTTTTTTACTACATTTTTTGTAATTATTTTGTATTACTCGTACTCTACACTATATCTCGCTATCTCCTTGACCTTTTACGTAAATAAATACTTCACAGTCTCGTTATGTCAGACTTATCCAGTGTGACGAGGGTCACGTAAAAAATACTGGACTATCGGTATTGCACGTCCAAAGTGTCAATGAATGTTGAAATATTTTTACTGCACTCAATCCACGTCATTATTATGTTGTTTTCATAATAATTTATTGGATCTATTTTCTTGAATGAACAAAACGCATTGTAAGATATGCCTATAGCTATATAAATTACGTATTAGCGTATTGATCATAGTTAATTATTAATTTCCAATACACTATATGTATACGTTTTAATAATTGATACGTAATCGTATACCACATAAACGTATTTGCATTTGTAAGCGGAATGCATGAAAATACAAAGTCTACCTAGGTGCTTGTGTTTTTCTTGGACTGTTGTTATCGTCGTTACACTGGCTATATTATTTTTGTTATAGTCAGCTGATATACTTTATCGACTCGTCGAGGGTTTATCGACACTTTATAAATTGTTCATCTTCGAATTGTTCCAGATGAACGTTATCGGATATTGGCATCTATACCGGCTAGCTGGTTCCTCATGACAAGTTTCATTTTACTGCGATTAAGTTACTATTTAGAAAGTCGGTGACATCGGATCAACCAAGCTGTGATCAAAGCCTAACTAGCCAGCTGCTAGTCTACTTTGAAGGGAATTCATCAAACTAGAAATGCAATCTTAAAAGACGCAAGTCTTTAGCTTAGCCAAATCTTCTATGTTAGAAAATGATTGAAGATCTTCACAGCATTGCAGGCTGTCGAGGAGATAGCAATTCTGTTCGTAACATCTCTATGATTTATATCTTTCGTTGCCAAGTACTGATGTACGATGATGATTTCATGGAAATGATTATTGTCATGAAAACAAGATCCAACGATGAACACATCCTGGTGCAGGCAATACGCCCAAAATGCAATGAGAACTGAAAAAGTTTATTGTTTTCTTCGAGAGACAATATTTTTTACCCTGCTCGCTATTTCAATATTAATTCCTTTCTTCTCTTTGTTTCTCTTCCTCTCTGTCTGTTATATATACTATGCTAGAGTATTCTCTAGTCGATTGTTGTGCCATATATGGAGCGCCATAGTAAATTATATTATATTGAACAATGCGCTTGATATCAATAATAGGATGGAAAACCTACTATATATTTAGCAAAATAAAATATTTTACGTGGGATATTTTCTTTGTTGGAAGTGACGAATGGTTATGAAAAATATGAGACGACCGCAATGTGGTTCGGATAAACCTGATGCGTAACATTGAAATTGTAAACACGTAACCGATATGTTGGATCGATGAGGATTTGTTTATTACTTTTAGGCGATGATATGTGCGGGAAGCATGCGCTTACGAATTTACGATTTTAATGAAATACGCGTATTAGATGTTATGTAATCGGCAATTAGAAAGTATGCAGTACTTATCGAAAACAAGGTGTAAGCCAAATAGTTATGAACTAAGCAGACTTATAATATATTTCTAGAAAGTGTTATTTAACGTCGAAGACGATTTCGCTTACGTTATAGTAAATTACAAAGATAAATAATGTTGTACCGCAAAGGCTGCGACGTTTACTGTAATATAATAATTTAACACTTTTATCAAACTCGCTGACAAATTCACACCGTAAATAAGCCTGGTGATTGTTCAATAAAAACCTATATTTCTCGGTAGCTTTTATGCCTTTGATTTTGGTTTGCGATATAACAATAAAAATAGTCTTAAAGCAAAGGGCACAATATGCACAGACTCTTCTGTATAAGCTGTTATAAACGTGTAACAAAACAAATTGTATTATTTGTAAATGATAGAACAGACCAATAATAAAATGTATAATTTAAACTTGTTAGTTAAAAAAAAAGAAATATTCAAAAGTCAAACTAGCCGCCACAACGTCCGCCATTATGCTCCGTCGCGAGAGCCAAAGAACGAACGCGGACGCCTCGGGAACTAAAATGTACCAGTCTCTCTCACTCGTTTAACTCGCGGCTATCATCAGTAACAAACAGGATGCGGTGTTGTGTGATGTTACGGTGCGTCTCGTGCTCGGGATCTCGTGAGAACGTCATCGAAACTGCATTGTTGTGTTAAAATGTGTTCCCCAAAGAGAGGTTGTGTTACGTAATTCCGGGTTACTGGCACGAGGAAAGTGGTAAAGTGCGTGAGTCGCGTGGAGGTCAGCTTTAAAAGGCACCGGGGTAACCGAGGGACGTACGTCAAGATGTCGTCGGGACACAGCAGTCGCAGTAGAGCCGTCCACATAAGTTCGATCTTTCAAAAGATCCAGGGTCGTTTCGCGGACGCGATGACACCGCCTAAGCTCTCCACGGACAAACGAATGTTAGACAAGACCTGGAAGCTGATGGACAAGGTGGTGAAATTATGTCAGCATCAAAGGATGAATCTTAAGAATTCACCTCCGTTCATCCTCGATATTTTACCCGATACGTATCAACGGTTACGACTGATCTACACTAAATACGAGGATAGAATGCAGGTGTTGCACAGCAATGAACATTTTTGCGTCTTCATTAATAATCTCATGAGAAAGTGTAAGCAGGCGATAAAGCTCTTCAAGGAGGGCAAGGAGAAGATGTTCGACGAGACTTCACATTATCGCAGGAACCTCACAAAGCTTAGCCTCGTGTTCAGCCACATGCTCTCCGAGCTCAAGGCCATCTTCCCCAACGGCGTCTTTGCGGGGGATCAATTTCGTATCACCAAGTCCGATGCCGCTGAATTTTGGAAGGAACGCTTCGGAAATAGGTATCGTGTGCGCTATGTTCGTTTATATCATACACCAATGCCACGTACACAACAAACTTCCTAACTACCTACCAACCAACCAACCTACGTGCCATCTTTTACTTGTTTTGGATACATCGCTAAGCTGTCTCTCTTCGCGCCTCCAATGACGTATAACCGATGCGTCCTGGTTATTAAAAACCATAAGACAGTTTACCTCCCGTTACAGTATAGCCATACAAAGTACGACAAATATATTAAAAAACGCATATCCAATACTGGAAAAAATTCCAAGTAGTTTTCCTTAATTGATATCAATTTCGAAACAAAAAATATACGTCAGTTTACCAAGTGGACTGTATTAAGTAAATTCCATCAAGAACACTTGTTCGTCAAGACACTTTACTCATCCAAGAAAAACGCATGAATTCTCTTACATTACACTAGCCAAGTTATCACTTGACTCACAGTGCTCTTATGGTTATCATAATACAGTACCGTTATATCTCGATAGAATCTTAATAATCTATTCTAGCATCATTCATTGAAATCCTGCTCCAAAATGTCTCCTGTTACTCCAATCATTAATCTCCATCAGAATGCGTATAAATCCCTGTCTAATACCTTAACAAGAATGAGGACAATGGTGTATTTTTTTCTAAATGTTCCGTACTCAAGAAGGTTTGTGAAATGTGGACAGTTCATTTAGCAGCATGATTTTCAAATAAACAAGAGGTTACTGCTCTTATCTAATATCGACAGTGTTGTGTCACCCTCGGTGGGCCAATGTTCTTCGCCTAGGCAAACTCGAGCCAATGAATTGAGCTGATTGTGAGACAGACGTTTTCTTGAATGAGTTGTATAGGCGAAACGTCATGGATTCATATAAATATACGTTGCGACCTCGGCAACGGGAACGTTTTCGAAACGTTATAAAAAAAATTCATGAATGAGCCATCGTTAAGTTCCGGAAACGAGTTGCGACGTGGATTATGCGCATGCGCAATGACTCTCCCGCGTATTTCGTAACGCGCGAAAAATATGCGAAACCAGGATCGATCGACTCGCATCTTTTGTCATCCGGTTCCGTATATTATTTACGAAAGGTGATACTAATTGGCATGGTGTACAGACAGATGCAGATACCTCACGTATAATTCAGTAGGTACAGTTACGAAATTCGTATATTCAATGTCGCGAGTACGTTCAAACGATAATTGAAAATAACCTTAAACTTCGATTAAGAGGACTATCGCCTGGTTTTCCCGTTACCAAAGTTAATTATTTACTTGTCATCTCGAAATAATTTATTAGTCCTGTTTGGCAGTGCTTCCAAAATGAAATATCACGGCCAAGCTTTTTCACGCTTGTTAAACAGCCTGCGTCGTGGCTTATTTTTTTTCCTAACGCTGTTCCACGATTCAACAAAGCTACGGTTTTCGTCGTAGGATGTGGGCGAACGCGATGTGGTAAGTTGGCGAGCGATTACATCGATGCACGAACCATCAGCTTCCGGCCAAATGATCTGCGAACATCCGGTCGTTATGATGCCCGTCTTGGTACCAGAAATTCTAAGAAATTCACGAATTTTCAGTCACTCGCTTCTGCTAAATTCTAGGATCAGCTGTAGGAACTTCGCTGATTTACGGCTTATAGGTAAACGAGAATAAAAATCTACCAGTTTCTTTTCGTCTCCTATGTTCTCGTTAACGCAGAACTCAATTCCCCTAACACGTAACGCTCGATGGTTCCGTCGGTCGATCCTTAATGTTACCTAAGGCCGATATCGCAAGGCTCATCATTCGCTCTCATTGAAATGCCCGTATTTGGTCTTCGTAAAGAAACAAATAATCCGCTCAGCCACAATTTCCCGAATCGTCATCGCGAACGTTCTTTATAGCGCGATAGCAAGAAGACGTTACGCAATACCGGAAGTGTTCGTGGTGCAGGCTTTATCGAAAGCAATTTTTAAATGTTAACCTATCGAAATTTTGTTAAACGGAGGAAAATAATATATATATATATATATATATATATATATATATATATAACATATCATCAATTATAATGTATAATTTTGAATTAAAAATACCGTTAAGCATAAGCTTTAACGCGACAAATACGCCCGTGTGTATATCTCCCGACAAAATATATCTCCCCTGCCGACAGCGACGAGTTAAGCTCACATCCGGACGTGAGCCGAAGCGGAAGGAAGGGGATGTGACGTCACGATTAAAGCGAATTAAACTAGTAACACAGGCTCGCCCGCATGGTTGCAGCCTACATTCCATTATCCTCGTACGGTTGAGTCAATGCCACAGGTTCGAGCAGCGAGAAACTCCTCTGCGACACCATTCAAGAATCCCTCGTCAATATTCTCTCTCTCTCTCTCTCTCTCTTCCTTTCTTTCTTTCTTTCACGACAAGTTGAACCAGCAGTAACGCAGCGTCGCGTAAAATTGGCGCACGAAAGAGACTCGAGCAATTTCAATGAACGTTTCTTTTATTCTTATTGTCGACCCAAATACATGTGCGTACACAAATACGCCGCGCCAGTGACGATTCAAATATTTTTCAGTAACGCCGAGTTTTATTGTGCGTCAATAAAGAAACCAGGCGGTCTGGCGTCTCGTGCGTGAATATTGCGTCGCAAAATTTTTCTATAGTCTCGCGTTATAGAGGAAAGAAGGAGGGAAGAGAGAGAGAGAGAGGAGGCTGCTGCTTCTGCTGCCGTCGCTTCACTCCGGATATATAATTTTACAGAGAGTGTAAAAAGGGCGAGCTCGAGTCGGCAAGTGGGCGTCCATGTTTGTAACGTATATACATGTATATATATATATATATATATATATACACACACACGTTCCTATTCAATGTATAAAATGCCTGGCGTGACGACACGAGAAATTTGTTTGCAAAAGTATTTTGAGAGCCTCTGACCTAGGCCTTAACGGGTCACATTGGGCTTGGCCACCGTGCCTACGGTTTCATTATAATACGTCCAAATCGCCCACACGATCACGCACGTATTCGCGTCACGAGACGCGGACTGACTGAAGCGCTAGAAAGAGAACAAGTCCGATTGAGAGCGAGTGAATGAGAGAGAGAGAGAGAGAGAGAGAGAGAGAGAGAGAGAGCGAGATATATAGAGATCGAAATTGAGAGGGCACAAGTTCGGCCGTAATATCGTGACGTATTCGTACCTAATTTATCATCGTTCCTGCAATGGTCATATACTTGCGTATATAAGATGCGTATATATATTCAGACTAGCTCTTTTACTCTCGGAAGATTTCTTTTGTTTCTGCTAATTGGACGGCTTATCTTATTCACTCTTTAGCGTACGGCTTTAGGTCCTGCTGAACGAGACAGGTCCATATACCGTCCAGTGTGGATTCTCTGAACTCTGTCCAGCAAACCTGCCGCGCACGCTGCTGGACACTGTCACGGCAGGGAGTTTACCAAAGTAAATGGCCAATAAAGCGAAACGTAAAAATCAAATAAACGAGCCGAGTACTATTTGCCCTTACGGAAATGACTCACGCTGGAAAGCAGCGTGGATCCAATATCCTCTCGATTATTAAGTTAACGCGTAGCTTCAGAGGATTCCGAAGGCAGCGAAAAATGCCTTTTTAATTCTTCCATTTGCACAGGTCTGGCTGGAGAATAGGTTTGAGTGTGTGGACTTAAGTGTAAAAAATTATTACGTATAATTGGTCGTTTATGAAGTTCGGCCTTAACGGGACGACGTTATTGCATTTTAGATCGGACTTTCCTGATGGGTTTCGATGCTTTTTACGTACTGTCTCGGGTCGTAACTTTCTTCGCTAGTCGGCTACTTTAATTATCACGTTGACGTAAGGACTCGTTGGGTTGTTTGAATATTTGAAACTTCAAACTCTAAAGACTCCAAGACGATATTCCCTTGTGTACACGATGACGCATTTTGTTAAATGTTATATATATGTATATGTATATACGGCTCCGTTTAAGGTGCCTTTTAACCGTACACGTGGAACTTCGACTCGGTCGCCTCTCAGTTGCTTCGCACACCCAGAGGTTAACACAGCGTGCACTTACTCCCGTGGAAAACTTTTCTTTTTTCCTCGACCAAACGAATTAGCAAGAATCAAATTCTCCTTTATCCCGAATACATTCTGCATTCATTTGTGAGAGTCCGTCGGCACTTTAAACATCTTTACGATCCGTTAATAATCAGTGTCCTTTGCCGCCTCGTACATCCCCCGTCCAGCGACGGTGCGCGACGCTGGCAAACTGGAAATACTAGTTTAGAGGCTCTATTCAGAAACAACCGTTCTGACATTTTACAGTTTAATAAGACACGAGGATTATGTACGAGAGTCTGCGAGTCTAATAGGCGCCGTCAGACCGAAGCCCACAGTCTGGTATCCTACACGCGATGACAACATTGCTGATTTTCATTGACAATATTTTACTTCGTTATCCTATCGTCTCTCCGATCATTCACTGGGGACTGGTGCTCGACGATTATAATTTCGTCATGGTTCGATATCTCGAATAGATCGTCCGCAACTGGCATAAGTCAACTTCGTAATTATTCAAATTTCCAACATGGCCGCCGTTCTGGCTGTTCAAACGGTCTTTTTTCTCGTTGTTTCTTACCGCTTCTTGTTTCTTAAAGAGAGAAATCCTCCGCGTTACTCGGCACAGTGTTAGCTCCAATTTTTCTACGCGATCTGGAGCGGCCATGTGAATTGGGTCGGGTACGTGAAATTGGCCTGAAGTTGCGAGCAGCGCAATATCGGCTTCGAGTGGTGGAAGATGGAGTTCTATGAGTGGGGACGGGCGTCAGATCAACCGACAAGCAAGGACGACTAATTATAGCGCTAATATCTCTTACGTCCACCGTGTACATTACCCGCGATCCGTACATAAGTATCTGCCTTTACGTTTACGTCGTATCGCGCTTAGAATTTACGGTAGAGACCGATAGCGTCGATCAGCCTTCCCATTGCCGCGGCAGCGATCGTTTCTTTCGTGGGTGACGTCACACGCCGGGTACTACTTTAGTCGTTGAGATTCTAAATAATTATGAAAATTTCTTCTTTTTTCTATTCAAATATATTCCGCGGGATACTTCGTAGCTTGTTGAACGTGTGTAAGTGCCGGAACGTGGGATCAGTTGTTTTTGTGGCTATATGGTCGTCTGCCATTGATTACGATAAAAGATAATGGTAACAGTGGCAACCGTAGTAGTAACGACGGTCATTAATGTCGAAGATTCAAAGTCATTGAACATTTAAGAGGTAAGCTGGGATGGTTTTGTTGGGTCTCGAAGTGGCGGTGATGACCGGGAAAGGAAAAGGGGCATCAGACGAGATCGCTCAATACTTGAATGGGGCACAGCTCCCACGCGAAACCTCTCTTGGGACACACTTGATCGTCCGTTTTTTCTTCTTTATTCTCTCTCTCTCTCTCTCTCTCTCTCTCGATTCGGTCACTGGAATTATTTCTACTTAGTCTTGATCGTCCGTTTTTTCTTCTTTATTCCGGTGATGACCGGGAAAGGAAAAGGGGCATCAGACGAGATCGCTCAATACTTGAATGGGGCACAGCTCCCACGCGAAACCTCTCTTGGGACACACTTGATCGTCCGTTTTTTCTTCTTTATTCTCTCTCTCTCTCTCTCTCTCTCTCTCGATTCGGTCACTGGAATTATTTCTACTTAGTCTTGTTTTTTTTTCTTCTGTATTATTATATTTTTTTTCTCTACTTGGGATAAACTTGATCATGCTGTTTTGAAAGATTTATGAAGCACGTCTGATTATTGTATGGATTCCTTGAATACATGTTTTTGTTGACTCTCTTAATTGTCTTGTGGAATTGTTCTGATTCACATGAAATTTGGCCGATAACGGATTTCATAATTTTCAGTGTGGACGGTGCATTAGAACTGATATGGCTTGCGCGGTTCGTTGATTCGTTAATCTTATCTATATACGTCCTGCGCTCGGATGATAGGACAGAGTTGCGATGGCTGTATTTTTGAATGTGTGAAATAGCGTTTTTTCCCCTTTTTTCTCCTTCATTTTCTCTATCTGACTTGTAGACTTACATGATATATAATATCTCGAGTGTACGATATTGGTTTTATTCTTCACCGTGACACGAGAAACTACTAGAGACGTTAACCTATATACTGTATATTTCAGTGCTTATGTGCTTATCACAATTGTTCTCTTCCTTTTCATCTTGTGAATTTCCAATTTGCTAATAAACTATCAGTAGTGGACTCGTGATTATAAAATTGATACATTGCATTGTAAAAATGTGCTGTAAAGCTTATGAAAACTCTTCTTTGCAACTGTGACACTTAGAGGATGATCGATTAGAAGTATTTTTCCAAATTGGAGACGAGTTTACTCGGCTCTACAGTTGGTCCGTGTCGTTCAACGACCTTTCCTTCCTTGTTGACAATGAATTTCGTAAAATTCCATTTGATGAAACTTCCCAAAGTACCACCTGCCTCCTTCTTCAGGTACTTCCAGAGGGGATGTGCGTTGTCGCCGTTGACGTCGATTTTCTCGAAGAGATCAAACTTCACCTGTTATTACGATTGAGTATTAGTCTTGATTCTGTGTACAGTTATATCTGGAAATCATGAACTGGAAGATAAATCTTTATGACATTACCTTTTGCCTGTCAGCGAAGCTACAGATATCATCACTACCACCAGGTTCTTGTCCGTTGAACTGATTGCATGGGAAAGCCAAAATGCGTAAACCTAAAAAGCGCGGGGGAGGTATTGATAAATTCCTTAAAATTTATTAATTCGCTACAAATTAATGATACGAACCTTTAGTTTCAGCATATTTGTCATACAGCTCATTCAGTTCTTTGTAATTGGTAGCTGTGAGGCCGCATTTGGAGGCCACATTGACAATGAGACACACGTGCCCTTCGTATCTGAAAATTCAAATTTTATTTATATACAAATATGTCACTAGCACGCAGTATTGAACCAAACAAACTTATACACTTACTTGGTCAGTGGGACGTCTTCCCCTTTTATAGACTTGACAGTAAAGTCGTAAATCGACTTGGCCGACTTGTAATCCTGATTTCCGCTCATACCTGAAGCAACGATATTATACATTTATATGATTTTTTATCCTATTATCAGCGAAAAACTTCAATCAGAAAAGCAAACTCAAGCGCACACACGTAGGCCCTACGGAATAGACTGACCTTAGGAAGAAAATAAAAAAAAATAATTTCTCCATTATATAAGCTGTCATAAATCGATTGTGATACAATAATAAAAAACTGTTAGAAACCAATGCAAATGAAATATCCAGGACTTAAGGGAAAGCATAAAGTCCCCTACGTGTACGAAAGAAACGAAGCGGGGGAATTAGAAATATTAGGAATTGACGTGAAGATTCTTTCGTGGCTTCGCATAACTAATTTCTTCTCTTTTAATACGAATTATACTGGAGGGATAGTACGTGCCTGAATAATTTCGTGTGATTTGATGCAGGCCCACTATCGATAATCTTAGGACACGCATTCTCGAGTTCTCACGCTAATCCTGAAATCCATTGGGGGGTTGGTAGACATGTTCATTATCAGCAAGTAGCTACGTGTCGTTTCGTATCGATCCAATCGGATAAAACATTTATTACAAAGGATTTGCGTAACGCCAATACGGCCATCCGTCAGTATAAAAAGGGTAAATACAGGTTGCGCTTCTCGATAAATTTTACCTGGAACTAATATTTCTATCGGGCAAAATGACACTTTAATGCAATCACGCGAACTCATCCCGCTTTGACCTCTAAAGTTCACCGTTATAGTCAGGAAAATAAATTTACAAGAATTCCCATGAACCTTACATAAAGATCGACTGATATTTCCAACTTTATTATCATTAAAAATGAGTTTCCGTTAACGTTAAAATCATGTTATTTGAATACGTCGGATAGTTACCGCCATCTGTCGCGCGAACGGAGAACTATCACACTACGCCATTGAATCTCTAAACCCGGACGACCATATTAACCTTCAGATTTAACATGACATACAACGGTACACAGATTTTCTTCTAGGATCAACTTCCTATGATCATTTAGTATTAATATCGAAAGTTATGTAATTATAAAGTCTTCGATACATACCGATTATTGTATTTTCTTTGATATCGAGAAGAAGCGACAGCGTTATAAACCACTCCCCGGCAACTCTATACACGTACTGGCTTCACTCTGCGCTTGGCTAGTGCTACGACGGTCGTTCTAACGGGTGTCCTGTTCATATATACCTTTTTCCTGCCTACGCTGTAGCATGACTTGTCCAATTTGCTCACATTGACGACTCATCACATGTCCCCCCTCTTCATCACGAAATATCGAACTTTACACCTTATCTAATTCTACGAGATAAACAGACACTTTTTCTTAACCGGACACAATACTGATGGTGTCCATCAGATATACAATATTATCAAAGGATATACAGCGCTGCTCAAAAATATTGACTCAGTATGTATCGCATATATATTTTCAACCGAAATTTTTGAATATCCAACATGATACATTTATTAATTTGCAAACATCCGCGTCTCTAATTTTACTTAATATAAACTATGACTCATATCTTCTATATTCTCTTTATAAATTTCATGGCTTCCTCTAGTTACCAGAAGGCAGGCGATTTACTGATAAATGCAATTGTTACTCGTTCAGGAAAGTTACAGAAATATCTACGATATACCGGGTAGCGTAAAGCTACAATATAAATGTGTCCCGATTAACGTGTCTCGTGTCTTTCTAATTTCGATCGGTGGTCATAAATAGGTTAATATTTTACGCAATGCCACGTGCAATTTCGATACAGCGTTTATACATGTTCTCTAAATCGATATCCGGTGCCCTGTATTATTCCTCAACGATTCCAAGTCTCGCTGAGGGTTTGCTGACACCTTGACATAAAAAATCATAGAATTCGTGATATTTATCAGTGTCATTTATTTATTTTTCAGCACACTGGTCCCCTGGAAAGTATTCAGGCACGAGCTGAATCAAGTTCATCCTATTAGTTCTGGGCTGCAGGCGATGGCACTAAAGTCTACGATAGACCTGACGTGCAACGATTATATATCTAACTTCGAATTCGACGTATTCACAAGGTAATAATAACTCCATTAGCAAATTGCCCAAGATGACGTAAGTCATTAGAAGTCGTGTAGTGTATTACGGCTTATTTTTAAAAAATCTTTTATTTGTTCACTCAAAGTAAGAAATTTCTTTGATCGTACAGGCTGTTTCAACCGTGGTCAACCCTATTGCGAAATTGGAAGATTCTCGCAGTGACGCACCCTGGTTACGTAGCTTTTCTCACGTACGACGAAGTCAAAGCTCGCTTGCAAAAATATTGTATCACCAAGCCGGGAAGCTACGTCTTCCGGTTGAGTTGTACGAGGCTAGGGCAGTGGGCCATCGGATACGTCACGTCCGATGGCGACATTCTCCAGACTATACCGCATAACAAAAGTCTCTGTCAAGCATTGCTTGACGGTTATCGAGAAGGCTTGTAAGTATAAAAATTATGTTATCTCTTAGGTCTATAATACGTAATTTATATAGGTTATAATAACAGATCGGAAGATTGTTAATCTATGATTAATATGTGATAAATATTTTCAATGCCATTCCTAGCCGGGGATGGTCGTTCGTGGGATTAAGATATTGTACTTCCGGTCGATTTTAATGACAGTCACAATTTTGTCAATCAGTTTTGTAATCCGTGTGATTTCAGCTACTTATATCCTGACGGACGTAATATTAATCCGGACTTAACGTGGGCGGTGCAACCAACCCCTGAGGAACATATAAAAGTAACGGCGGAGCAGTACGAGTTGTACTGCGAAATGGGTAGCACATTCCAGTTGTGTAAAATTTGTGCTGAAAATGACAAGGACGTGAGAATAGAACCTTGTGGCCATCTTCTCTGTACTCCGTGCCTCACAGCTTGGCAGGTAGCAGTGCCTATTTCATGTTTCTACCACTGTGCGTTCCTTTAAACTGATCTAGTGATGTGCTTTATTCGTCACAGTAAAAATGATGGACTGTAATAACCTGTAATATAATATATATATAAGCTAGGAAACTTACGTGCATAGAAGGAAAGACCGTTAAGGCCGCAGCAACCACCTTGTTAAAGGGGGAAGAATATATTTTGCTGAAACGTCTCGTTACGTGGACATACGAAGGACTCTGTGTGTTTATTATCGTAAATATCGTGACAGAAATGGAGCATAAAATTTCTATGGAGATGAAATGTAGGACATTGAAAAGGAGGGCAAAGTGTTGCAGCTATATTGCATCCCTTAGCATCGTTGAATCTGGGTTGCTTCTAGCACCGTCGAAGTACATGGAATTCTAGCTACAGGTATCAGCTGTAGAGTCGGAAGTAGCACCGTCTCGCAAATATGGACTTGTTGGCAGCTCGAGTAGAACCGGGCACGTGGGATCGAGTATAATTAGATGGATGAACAGTGGAGCCTATGATAGTCTATCGGTCTTGTCAAAGGGCAAAGTTAACGCGGAGCTTTCGAACGGCAGACAAGGGACTAATCGTATAATAACTCTTGTTTACTTCAACGCAAGGAGCAGACGTAGTTGCGTCATTTGTGTTATTTATCGTATTAACGAAATTATCAAATTGAAAGCAAATGTTGGATTGTACGTTTTTTTGTTTTCAATAGAAATTTACTGCTTTGTTTCAGGACTCGGAAGGTCAGGGCTGTCCCTTTTGCCGTGCCGAGATAAAGGGTACGGAACAAATCGTAGTGGATCCGTTCGATCCTCGGAGAACCCATCGACCTGGTGCCCACTCAGCCTCTGCCAGTAATGCGTCAACCCCTACGCGGGATCTTGACCCTGACACCGAGGTATCCGACTAGGACTAGCATCTACCCTCCATTATCAAACGTGACCCCACGTACAATGACATCCTGAAATACGCATCATTTTTCAATAATCCCTCATATGTCTCGTGACTTCATTGTCATAAAGCATTTAAATAAATCATCGTATCATCGTCCTCTTATATTCATATTGTCACAGTTGCGCTTCACTTACTAATGACAATCCACCTTATCGTACGTGAAACTTGGAATACTTGACCTATGGATAATGACTCTTACCGTAGACATTACGCCTTTACGGGTTTTTTCTTTTAATTGCCCAGGGCTGGTAGAGGATCGTTATTTTTAGTTTTTCTTTTTTCTTTTTTTTCTTTCTTCTTTTTTTTCCTTGGGTTCGTAACCAATATTACTTTACAACATTGGTATCGATTTCGTTACTGTCAGCAGATACAAGAACTTGATGAAATTTGTCTTTTCACTTATTAATATTCCGATCGTGCGATAAGGTGGCTTGTCTTCGTGCATCTCGTTAGCCATATCATCATCAGCTTATCGTAAAAGCTCTTATCGTCATTTTATTTTATCGGTCGATCGATTGTTATAGTTTTAGCCTTTCTTTGTTACTCGTGTCAGTACTCCCAGGGAGATTTATTATTCATGGAACAATTAAACTTTCGACGTTTGTAGAACCCAGTTTCACATGAGTTTACGTTCGGTTGGCTTTTATTGCCCGGACCTATGGGACTCCTTCAAAGTGGACCACATCTCTGTATACATTTATCTTACGACTCTGGAAACGCTCGCTCTTCGCCCGAAGATCGACGCCAATTTCCGATTTCATAATAAAGCATCCTCGCGATTTATTCTTATACCGACGAGATGGGAATAAAGTTAAACATTTTTTTTTTTTTTTTTTTTTTTTTTTTTTTTTGAGAGAGAGAGAGAGAGAGAGAAAATATGGCACTCAATGGGAATCTATATCTGAAATCTAATACTGTACTCTAACATTGTGATAATGGAGAATATTGTCGCTATTGTGTTCGATATTTTGGCAGTTGGCATAAATGTTGATTTATGTGACTTTTGTTTATCAGTTGTCTAATATAACTGTGTGACAAGGACGCTAGGCACGTGCTGCAAGTGTTTGACGCACCGTGTGACAGTATGTAGGTAAAGTGATTATGAAAATGCATTTTTTTATTTCTTCTTCTTTTGTTAAGGCGACTACTACTATTTTGGCACGGTACATATCGTCTACAGTTTTATTTGGAATGGTCGACACGGTATTAAGCGGTACAGTAATGTTGTCAGGCTATTTCGCGATATGGAAGTATGCACTCGGGTCTAATTATTAATTTTCACATCGAATGGGGGAGTGCATAGATGAGACAGACGAGTCGGGAAATCTCTATATAATATAGATAATTATATAATTTATGAGATATGTTAAATAAGTATTACTAGATTATGAAACAGGAACGTTTTTTCGTATTTGGAGTTCAACTCCCAGGAGATTTTTATGTTACTGCGCCAGTAAAGCTGTACCATGATTGTCGCACAAATAACAACGCGCACTTTAGAGATGCAAATTGCAAAGAGAAGAAAAAACGAAAAAAGTTGATTTTTTACTGTCACGTGATTGATCTTGTTCAAAATTGACGTTGCCGTGCGATCTTTCGTATTAAATTTTGAAAAATTGCAAAAGCCTGTATTACACAATTATTAGGATCCGTCGTAATCGTTAATGTCAGTTTTTCACTTTACCTCATAAATTTCCCATGGCAAGTCACCAGATACGTAACGATTGAAAATACATATATTTCTCTACGTTTCAACTTTTATCCGAAACAATTGAATGAACGCGAATGCTCATTAACGTGCTTACCACAAAGTAATTTCGATTTGTGCGAAGATTTACGTTTTTGTCTCTTATTTTTATTTATTTATATACTTTCACTTTTCTCTCTCGACCATTACCAAACGGTGCTGTGTCACTTTTGCGCCAGACAATTTTTATTTGTCGTCTATGACTCACTGTCCACGGCTTCGTATGAGAGACTGAAAAGAATTAAGGAAAAGAAAGAGAAGCAATGACGTAATATTAAATTGCATCCAAAAGTGTGTTCATAATGTCGCCAGTGTTATTTGTACAACTAATGGTGCCGCTTGACTTAGGAACCTTCCCTTGCCATGCATCAGCAGTGGCGCGTTAGATAAATTTAGTGATCATTATTCTAATGTACGACCATTTCTACTTATTGTAAAATAATAGGTATTTGAAGAAAAAAAAAAAGAAAAAAAAAAGAAAAAAGATTTTTTTTAAATAAAATTATATTATCTTATTATATTGAGTTCCTTCTGCACTTGTACGTATTTCCCTATTGCTGGATAATCTCGATGACGCTGAAAACAATCTTTTTCGATTATCTTTGACCAGCAATAAGGAGCTCAGTGTGCGGTGGTGTTGATTTGTATTGCCCGCATGATTTTGAGTTTTTTTTTTTATTATTACTTTCTGTTGTATTTTTATATTATATTGTGTTGTCCACTGGGTCCAATGCTCTGCCCGCTGCATGAACGAACTAATTGGGAATGTACGTATACATAAAGCAACTCTTTGAAGTGGGACTTAAGGTAAGTGACAAATTGCATTATGGCTCTTGGCTTCACGCTTCTTTTTTTTTTATTATTTAACGTTTACGATTAATATGGCAATGCTGACTTATGACTTTGCATCTTTGAATTTTTATTTTACTTTCCCATTTGACTGTACTTACCTCGTCGTTACGCTTCCATCGAACGAATTTTATTTTTACATTTCTCATACTGTCATTGTGCCATAATAGTGCCTTCTTTTCTTTAGTACGTTACTTTTTTTTTTTGTATTCTCCTCACGGTCTTGTAAGTACTGCTTTGAATTTGATTTTCAAAAATTCATTGAATATCGTTTATGGATTTAACGTTAGGTCTATAAATGATGCATCGTGTCCAAGACGCCGAATAACACTGAGAACAAACTTTCGTACGTTATCTGCGCTCGTTCCTATACGAATTACAAATATTTTAATGCCATTTCAACTAATTATATTTATAAATCTCAAGATTACAGGTATAAAAAGCATTGAGTGCTCGTCTCACGTGTGTACGTCATAATCCAATTGAGGAATATAAATATTCATCAATCATTTTTTATCATCGTCATACATCACACGTGCTCGAGCTGGCATCATCATTCGTTTGACTATTCACATTAATTACCCAGTGTCCTCCATCGATCCTATAACAGTGAACTGATTAAAAATCAATTAATAATTAGACCAGGTTCATTTTTCATTGATAATCAAAAGTCATTACGTCATCTAACACTACACGTAGCTTCGTAGATTCACAGTTTTCATCTCTCTCTCTCTCTCTCTCTCTCTCTCTCTCTCTCTCTCTCTCTCTCTCTCTCTCTCTCTCTCTCTCTCTCTCTCTCTCTCTCTCCTTCTTTATCTCCCTAAGTATCTCTTCTGTATTATAACATTTTTTATCCTCCAGGACATAATGGAAATTTGCAACGGCAATTGCGGTCTGATGTGCGACGACTGTGACGACTGTGACGACGAGGATGACGTCAGTCCCATGAATTCTCCTGTACCGCCACGAAGAATCGTACCAAGTCCACCGTTGCCACCTAGAAGACCATCTCCGTCGCCAACACCCAACTGTCATCCCAGAAATGGACGGCATTTAACAGTGCCTAAAGAGAATGCACCACCACCACCGGCAGTAATGGTGATACTGTCATCTAGTGAAAATCATCAGAACAACAAAGGTAAATTTTATTCTATGTCTAATAATCCTAACGATTATAATAAAATGTATGTAATTTAAAAAATATCTTTTCCTTTTCACAGGCACGACGGAAGCGAGATACGACATGCTACACAGAGCGTCATCTCCGTCGCCTATACCACCTGCAATCGTCAGACCACACGTCAGATCGCATCGTGCGCCTCCTGCTTTACCTGAGAAGTCAGGACGTCATTCCACATCCTCACTGTCGTCCACGACACCATCCACGGTACCAACAGTGCCTCCCGTTCCTCCACCTCTTTCCGCGCCACGGCCGCCAAAGACTCTGAAAGATATACCAGAGCAAGATCATCACTATGAGAACACTATAATAATACCTGGTACGAAGCAACACGTCGTTAAGAATATCAACCTGGAGATGAACAGAGCACGACTCACGGCTCTCATGAGGGGTCGGGATGAAGCTGGTGGACCCATATCTAAGGCTGAATCTGCTGCTTATGAGAATGTCAATGTAGAGCATATCTCTAGACTGACGGCACTTGGCTTTGCTCAGGATGCCGTTATACGTGCACTGGGTATCACTAGGAACGACTTGGAGATGGCCTGCGACATACTCCACGAGTTTGCTACCAAATCTTCCTGACCAGGTACGTGGAGAGCCTGACATTGATGGTCCATGGATATCTGAAGAAGATGACCTCGCCCAGTGCTTTGTTCCTCTCTCGTCGTTATACAAGGTTTTTTATTCTTCTTGGATACAGGGTCTGATGGAAATTGCCCACCTGTACCAGCCAGACGGTATTTTTGACGATGAAGTTGTAGAGAAAACGTGGACCATGCTAACTCTGACCCAGGTGGACGTGTTGGCCTTTCTAATTCCATCAGAATGTTACTGATTGTCATTATGCCTGTATAAAATTTAATCCATTGTTTTGGAAAGGCGTTAGAGGAGCACGAATTGGATCTGTACGTTTGAGACTTCTTTTTTACTTTTATGGCTACATGGTACATGTTCATTTTTACACGTCAGTGGTATTATCTTGTAACCATTTTATTTTTGGTATCCATCACCATCTTGAATGCAAGCATACCATCGGCTTAGGACGAGCAAAGATTGTTAAGACGATTGTTTCCTTGATGCAGATGCAACTCGTGCTCGTACGTTACATAGTATTCGTATAAATAATATTCTATGGGTACGCAGCATTTTTGGTACCTCGTAAGTGTGTAGCGATAAACTCGTTAATGCAAATAAGTCCGTAAAATAATAATATTATCGTTCACATTAAAAAAGAGAATCCATTGCATGATGTTTATTCTATTTATTTATTGTAGCGTATTCGTCAAATGTGATATTTATGTTTATATCTTACGTACCCACGTACATTCTGTCATTGTACTATATATACTGTACTAGGATCAATAAATAACGAATCGAAGTGACTCGATAGATAATATATATATTATAATATATATAGTGAATTGTCAGAGGACGTATATATAGCATCGGTAGACTGAAGTGATGTGTAATAACGGCACGCTGCAAACTATCATTAACACGAACAATGTACTTTGCTAACACTTACGTGCATATGGCATTTTAATTTGACTGATAATTTAATTATCTCCTTCAGACAATCATTAGCTTATAGTTTTAACGTGAAATTTATCGTTGCTGTTAAAATCCTTTTTCACGACAAAGGATTCATTTTCCTTGATCTTCGAGTTTTCGTTAGTCGTAAAATTTTGCTATTCCGTAGGGTATTTATGATAGTGCTTTTCTTTTGCGAATCCTTGTTCTTTCTTTTTACCGTTTCCAGGAAAATGTTAAATTCAATGTAAAATTTGAAAAATGTTCGGCACTGTTGTTAACCGTTGGCGTTAGTCGATGATCGAGAAATTTGTATGCACTGCGACGCGCAAAACTGACTTCGTTGGTTTAAAAAATTATAAACAATTTATTTTTAGCCCACGGTAATCACTGCGTATTGATTGACAGAAGCTTTGAGAATATTATGATCTTCCTTTAATTTATCCACCGTCTTACATAAAGGTCGCGAGTTAAACGTCCGGTACATTTTACACTAATGATTATAATATTATCAATATATAGTGAGAGTTCATTGTGTTTAATGAACTGTTTATGATTGTCCGGAATAGATAAGAGGTGAATTGGTCTATTCTTGCATGCTGGAAATATCCAATTTAATCTGGGATACTGAATGTCATATGTTTATTAATAGTAATACAAAGCGTCAACAATAAATCTACAGATATAAGAAAAAAACTTATATATATACATTATACATGTTAAGCCAAACGTGAAACTCGCATCCGAGACGGAGTAAATAATATAATTATTAATCATTCTTATAACAGTAATACATACTGATAAATGTCATCTAGCTATCTGTTCAGGGTATTGGAGCGAAAGACATTTATCACGTATAGACAGTCTTGAGGTATTATAAATTGTCGTGGGATAATATTTTCTTGGAAAGTAGGTAAATTTGAGTCGTGACGTATCGGCGTATGACGTATCATGTTTTCAATCAAACTGTGCAAGGCGCGATATGCCTTCGAAAATTTTATTTACTTTAAAGATGTCTATTTTGCTTGTCCAACTATAGCAGCCTGTGTTCAAAATATATATTCGGAGACGTTAATAGTTCCTTGCAGTTTCTATTCTTTATAGGCAATAGTAATAAAATATATAATTCATGTATAGATTCATGTAATTTGATTGTATAATCAAATTAATCATTCGCAATTAGAACAATTGAAACTTCAAAGGTCCTCTCATTTTTTTTAATAATCATTTTTCTTTGTACAATTTTTCCGTTTCGATCTGCCATCTTTAAATGTCCTATTTTTCTACATTGAATATTCCAATTAGCGTGTACCAACGGTAACAACAATATTAAAAAATAAAATTATGTTTTCCGAATGCATAAACTGCTTACTGTAAAACGTTGATGGACCGAACCCAAGCCGATCAAAAATATCATTATTTTGTCAAGCACTAGTAAATAAGAATATTTATGTGGTGCAATACATAGCATAGAGATCCTCTGTTATTTAATCATTGGCTGTATAAATTATTTTATGTATTCAAAATAAAAAAAAAACGTACAGTTATAACAGTATACTAATCTAAATAACCTATTGCAAATTTATTACATGAACAAATATTCGGCGTGGTAAACATCGTCGAAATTAAATGTGGATAAAGTCCGTAAAAGTTCTGCCGTGTAAAATAAAAATTGACGGCAAGATTTCATGTAGCTCTTTTTCATAGGGACTGAAGATAATTAACATACCGAACATCAGCCGTGTATTTGCTGGTAAATATGATTGGGTGTCCATTTTTTTTTGTTTACCAATTAACCAATTCGTAATTAATAACATTCCACGGAATATGGCACTCTGGAATCTTTTTCTACTGGGTATGCTGAAAGTGCCCGAGATAATAAAGATGAGCTAGACGGCTGGCAGACGGTCGTTTTTGCCTGAGCACTACCTAGCATTATGAGGGAAGCATCACAGGACGCGTGTAAAGATTAGATTGACGAATGCTGTAAGACAAATTGGAGGGAGAACAGTTATGGCTATGCTGGAGAGAAGACAGATAAAACCTAGATCCGCGAATAACAGTCATTAGCACGAAGTCGCGAAGTTCAGTGGTTCGGTAGCAGGACAGAAAATTCGAAAGACTTAGAGAAAAATAATGGAGACAGCGTCGAATACGGTATGTGGAATAACAGTTCGTAATATTACTGATTTTTGCCAAAGAAAATGTTTTACGAAATTTATATGTATTTAAGATCAATCTTACGGATGGATTTTATGCCTGATCGTTGATTACCTGTATTTGATTCTTGGGGCGCTACACTGATTTCACTTTTGACAGTGAACGTTATTTCTACGTGATTCAAATCAGTGATGCGGCAAACTTCGATTCTTTCGATACGACGAAAAACCCGCGATATATTTTTAACCGTTATTCTGTTTACTCTAATTTATGATATTTAAAAATACTTGTAATTAATAATATTACAAGTTATCGGTCGCAATGTACTTGTCTTTAAGAAGTCTCGGTACTCTTAATCGCTGTCACGCATTCAGCACGTTGCCGTATTGTAACCGTCATTCACGCTCTCGAAATAGAATTTTTAAAAATGACTAAAAAGACCGTGGTCGATTTGTACATTTTTGCTACTTGAGAATTAATATTTTTTCGAAAGACCATCCGCTGGCTAAGTTTTGATCATTTTTTTGGTAGAGATACTAGAATTCTTTGGCGAAGATACTTTGGACAATTTTCTTAGAAAGGAAAGAGAAAAGGGGTTTGAGACGGTATGGTGAATAACACGGTAAAATTTAGAGTCCCAGACACATTTACCATATTTAAAACGTATTATTTTAGTAAGTTAATTAATTAATTTTTAGCTATTTTTCGGAAGTCTTACAAATTTTCCGAGTTTTTCTAAGTATTTATACTCTATTGGTGACATTCTGGATTCTTTGCAAAATAAATTTTAGCAAAATTTAAAAAAAAAGAATCAAATTCGCTACAATAACGTACAATCTCAATCCCACACTCGAAATATAAAAGTGCGTGAACATTAATTGTCAATGAGAAAATCCATGTTATGTCTTATATTATATCAAAGCGACTGAAGATTGAACTTTCGAGAAGTTTATCGAATATGTTAAAACTGTAAAAAATTTGTTTGTTTACCGATCATCAGTCAATACTCAATCAAGAACTTTGAACGTTAATTACAATTTGAACTATGAACAGAATTCATAACGCAGAAATCGATGATTCAGAAAATGTTTATCCATCGTGTAATTTTCCCGAGAAACGAATCGATAGTACAGTAATTAAACAAAAGCATTATAAATTACAGGCGATAGGCATCTTGCTATTGATGCTATTGATATCAGTAGATATCAATGCAAAACCATGGCCGCAACGTATCCACCCAAAACACGACATAACCACATTAGATCCAAGTAAAGCTGTTTGTACGACAGAGGTAAAGTTTCTATCGTTACTAGACTAAAAAGAAAAATCATTCGTAAGAGCAGTGACGTAATCTAATAAAAAAACAATTACATTTAATTTACAGACAGCAAGCCTTTGTCAAAAATGTGCTAAAGAAACGAAAAGTGACGTCGTGTATCCCTGGTGCTGCACCAATCACGAGGGAGCTCGGACCTGGTGTGAAAATTACTTATATTTCGGTTTGCAGTAGTACACTACGTGTAAAACAAGATCAGGCCAATCAAGAGTTTCAGCATAGCTTTAAAGAGCTTCCATAGTTCTTCTTCTCAAAGGGTTATATTGAGCGATTATTCATCGTAATCGGTGTATCTCTAATCATATATTATACAGTTAAATATAGCAAAGGGTTCAACATATAGAATTGTTTGCACGACTTGTGTCTCATGTATATAGCATTCATTCATATCCATAACTGTGCAACATCTATACTGTGATAAAATGTATCATAAAATATTGTCATTATCATGATATCGTATCACGCTTCTATTTAGGCAAAAGCACATCGCATCGTTAGATCCCAACCATATGTGAATACGAAAGATTTTTCAAGTCTATAAATGGTCGAGGATATATATTAATATTTGTCTTATGAACAATAAGTAGGACGTGATTCCGTTAGCGCATGAGAATGCCCTTTGGACTATGAAGTCTCACCTAATATCATAAGTATAAGAATAAGTAGCGCGCATATTCAGTATTAATCTAATTTCGGTCTGATTGATTTGGACAGAAGCGCATGAGTAAAGTAACGAATTAATTATACTACGTGGGCCTATCGCAGTAATATTAATAGTTAGCATTACTTTTTTTATTCATAAAACAAACTTGTTATGTTCTTATACTTATTTATAAGTTTGCTTCAGTATTATGAGACTTCAAGGCAATTGTGATGTTTAATTACTGGTTAATTCTATGTTGCGTATCTATTCTATGTATTGTAATAAGTTTATTTTTATTTTTATTTTTAATTAGTATTACGTCGGGTAACAATATATAATAAGACAGTGTACAATACCGTGTGCAATAGGTGATCGTTATTGACTCCGTGTGGCATTATCGGCAGATAAAGAAATTAAGAAGAAAGATAGTAAGAGGACTAACAAAAAATAAATTATAACTATAAATATTCAAACTGTCTAAGAATTAAGTGTTTACCCTCTCGAGCTCTTTAATCGTTCGTAAATTATGTGTACTAAATTCTGCATAACGATTACATGCCAGCATGGCATGGAAATAGTTTCGTAATATACATACATATAGTATTACGAGGACGCCATGTTGTGCGAAGTGCGCTATCAATCCGCGCAAAGTTCGATGCTTCTTTTTTGGCTGTCTAATTAAATGACAGAAATAGCCACCAGCTGCCACGAGCGCTTCAATCAAATTTATCAATTTATGACCTTGTGCAACGTGACTTCCTATTTATGAAAATGATAAATATTGCCGTTATTTCGTATAGCATTTTATGGAATATATGAATTAGGCTATGAACTCATTACCCAGTTCAGGGGTTACTGATCAGGACTCTTAACGTTCAAGTCCAATGTGTCTGGTGTCAAATGTCAAGTTCCATATAGCGATATACATATAATCAAGTATGTTACACCGAGACTAATTAAGGAATTGTGCACGTGATTTATTAATGAAATTTAAAAAAAGTCAACAATATTAAGAAAAGTTATCAGGATATAACATAAAATAGCTTTGTTAATTCATAGTATACTTTTAATGAAATTCAGAACAGTATCAAAAAATCTTCTGTTTTATAATATACACATTGTACATCAGATTGGTATATATACAATTTGCAAAATAATTAACTGGACGATAATTGTAATCGTAATTTCTCATATCGTTTCAATTCTTCTCGGCTGACAGAAGGTGCCAGATTTCTTATAGCCTCCAAGAAATCTTTCAACGTAACGGTTATTCCATCATTGAAGTCAACATGTTCCTTGAAAGCTGCTTCCCTGAAGTATTTCTGATCTGCATTATTGGTAAAAATTCTGCGTACAGCCAACAACCAAGCATCTGAGCAGACAGCGTATAAATCAGCCCCAGTCAAATTAACTGGCAACTGCTCGACAATTTTCTCCAATTCCTTTCCACCATTTTCCATTTTAAATTTTCGGGTGAGTGCCCGAAGAACACTAAGCTGGGAGTCACGATCCGAGTAAATTCCCACGTAGAGCATCTTATCGAATCTGCCGGGTCTCAAGAGAGCAGGGTCGATGAGATCCGGCCTATTTGTAGCACCAATAATGAAAATACTGCCAGTACTTTCTAAACCATCCATCTCGGCAAGAAGCTGAGACACAATTCGGTCCATTACTCCACCGCTATCTCCACTCCGTCCTCTGTTCGGCGCCAATGAGTCGAGCTCATCGAAAAATATTATACAGGGTGCCGCAGACCTTGCCTTTTCAAAAACTAAAAGAATTCAATGACTTGTAGTCAATAGCGCCTGTCGAGAATCTCTAATGATATAATAATCTCTGAAAAACTTGTCGCTCGCAGCGCTACACGTACACCATTTTTTTTAATATTATAAATACGTGATAAACGCACGCTTTCTTCGCATGATCTGTCACTCTAATTAATCTATTTATATAACTACTCCCAACTACAACGTATTAAGCGAATATTTCCTACTTTTTATATACTGAGACTATAATGCGTCATAGATTAAATATTTACCTTGGCGAACGTTCTTCTCACTCTGTCCAACGTACATGTTTAATAGCTCTGGTCCTTTTACTGATAAGAAGTGAAGCTGACATTCTGTCGCTACAGCCTTTGCCAGTAATGTCTTCCCAGTACCCGGTGGACCATACAGAAGTAATCCTGAACGACCAAAACCTTTTGTATTCAAAAGGGGCAATTCGATTCTTCGTGTTATTTCCTGTTTCAAATCTGCCAGTCCACCAATATCTTCCCAATGAACTGTAGGTACCCTCGGTGCACCAATTTGATCAGAAAACATTGTCTGCATGTATTCTGTGTTTGGGATATCATTAATGTGATTATCAGTATATTGTAATTATTGTTAATACTGTAATAATTATACTGTACCACAAGCATTGACAAAATCATCATGTAACAATGATATTGATGAATATTCTTTGGTATTTGTCATCAGCCTGTATCTTGTTTTTACTGCGTGTAATATCAGAGCTTCCAGATCTGCTAATACAAAGTCTGAACACATTCCAGCAATTTTTGATATGTTTGCTTCATACTTTAAACATTTACTTGCTAGTAGCCAAAGCAATGTTTCTGTTCTTTGGTTTCGGTCTAGATTCTTTAAGCTAATTGATTCAATAAAAATTCGCCGTAGATCAGCAGGAATTTCTGAAGCATCTGACGTAGCTATAATTATTAACGGATATTCCAGATTTTTATCATACGCTTTTTTCAATTCGGTAGCAAAGGCTGATATTGTTCGCTCATCTTTTTGACCTTCTGCATCTTTTCCAAACACCTGTAAATAGTTTAATAATTATAGCAGTGTATCTTCATCGGCAGATTATTAAATTAAATGGCGATGAATAATACCTGAATATTATTCAGTTTTAATATACAAGGTACACAGTTTTCTGCTTTATGTAGCACTATTCGTAGTTTAGCTTCTGTTTGAGCAGCTGTTAATGACTGTATTTCTGCGAAATCAACATTGAGCAGATTTACACCCATTCTTTCAGCTACGGTTTGAATTAATCTAGATTTTCCACTACCAGTTCGTCCTTCCACAAGAAATACAGGTCTCATATCCATAGGCACATCTATAATGAAAATTTCTTGATATAATATTTGATTATAGAATTATTTTAGTTATATACTGATAATAGATTGCATACCTTTCTGTATAAAAGGTAAGATACAAGATTCAAGATTTTCCAGTACTTGATGGAGTGACGGGGGATAGTTATAACATAAATATTGTTCAGATTCATTATTAGTGTCAAACATTAGAAGTAATTCTTCAGAAAAATCAAGACTGTGTTTTTGAGGAAGGTGACTGTGAACATTTACTTCTTGAGAAAGAGTTGTTTTATCTCGAACAATGTAACAGCCATCGCTGTTGTTAAAAGAATCGTTAACCTTTATAGTTTTAATTTTAAAGAAGACGACATTGGCATTGGGATTTAACGAGAAGTAGAAATAATCAGGTGCATAATCCCGAATGCTGATGGAAAATATGTCATTGGATCGAAGGTAACGTGGTTCAGAAAAATAATTGCTCAGAAGCGTATCAATTAAGTCATTTGAACGATCATAAGGATTTGCAATAACGCTTACTGTAGCTTTTTTTGCAAATTTTGGTACATTTTCCAGCCATGGAACTGTAACAGTTTTAATAAATTAATTTAACTGTAACCTTGAGCATTTGCTATTGTCAAAATATACTCACATATAAAATAATACGACGTTCTATTTGTATGTAAAGTGTTTTCTATATTAAATCTTGTAGATTCAGAAACAATTAAACTATGACTTTTAACATTTGGTAATGGTATGATAAAAATCTTATATTTTTCATTATGTTCCATTGATACAATATAGAACCAGCGCGGAACAGTAGTTCCTATGAATGTTGGATTTCCAAAGGCACATGAGTAACAATCAATATAAATTAATTGCTCTGTATAATTGAATAACTTTTTTAAAGTTTTATCTGTAACAGACTGAATCTGACATTTCATTTTTAAAAGTTTATCAAATTTAATATATATATAATGAAAAAAAATTATTGCCACTAGATACTCTGAACTGTGTGACATTAATGTCTTAGCCAAGTAATATATGAGATTAATATTATTTATTACGACACTCATGTTATAGAATCTTATAAGTGTTTGAACTTTTCTTCTTTTATACATGGTCATTTACAGCAGACATGGGTCAAGGCTTTGAACCATCTCATTAAAGTTTTCTCAATCTGAAATAAAACAGATTGTAATAAAGTAAATGACTAAAGTAGAATTGAAGAATTCACCTATTAAATAATATACAGCATTGCATCTGATAAAAGTTATAATCGAAAAAGAGAAACTAAAAGCTCAAAGGTATTACATGTGATGCTTTCTTTATTTTGATATATCTGAAATATATTAGTCAGCGAATGAAGTTTCAATGATTAGATATAAAATCATTGCAAAAATTAAAAATGTGACATTTTAATAACAGTTAAAGTGTAATACATATTTCCCCTAATGAATACAGAGTACCAATATCCATAGGATTTTGACAGGAAGATAGTAAATGGGAACCACTGATGTACCAATTTTGGACCAATCTGAAATGTTGCTATAGAAACAGAAGGCGCAAATTCTTCAGACTTACCAGCTGTAATACTAATTTACTGTCGTTATTCGCACTTAAGGTACACAATTTGCAAGAAACGTTATTGCGTTCGCCTTAATACGTTCTCATGTAAGTGCTTGGATCAGAATCCAACTTGTTCGCGATGCTGTTTACCGTCGCCCATTTCAAATACGGATTAGCAGAGGACACCGTAAAACCGTTGATGCCTTGTTAGCCGTTAAGTGTAGACATAACCTTGTCTAACAGCGTCCTTATTGCAGTTATTCGAAGTAGTCTTTTGGCATTTAAAGTGTTGCTTGAATTACAAAATTCACCGACATCATAACACAGTGTTTGTGATGTCGTGGTAAGTATAAATCGTTTGGCCTCTCGCAAACTGGTCAATGAAATTCATACTTTTAGAGCAGCACTTTCCAAGCTGATTCACCGACTATTTGGTTCGCACTATTACTCCGATTTAGCAATGTTCATTTTATTTTAATGGTGCATATTTATCAGAAGTAATGTCTATTAGCCTTTGTGCTAATTAATGAAATTGTCATGTATTCTGGAATTATTATTTTATGGAGTTGCTGAATTAATTTTTCAAAAATTATAATTTTTCGACTCTATTGTTCCGTTCCGTTTAAAGGTAGAATAGCAAAGAACAAGATACGCTAACAATGGATCCAGCAACAGTAATTGCTCTCTGCAAAGAAAATATTCAACCATTACGACATGGGAGAAATGCAACACAGTTGGGAACAGCTCTTAGAGCTCAAGAGGATGCTGATGCTCAACAGTTACTTCTTGAAGAGAAACAGTAATAATTTGTATAGATTTGTTTCATTATTTATGTTATAGTAGGTATCTCCGTGTTACATAACATGTTATTGGAGGGAGATGGGTTGCCCTTGCCCAGTGATTGTGCTTATTTATTGATTCAGTATATTTCTGTAGTGGTCAAACATATTTTTTTATTGCTATTTTCATTTCAATGATATGTAATGTTTCATTTCTCACTAGAATGTATGAGGATGCAATAAAAAACTATGACGGTGATGACCCATTGGAGAATTGGTATGAATATATTCTCTGGGTAGAACAGAGTTATCCAAAAAGTGGTCATGAATCTGATATAGGCAAACTTTTGGAGCAATGTTTATCCACTTTTGAGAAAGAAACCAAATATCATCAGGACCGTAGATATATTCGATTATGGATCAATTATGTAAGTTATTATTCAATTTGCTCAACAAAAATCAAGACTTACAAATACAATGCATTAACACATTACATAATTTTAATCCAGATAAGTATGCAGAAGAATCCTCTTGAATTATACCAGCTTTTGCAAAATAATGGTATTGGAACAATGGTAGCAGATATGTATAGAGCATGGGCGTTTGAATTAGAACAAAGTGAAGATTTCAAAAGAGCTGATGAAGTTTATGTAATGGGAATAGCAGCTCGTGCTCAGCCTCTGGGTGAATTAACTTTTGCCCATCAGTAAATATCATAGCCACAATATTATCTGTTATAACTTCAGAATACAAGTGCTATATGTTTATTGGTACTTTTGTTTCACAGAAATTTTCAGCTTGCTGTAGGTCGCAGAACACTTGGTCGTACCGATGATAGAGGTGAAATTTCACTAGCAGAACAGAGACAAGCATTCAGTTCATTGCGCGCTATTCGAGCAGGAAAAAAGGTTGGCAGTATACGAACTGGGCATCGAGTACGTGATCATCTTCCTGGCGTAGTGCCTCAGGGTGGTCCAGTACATCATGCCCCGAGAGGAAATTCTAGAATACAAATATATCAGGTAACATATTGTAACTGAGAAGGGAGTTAATTGAATATATATCTTATGCAAAAATAATATTTAGGACGATACATTGGGAGGAGATATCAAAGCCACAAGTATACTAGATCATGTTCCTGTAGAGGAAGTAGTGCATAAAGAAAATACTATCAAGGCCGGTCCGTGGAGTAATGCGTCCAAAAAATGCCCAATTATGACCTCGACTGTCAAACCAGCTTTCAAAGGTTACTTTACCTGTTATATAATACAAATATGTAAATACGATAGTATTAATTGTTATTTGTTAATTATATTTGATATCTTTACAGTTCACGAAGATCAAATAGATAACAATAGCGATTCAGATAAGTTGCGACTGTTTTCAAATCATACGTCATTTTTTGATGGAAGCAAGTACTCGGAGCATTTGATAATACCTGTATTTGTACCAGATCCACCTAATCCTAGTGTCATACGAAAAGTTCATTATCCCAAAGAATTAGTTTATGCCAATAATATGGATCGTAGCATGGAAGAGATAAAGGCTCAAGCATATTTAGAAAGGTAAGATATAACATATTAATTCCATAACAATATATTTTTTAATTATAAATATATTTATGCTTTACATCCCTCTTTACAGTAGAGCTAAAGCTCTTACAGAAAAACAACATATGCAAGAGTCTCAATTAATCGACGAGAAACGGAACGGACATCCAAGTCAATGTGTGTTAGAAAGTCAGGATCTCGAAACAGAACAACGGGAGATGGAACAACAGAGACTCGAAGTGGAGCAGCGTAGAAGAGAAGCCGAGCAGCGAGAATTAGAAATACAAAGAAGAGAGGCCGAGCATTGCGAACTAAGAAGGCAGAGATACGAAACTATACAACGGGAACTCGAGAGATTAGAGAGAGAGAGATTAGAAGCTGAAAGAATAGAAGCTGAACGTATTGAAGCTGAAAGAATCGAGGCACAGCGTATGGAAGCAGAATTGAGTAGACAGCAGAAAATGCAATCAACCAGTTATCTTCATCAACATCATACATCTGCTGATCCCGAGGACCACTTGTTGGGTCAAAGTTTGACTGTCAACACCAAGGAGGCAATGTCAGTTGTTCAGGATCTATGGCATTCTTCTGACACTCGTACAGAAAGTCCTCTGATTGGTGGAATGGCCCATAGAATTTCAGATTCCAGGCCAAAAATTTCATTTGATATACATATGGATAGTTCCATGACGCAGCATGCAATATCAAGCAATAAGCACCTTCCTGGATACAATATTCAACCATACAATGATCAAGAGAATCATCATTATCCAGCACCGTACACGAATCAGGAGCACCAATCACCTTATGCAAATCATGGTTATCCAAATGCTTATCACTTTCCAATGCATCACGAACAACACGTTCAACCTCATAGACAACATCACCCTCAACATATTCCATCACCACATCAACCACCTCAGCAACCACATCATCCACAGGCACATATCGCTCCGCAGCATCACCATGTTTCTCCACATGTACAACATCAACAGCATCAGCAGCATCATGTATATGCAAATATCTCACCGAGTACTATGGGATATCAACCGTATCACTCTTCAATGCATTCGTCATCGTCATCTCATCACACTGTAGATCATCAAAAACAATTACATTTTACACCATACATTGAACCCGAAGCAGAAACAAATAAACCCTACAGAATGCCTTCGGAACTACCATTCATAAAGTCACCAGGAATGAACCGAAGAGACTTGAAGTACCTTGAAGATGCTAAAGATAAAGAGAATGCTATTGCTGTAGATTATAATGAACCAGTAGAAGAGAATGCTCCTAAACAACCTGAAGAGAATAATTTATACATCGATGAGAGTCTTGGGATAGCCCCTTTGTCCAGTGTTAATGACACATGTTTTACTCAAGAGTTTAATACTCAATTAACTAGTTCCACTCCGATGACTAATCACTTTAGACAACCCTATCGGTTAAAGGATTCAGGTTCATATCAAGGCAGCGTACCATCACAAACGTGAGTTTTATTTTTTATATACCATTTTCTATTAGTTGCGATATTAAATTGCAATCCCAAGAGGCTAATGATCTTATCTTTTGTTCAGAATATCAGAAGTACGTGCCAGCGAGACGGATGATAAACTGAGTGTTATAATGGAATCTACTAGAGAATATATTTCTAGTAGTTCCGGAAGTACTGTTCATACACGAACTGCAGGTTTAGGTTTTACATTGACCCGAGAAGACATGTTGCGCATCAATGGGCAATCTACCAGTGAAGGTAAGTTTATCAATTATCGTATCATTGTAGAAAGTAATTTTTTCATCAATAGTAGGTATATACTCATTACTATGATTTAGGGATGGAGTCAACTGAATCTCTGCTGGCAGCGAATCAGTCGTACGAACAAAAAATGCGAGCTCAAATTCAAGCTGTTCATGCCCAGAGTCCACGTACGGTCCAGCGAAACGTCGATGAGATAACATCAGAAATAAAGAATAATTGTGATCTTAGGAAATCCATTAGCTTTAAAATAAACAATGAGAAATTGACCGAAGCCAAAGATTTCTCAATGGATTGCGAAGAGCATGAACCAATGGAACAAGTGGAGGACGAAAATTTCGAATTACCAAGTGGCGATATTAATCCATTTGATAAAAGCTTGATCGCTGGACTTTTAAAGAAGATCAAATTTCCACAGCCGTATCATGCAGAAGGATACGTGAGATTAGATACCAATCTGATGAAATTTGTGCCTTCTACTACCGTTACGCTTGGTGAGTTTCATCATTTATCCCTGTATCTGGTAGATTTTTAATATTCGCCGTCCTTCAGGTACGGATGCATATGAGATAGAAAAGTGCCTTGGGAAAGGAACATATGGAACTGTATTTAAAGCAGTGAGTTTGAAAACCGGTCAAACGGTTGCATTAAAGACTCAGAAACCGGCATGGGTTTGGGAATATTACATAGCAAAAGAAGTAAAGAGTCGACTTACCAATCCCCATATGGTAAAATATAATTTTTCCATTATTAGTTACTCAGTGACGTCCTGTATTGCTCGATCATTGATAAAAATATTTTATTCACAGCTACGTGGCTTCATGGACATAACGCAGGCATATGTAGCGAACAATACAAGCGTTTTGGTTTCTGACTTCTCAAAATACGGAACGCTTCTAGCCGTAACGAATCAAGTTAAAATTGTCACGGGTAGAGCTTTGTGCGAAGCTCTTGCTATATTTTTCACTATTGAAATGCTACAGATAGTAGAGTATCTACATAAATGCCAAATTATACATGGTGATATTAAACCTGATAATTTTCTATTGATGCATTTGTAAGTATCAGTAATTCTTGCTTAGCCTTTTTTGACTTGTTTAAGAGAATTAATATTAATATTATATAATTTTACAATAATAATAGACCAACAGAGGATGTCCGACCAACGATACAACTGATAGACTTCGGATGCAGTATAGATATGAGTCTATTACCTGAAGATACCAAATTTACTCAAGTCATTAAAACAGAGGACTTCACTTGCATAGAAATGCAAACCGGAAGGCCTTGGACTTATCAAACAGACTTATATTGTCTTGCTGCGTCAAGCCATTGCCTTCTCTTTGGTAATTACATGCGAGTATCCAACACTGCTGGTCGCTGGTTTATCAACACAAAACTGCCCAGGTAAGTTATTTGAAATTAAGAAAAAGAAAATATTTTTCCTATCGACAGCTCACCAAGCCGATCACACGTTGATTCTCTCTTAATTTTTATTGAGTGGTTTCTGTCCTTTCGATCCCAATCAGTATTTCAGTATCTATTTTTTTTTTCAATACAGATACATGAAGAAAGCTATGTGGGAAAAATACTTTACTGAACTATTGAACATCGAGTCGTGCGATAAAATGCCAGATTTAGCTAAATTGCGCAACGTGCTGGAAGAGATATTGCCTCAGATCTCAGAACTACGATCAGCGATTAGATGCTTTTCCAATATACTTAACAAACGATAACGCTTACTAAACTTCAACCAATCGTCGTTATGTCCCCCAGTGTGCACATACTTAGCGAAGAACCAACAATTAATAAAAGAAATTAATATTATTGTGCTATTTATTATAAATTCCATTGTAATGATTATGTATACCATCTAGTTATTACAATAATGTCATAGACTTTCTGGCCTGATTCGTGGCGGTTCCGATTTACGTAATACAACTTGCACATAATATCATAATGCGTCTTTACAATGTTTAATTGAACAAACACTGTTTTTAATAGAAATGACAAATTTCATAATTACACATTTATAGAGTAATATTATTCTGTGAATTTATTTAGGACTTTTGTCCAATTATTGCTGTTAATTTCCAAATTTTATAATATTGACTTTTTTCTAGAGATCATGTGAGTCATATTAATTTCATTAATGACTTTCTAACAGTTCACGAATAATAAATTAACTGTTGTGCAAGTTAATTACCGTCCACAAAGCAGGCCTCGACAAGCACGTAGAATAAGTTCTTAGATGTATAAACTGCACGACCGAAAAAGAATTCAGGTTTTTGTTTGGGCGAATTTATTGTTAGATTTTATAAATATTACAAAAATATTAAGCTGTGCGGCATTTAAATGACAACAAGAATGATATACATTATAACTATTATAGCAAATAAGCGATCAAGCAGCGTAGCGCTGCCATTATAGTTCAAAAAGCTATGAGAACATGCCTTATCTTACTTTGATGGTGCAACATGAAAGTAAGTAAATCAAAGTAAAGGGATATGCTGATATTACTATTGCTTATAAAATAATATTATTATGCAATGCCAACTCTAATGTAATTGTTTTACTTGAAAATTGTGCGAAGTGCCGAAGTGTTACTGGATTTCATAATAAAAGTATGACAAAACTTTCATAACGCTCTGCGACGATTAACGATATACAATTTTGATAAGAATTTTGTCTGGCATGCAATGTGAAATTGTGAAATTGTACAGCAATAGTGATATCGACATAAAAGAGAATTAAAAATACTTTATAAATGATTATGCAAGTACAAGCAGGATCGTTCCCTAGTAGAAATTTTCTTTGGTAAGTCCAGGGCCTGTTTGGGTTCCCACCGAGTCAACCCAAATCTATCAGTTAAGATATCGACGAGCCCTCGATTTTCATAATGAAATTTCTATTAGGGTAAACTCAACCACCGTTTTCTAACATAATTAACGAGCACACAGATCCTATGATACAATGAGCTGTCCTTTTATCTCTAATGGAATGTCCTTATTGGCCAAATCATTATTAAAATATTTTATAAATTTTTTCAATTTTTATTGTGAAACAAAGTCATGTACATTTTATTTAAGTGTTCCACGTTGCACTGTCGCTCAAGTAAACATACTGATGACTTGAAATATGGATGTACCCATTAAGAACTATTGTATTTCTATATGTTATAATTCTTGTAAATATAGATATTTACAGAATTAAATTATCCTTAAGTCTCTCTCGTTATAAATCACTCTAACGATCTTCTGAAATTTCCAAATTTTTAAATTCACAGTCTCACGTTTTACCATAAAACTTTCGATTCAACAAATATAATAATAAATTGACGTTGATCTTTGCTTTCCCAAACATATCCATTATCGGTGCACCTTCGAATTGCAGCTCTAGCAATCTTTGAATGTCCACATCCAGCTTTTCCATTTCTACGCCCATGAACTTTCCGCGTACAGTGAATATACCATTGTGGTCCGTGGGACTTATTTCGAAAATGACATTTTTAAATTGAGAGTGTGGAAGTCCATCAATTTCTAACAGCACGCCCTTCTCTTGCAATTTTGCTGCAGAATATTTTAAAGTCATTTTGGATTTCAACTTTCCATGATGATTCTTTTGCATCGTCTTCACAGCATGAAGGGATCTGTAACAAAGTAACATATTTATATTTCCTGTTTCCATACAAAAAAAAAGATTTCCATAAATTTACCGTTACACTTATCTTACCCCTTTCCTGTGTGCAGATTTTCAAGGCATCGTTGTATGTATTCACTGTAATACTGAACTTGCTCCTGGTAGTACTTGGACTTTTCTTCAAGCATTTGCTTCATGGCACTTAGTGTTTGAAGTTCCTTTGTTCGGAACAATCGATATTTTCCTTTGTTACAAAGATCTCGTGCTATTGCAGTTACTATACTTTGATACCCGTCTGCTTGTGTGACTAATCCACCGAGTTCAAGCTTATTCAGATAAGCTCGAAGCTGGAGCTTGCAGTCATTAAATGATGGACTAATATAAGGGAACATACAATTAAATTATAATCATCAGAACAATATAATTGTAAAAATTACCTTTTTTTTATTATATTGAAACTTCTTGTGTCCGATGAATATTTGTTACTATAAAGTCTTTCTTGAATCGGTGAACATGATGACTCTAGAGCATCAACCAATGTCTCACCTTTGAGTAGTTGTAATATCGAGACCAATAGCTCTTTTGTCTTTATAAAAAGTTTTTTCAAATTTGTGTCATCGTTCTCAGGCACTTCGAATTTGTTCATCAGTACAAGGCAAACTTCAGTTTTTCCCATTCGAGCTTTATTCGATTCGCATATTGGATCCGCTGAAATTCAATTAAATATTGTGACTGTTTTTTAATGACATCGTAAAATTAAAAATTATTCTTAAACTATGAGATACGGGACAATGATTAATGAGAATATTGTTACTTACTGATGCCCAATAAAGAAGCAACACTCGGTGTTGTTCCTAAATCATCTAACAGTTCATGCAAAGTATCCAAAGGATCAGGCGCTATTTGATATTGGTACTCGAGTACAAGACTATGCGTATCACAGATTTCCTGCAAAAGAGATTAACTGTAATTATAATGAATTAAAATGTTGGAAAGAGGATTAAAAACTGATGATTATTTACCTGCAATGAGATGTATATCTCTGGCTTATGAATTAATGTAGCTTCTGTGTATTCGTGTATGCGGAAATGATCATCCAGTTCTTCGACTTGGCAACAGTAACGGAAAAACTTTTTAAACTTTTCATGACACTCGATTATGAATGGATTCAAGCAAACGAGATGCATAGCTTCTTCACCGAACTAGAAATATAATTATTAATACTACGCAATCTCATCTTTCATGAAAATCATGACATATGATGTTGTACGCACTCCTTTTTTTGATGTTGCGAATTGTAATATTTTGGCGATGCTGGCTAAATTTCGTCTTTGGTCATTAGACAGCGATCGGTCAATTGGTAATTTGATTATATCAAATGCGTCTGGCGCCACAATGGCTGGATTGATAAAATGATAGTAAATTTGATCTCCAACGACTTTCAATATATCCTTTTCTGGCGCGTTTGGAAACTTTTCCGCCAATGTACAATTCAATACTTTAGCCATGTATAACATGCCGTATGGTATTAAGTCTCTTGATTCAGTTATTCTTGATAAGAATTCGACAACCGTTGTTTTAAGCAATTGTATACCATTGTTTAGTCTTTTACGTACTTGTTCGTAGTTCAGTGCTTGCTGTGGATTTACTGAATATGGAAGATCCCTATTTTTTAGAATGAAATAAACGTTAGTTACACTATGAACAAATTCAGTCGAAAAATTGTTTTGTATGATAATATAACTTACAGGATTTCTCCAGTCTCCATTTCTAATTGATTTCTCCAGCATTTATAAATGTTGACCGGATCAGTTTCTATGTTGATAGTTTTGTCTGCGAGTATCTTTTCTATTATTGGTCCAACTATCTGTCGCAGAGCTCTTTGTCCATTGACTTGTCTTGCGTAATTCACTACCATTTTTAAAACAACAGGATTTCCTGTTACGACTTCTGATGGTTTTTGAAACTTGCATCTACGAAATAGTCATTTAGATACTTGTGTCATTTCATTATGTTTCTAGGAAGTATTTCAAACGTGTACCTAATCTCCTCTTGAAGTGCACTTCTGAAGAGTTTTAGCAACAGATATTCTTCCCTTATATTTGATCCAAAATTGAATAAAGTTAGGATCACATTTTGAAGAAACTTATTCGTCTTACTTTCGGGCAGAAGAAACAAGAGCTTTGATAAATACGTTGGATTAGTTTGTAGTGCATAGAACAGATGCTGATACCCTTGCAGCATTTTATGTCCTTCCTTAGTTAATGATTTTAAACCTTTAGCACTCTTGTCTTCGGCTAAAGACTCTAAGTTTCTACCATGCGCTACTATGTCCTACGACAAAAATATTATGAAGTCCAAATGTACATTCCAGATATAAAATATCATAAGAAACATCGTAAAAGATTACCTGCAAAGTTATTCTATTTTGTATAAGAAGACCAATCTTGATATCCATACTGTCTAACAGCTGAGATAGATTCGTATTATGTCTTATGGTCTGGACCACTTCGCTTCTAAGATGCTATGAAATGATAAAAAAAAAGTCAACATTGACAGAAGCATAATACTATTAAACTATAGCAGACTGAAATATTTTTAAAATACCTGTAACTGTAAATCCTTATCATAGTCATCGGCATTGAGGCTTAGAATGCCTGAAAAGTGTCTAATCACAGGAAAAGGTGGTTTTTCTAATCGTAAGAGCGAATGGAAACGTCTTCTGGCTGCACGTCCACGCCATAGTGCTTGTATCTTCACAATTTTCTTTTCCTAAATGATTTATACGTTATATAGAAAATTTTGTAAAGATAATATATAATACTTTATGTTTCATGTACATACTTGTCCTTTATAACGATCAAGAATATCTTCGTATTGCGTCCTAATAGCCCCATAATTTTTATTAAAATGTTCTTTTTGCTTTCTGCGTTCGTCCAGAAACTTTTTATAGTGATTACGTTGAATTCTGCCTCTCCACCATGCTTGGATTTGTATAATTTTGTCAACGTTCTCATGGTAGTACGAAAATTTATCAGAAATCTTTTTACGCAGCAAATATCCTCGAACTAAAGCTTGCAACTTAATGATTTTACTCTCATCAATTTTTTGAGAACGTGCATTAACTTCCTCAGTAGTTATACGTTTTATCACATGCTACAAAAAAGATTACAAGTATTTAATGACAGAACAGATATTTTCAATTAGACTAAAGATTCCAGCATACGTCAATATCTTCTTTGCTTATGAAATAGGATTCTGTAAGTTTTTTCGGATGATCCCAAGTGTAGTTGAGTTTTTCTAAGTCAATAAAAGATTCGTTACCACCAGAAGTCACGTAACGAAAGTATGGACACTGATGATCTGTATTCTGAAATTTTGTATTCCCACAATCTTATAAATATCCAATACTGTAACTGCTGTGTTATTGTAAAAAAAAAAGTGTATTACCTTACGACGTTGTAATTTTATCAAAGCGTCGATGCAACTTCCTCTATGTGCATTAGATATTTTATATCCCAATGCTCGAAGACAATCGGCAGAAAATAATGCATCATTTTTTTTTATAGCCACATTCAATTGACTAAATAAAAAGGATGCTACACAAATTGTATAAATATTATTAGAGCAACAGAAATGATACTTTTTGCATATACGACGAAATTACCCACCTGCTTCCACTTCCTCGACTTCTCTCATAACTATTTGTGCTACGTTTTCAACATCTTCCAACCATAATTCTGATCCATCAATATGATTCTCTGCAAGACACTTTTTAAAAAGTTTCAAATACAAGGAAGCATCTTCCGGTGTGGTAGGCTTTTCCAATTTAAGGGAAACGTCCTTCAACGCTTCTACTAAACCTAATTGATTGTTTTCTACTACAGCACGATTTAATTTCCGCAACACTTGTATCGCTATAATAAAGTTAATACGATATTAATTACGAATACAAAAGATTATAGATAATAAATGTTAATATACGGGGTGTTCCGTTTAACGAGTCGAATAGGGTTTTGTAGCATCGCTCGAGGGAAGCGACACCCATGCTTCTTCATTGTTCGGAAGAAGTAATAATTCTATTCAACTTCTTAGACGGAATATCCTGTATAATGGTTTTTTCAAATGAATATACGAAAATGCTTTGATCAGTACTTTCGCCGTCATTATGACATTGCTGGTTAATGTGATCTATGCATTCCTGAATATCGATATACGTCAGTAAGGGACATTCTTCTGCATTGGTTTGTTTTTTGAGGCGACAGGCTGCTAAAGCTCTGCAATATTTGACTTTATTTTCCTCGTCGAGATTCTGAAATGTTACGGTGTATATAATATATATTATAATATGAATAGTGATAAGATTATATGTCAAAATCAATACCGTAATATGAGCTTCAGGATTGATCAATGATTGATAAACAAGAATGGGATTTCCAGTGTCCACAGTTTTGCTAATAGCTGCGATAGAAGATAAAACCCGTATGCTAACTATTATGTCGCTATAAGATAAGTCGTTCTATTGAAAGATAATACAATATTAGATTCTGTATCATGTGATAACTAATACTCCTTGTTTGCATTGATACCTTAGATTCCGCGCGGTCAACTTTCATTTCCTCAAAATACAGTGGAATCGCAAATTCGTCAACATAATCACCCAGGCCCAAATTTGGATTTTTCAACGCTTTATGAAATTCTTGTTTGCTGCTATCTTGCAATTTCAAATTAACAAGCTGAACTGCTTCTTGACCTACATTGTAAAATGATTAGTACGGATGAGTTTATTCAAGTGTATAATATATTATAAATTATGTATTGAATAAGACAGACGTCTATTGGATATATCGGCAATGCCGTTTACAATATCAATCGCTTTTTGCAATAAGTTTCTCCTATGTTGACTATTCGTGGTGGATTCGTCTTCCATATCAAAATGGTTATCCATTTGCATGAGCTCCGCCTTGTATAATTCTGCGTTATCGTGCCTCACGTTCTGAATATTGTATGATTTTATATTAGACAATGTAAAAACTGGTACGTTATACTACTTGTGTTATTTAACAAACCTTTAATTTTAGTGTGGACACTTTCAATGACATAATTAAGCTTTCAGAGTCAAGTTCAATAGATCTAATAACGTTCTCCCATGCCCGCCGAACTGTGAGATGAAATAATGGATTATATTTGTTTTTTTTTTAGATATAATTGTGTTATAAAATTTTGAGCAAGTACCATTAACGTTATTTATGTGGCCCTGAATTTCTGCTTGTGTCAAAAGTTCATCATATGCATCTGGTACATAGCTGTCGTTCAGTGACTGTGTAAAAATGAATATCATTTTTATATTGAAATTAAAAGATTCTGATTATTTTAAATATTTGACTCACCCTATTGAGTGCACCTTGCATTTTAGTATCCTTTGCATTTAACAATGTTTGATAATAATCAATTACATAGCTGGGATTAACATCATTAACTTGAGCTGCAGAATTTTTTAATGTTCCCAAAAGTGCCTCTTGATCCTTGAATTAAAATATTCTATTGTAAAATAATTATAGAGTATAATGGTACATTAAAAGATGATAGAATATAATTTACCATATCTGATATGCATTTGTTAATGGCAATAACTGCAGCATGCAAGGCTGCTGCATCACCTGCCATATTGTTGGTCAAAAGACCACCAATCTTTTGGAATGCTGGCATCTTTATACCATACTTTTTTAATTCTTTACTAACAGCATTAATTTCTTCATCTGCAAAAATGTTACCATTGAATGTATAGTCATATCATATTCTACAAAAGAAACACATTTCAGTTATATTGATCCAGTTGATACACACCTGTAAAATTGACTTTGCCATAAAGATCTTGAATCTGTGGAGCCCTTCCAAATTTAAACAAATGTGTACTGAGGGCATGAATACAATATATTACTCGTGGCATATTTTTTTTGTCATAAATATCTGTTGTCTCTGGCTGAAATGTCTACAAAGAGAAGATATTATAGATAATAAAAATTAAATTTTGAAAATAATAATACATACAAGAGGTAACTGCATAGTTTTTAAACATCTTAAAAAATGGTTTATGTTATCAGTGTGACGAAACTGCAAGCCAGCAATAGCATATCGTTTTTGGTCTTTATCATAAATCTTATTCAACGGCAGCTCTTCAGGTGTCATAAAATGGGCAAGCTTAGCCAAATACACTCCATTCCGTAAGTTCTCCTCCAGTTCAGTTGTAGGAGGAAGTTTCTCCATGAGACATGCTTCTAGCCACCTATAACATACAAACTAAGCAATCCTGGAAAGTTTACTGATGCTGCATGCTATTCATTTTATATACTTCTTGGCTTCCTCAAGATGACATAAATATTCGTAAGCAAGCGTCTTGTGACGCTGCTCATCCATTTCCTCTGCCGACTTTCGAGCGTCTTTTTCTTCAATACAAAACATAAATATTTATCTAATATCACCACAAATCTCATACTTATACAAAACTTCAATTGCCATTAAAAAGAAACGATGACACAGAATAGATATTCATCATTATGCATTTACATTATGTCTGTACTCACCAGTCTCTCCATTAGTCGTTATATTTCCAGTATTGGTCATCCTATCAAATTTTATAAAAAAGTTTGAAAAATATAGCAATCAAAGGAATTTAGATGACTAAGCGCGTTATATTCCTCACGTTCTTTGCTCTCTCTTCGTTTTATTTTGCTTTCAATCGCGCTTTGCAATTTCTTCGCATGTACATACAACCCCAAAGTCTTCTTGGCATTCAAATTTATCTAAACACATTAAAGAAGGGGACGAAATTCAACAAGTGGATAAAAAGTATGCTATGATTGGTCAAAATTATCCCCACCAAATAACGGCCGCTAAGAATCATTGCTCCTAAAGAACTAAGTTTAAAAACCGCTCACAAAATTTGTTTTCTGGAAGCCACCTTGAGGAACATGAATGAAATCAAATACTTTTCCAATAGACTTACCTCAGACGTTCCCACAGCAAGTATAAAGACAGAACAGTCGGTAAATATCTATTACCAATGATATAACAGGTATCAGAAGATAAATAGATGAGGAAGCAGCCATAAGGAAAGGAAGGAAGGAGGAAGATATTTATAAGTATATAGATACAATATTTATTTTCAGGCAACAAAGTATACACATACAGGGTTACAGTAGAAACGCACCACCTAAAGTTAGTGCGCCTATTTGAGTCCCATGGTAAAACCATTTCAGGTGTTTCGTTTCGGTTGAATAGCCTGTGATAAATTGAGAAATAAATACTACTATGAACGCGACATTAGGGAAGTGTCCCAGTGATGACGCATGTGCAAAAGACGTACCAATGAGCTGGCGACAGCACCGAGCGCGGATTCGTGTACGGCGCTGAACGGTTCGGTCAACTTGGCTGAGCTCCACGTCTACGACCGGTAATCTCCGGTAGTCGCTGAGCTGCTCTTCACATTTATTCGGACTTCTTCCATTTAGTTGACCGGTCAAGTTCAGTCGAATCAGCATAATGATGCTTAAGTACTTCTTTCTACTAATTTTGGCTCTTGGGCTTCGAGCTGCAGAAGAGGATGTTTTCGAATGGACCGACGATGACTTCGCTCCCGAACTGGAACGTCACGAGAATACCCTGGTCATGTTTTACGCACCATGGTGAGATACAATTTCTTTCGATGACTTTGACTTATACTGAACGGATGGTAGAACCTGGATACGAATAACTCGGATATCAATACATTGCTTGATTTGATAACTCTGTTAATTCTGTCTGTTAGTCTGTTAACGCAGACTTTAATCTGCGTTCGTATCGTTAGGAGCATTTCGTAAATCACAAAATCATATTCTAAGAAATGAGATTTCTCGATTTTTTAATGAATTTTCATTAGAGATCTCAATTTCTCTTTAAATGGACAAATGCCTTATATAATTCTTTAACAATTGGTAGATATGAATTGGATGTATCGTATAAAAATGCTGATTAGATATGCTTGGGAAGTAATAACTAATATCTGTATGTACCCATGGTATATTCTACAAAATGGCAAAAATTTCTTATCTGGAAAAAAAAATTGTTCCAATACAAGATTGAGTACCTGCAATAATAATTGCATTATCACATGGAATTCAAGCTTGCCATTATTATTTCAGGTGTGGACACTGTAAACGTCTTAAGCCAGAGTACGCAAAAGCAGCTGAGTTACTCAGAGGAAATGAGCCTCCTATTACTCTGGCAAAAGTAGACTGTACTGAAGGTGGAAAATCTACATGCAATAAATATTCTGTCAGTGGATATCCTACTCTAAAAATTTTTGCAAAGAGCGAGCTTGTCAATGATTACAATGGACCCAGGGAAGCTGCTGGTATTGCCAAATATATGAAGGTATAACTTTTACTTGGCCCATATTTTTTAAAGGCATTGTTTCAATATCTGCAAATATTACTCACTGTTACATTTTCTATTATTAGGCACAAGTAGGTCCTGCTTCTAAGGAATTAACTGGAGAGGATTGTCAGAAAGCGTTTTTGGATTCTGATGAGGTAGGCGTTATTGGTTATTTTGAAAAGGACGACTCACCTCTTGCAGCCTCCTTCCATGCTGTTTCAAAAAAATTGAGAGAGAAAGTTCGATTTGCACACACCTCTGCCAAGGCCTTGCTAGAAAAAGAGGGATATAAGTTAGTATATTTATTAAGATAAATAATATTTGGATCTTTTGTGTTAAATATCATTGTCGTTTTTCATCTTTTTAGAAATAATATTGTTCTTTATCGTCCAAAAATCTTACACAATAAATTCGAAGCTAGCAGTGTTGTTCACAAGGGTGGAGATTCCATCAGCGAAGTTCACGACTTCATTCTTAACAATTAGTGAGTGTTATTCATGCTCCGTTTATTAAAACCAAATGATATCCTCGAGAATACTGCCAGATGTTATTAAAAAAAAATATTTTGCAGCTTCGGTATCGTGGGGGTACGCACTCGGGACAACTCAGCTGACTTCAAGAATCCGTTGGTTGTCGCCTATTATAATGTAGATTACGTGAAGAATCCTAAAGGCACAAACTACTGGCGTAATAGAATTATGAAGATCGCCAAAGATTTCCCAAAACTTAACTTTGCAATTTCTTCCAAGGATGACTTCCAGCACGAATTGAATGACTTCGGCATTGATTACACAAAGGGGGACAAGCCCATCGTATTGGCAAAAGATGCCAAAAATCAGAAGTTCATCCTGAAGGATGAATTCTCAATGCAAAGTTTTGAAGCATTTTTGAAAGATCTCGAATCCGGTGCTCTAGAGCCTTATCTTAAATCTGAACCTATTCCTGATGATAACAGTGGAAATGTCAAGATCGCCGTGGCGAAAAACTTCGATGACGTTGTCACAAATAATAATAAGGATACGCTTATAGAATTTTATGCACCGTGGTGTGGTCACTGCAAGAAATTGGCACCAATCTACGACGAGTTAGGAGACAAGCTTGCTGACGAAGATGTCGAAATCGTAAAATTCGACGCTTCGAATAACGACGTCCCAGCACCGTATGAAGTCCAAGGGTTCCCGACTATATTCTGGGCACCTAAGAACGCCAAGGACAGTCCTATCAAGTACGAAGGTGGTCGAGAGCTGGAAGATTTCATCAAATACATTGCTAAGCATTCGACGGAACAGCTTAATGGCTTTGACCGTAAAGGAAAACCTACTAAAGGTGCAAGCGATGAACTATAAAACTTCGCAAAATCAGCGCAAGAATTATCATACTTTCAATTTTGTCACTCTGATTAAATAATTAAGAATAACATTTAAGTCTTTTATAATTCACAAAATGATATCGTGATAAAAATTTGGAATGAAACATTGTCATATAGGTTGTATGTTGCCTCACAGAAAACGACACAGTCACGTACAAAATAATCATAGCTGAAAAGGAAATCATAAAATTGTTATCAAAGGAAAACTACAGTGCGACAGGCAGAGTGGTTAAAGACTTGCTAATGTGACGAGTCAACTTCCTACTTTTTTTCAATTTCTTTATCTTGACCACGATACTTCCACCTGAATCGTACTTATTACAGCATCTTGCCTTGCAGCAAAATTAATAACGTATCGATACCGTCTTTCACAACATGCTAAAAAATAATAAACGATAGTTCAGAAATGTACTCCCGGTATGGAAAATTCTATGAGATAGGGATTAATCAAGGTCATATTCTTTCGAATAACAGATTTCAACTATGTCACTCACTGGAATCTCTTATCAGGGATCAATACTTCATTCCAAGTGTATGTCTAAGAGATAATTTGGGGAGAAAATTTTAATTTTTGGTTTAAATGAAAGTCATAATAAATTGTTTTATACTCATTTTCAAAGAACATATAATATTGTTTTATACTAATTTTCAAAGAACATACATAATATTAATCCCATCATTATGATGTTCCTTAACAAAAGGAATTGATTAGTACATTATACAATATATGTCTTCATACCCTTCCCTGATTCAATAAGTGAAAATGATTATTTCTTTATTCCTTGAAATTAAAAAAAATTAAAGATGCTTTGCGTTTACATAGAATATTCAAAGTTCCAAACATCACACATTGAATATATAGTCGGTCCGCAAGTATAATGAGATTTTTATCAAGCTATAACTGTTTTTATAAAGTCACTTAAATATATGATAAAATAGAAATTTACATTTCAATGCTAATCACGTATGAGCATACGTTAAAACAATTTTCATACAAATCAATCTGTGACTTGCTAGAGATTTCCTTTTTTAATTGTAAACAAAATTGCTGATGGATTGATTATACATCAACTAATAACGATATGACACGTTAATAAATTTAACCGGAAAAATATGTTTGTGTGGCGCATTGATGAGCCATGAAAAAAGTAAAATGGGACTTAATTTTTTTTTTTTAGGGTTTGCTCCAAGATCATTGATCACCGACATGCGTATTTTCTTTAATTTCTATTTTTCCAATTGATCAATCCGTTTTACCATTTTGTTGCAGACCCTCGAAATGATCATTTTCATACTGACTTTCTTTGGTCATTCCCCATATTTTTGTACACTGTGGATATACGCGCGCGCGCGCGCGTGTGTGTCTGTACAGAGAGGTCAGAGATACGTGTATACACGTAATTATACGTACATCGTTTTATTTTTTATCTTCACGTGCTCAAAAGCATTTTCACAATAATTCCTTTGACGTATTTACATATAAACATGTAACGCATATAATCCGTTAATAATTTATAGTAATCATTTACTACTCATTTATGCGTCTGCATCTTGAAATGCTAGAAATGCTAGATTCACCGTGCTCGTACCCTGTATGTATAAAATTATTGAGGTGATATAGATGCTAAAACCTTTTCCAAATATGGTTTCTGTATATTCATAGTGATTAAAATAAATTGTGAACGCACAGAAATTAAAACACAACACCGTTAAAATTTGTTAAATAAATTAGGCAAAAGTTCAGGCCTTTTTGCTAGAAATATTAATCGTTATGTCATTGAATTAAGTTCCAACACTACTTGAACCGGGTGCATTATTGGTATGATTAGTAGTTGGATGATTTTCAGATTTCTTACTAGTTAAATCTAAAAGGTCTGAATGGATCCTGAAATGCAACCTCGATTCTAACGAGTAACCGGTGTAATTCTTTCTGTAAAATAAGAAACAGTTTTTCTGTAGAATGTTTACCTATATCGAGACAAAGAATTATATCAAAGTAACAAAAAATTAACTAACTTAGCATCTTCCAAAAGTGCAATTGCTACTTGATTGTGGCCTTGATCTTTGGCTAACCGAGCCAACTCGACTGTTGCATATGGAAGTAAGTACGTGTCATCTTTGATCTGCTTTTCTAGAGCAAGAACGCGTTTTAAACAATCCTCAGATTGTAGAGGTTGCCTTATTTGTCTGAGGCAGGCTCCTTTCAGAAGCAATAAAAGTGCCAGGTTGTCCGCATGATATTCATCCTTACTGCAACAGTGGCAACATACTCAATATCGTAACGTAGTCTGAAAAAATTGACGCCATTTATATTAGTAAAATTAAAATAAACTTACGTCCTAGTGGTTAGACGATTCTCTTCTTCCTCAATTATTTTAAACAAATTCAATGCTAAATCTTGCCGTTTGACAAAAATCTTAAATAAATTCCACACGTACAGAAGCTCGAATACAGGAAGGACTAGATTCTTTTTCTGCGCAAAGTAACGTTCGGATTTCTTTATGACAAACTTTTCCATAGGCAAAGATTTTCCTGCTATGCGTTGCTTGAATGTCGGTGCCTGTAGTAACAAGGTTTCAATAGTTTGTTTCTCTTCACTATTAACTGAAGGCTTCATCATTATAAGAATAGCAGCTTTTTGATAAAGATAAGTCGTACGCGACCATTTAGCTTCTTCGACCAGCATGCTGGCAAAAGGCAAGGCTCGATCCCACTGTTGCTGTAAACAATGAGCCCACATCAACTCCCAGAAACAGAGATGATGGAACTGCGGCCATAACTCCTGACTCTTCCAAGACTTCGTGTACCACTCGATGCAACTCTCTACATTGCCTTTCGTAAATTCAAGCCTTCCCTTGAAGAACAAGAACCAAACACCATTTGGATATAAGCTTAATTCTTCATCCAGAGCTTTTTCGCACCATTCAATATCTCCTTCGGCATCGCTTAATAGGAACAACACTATAAGGTGATAAGCCAATAAAGTCATTGCACATAGGACGTGTCGAAGTCCACTCCTCTCTTTGTAGCCAGCTTGAAGTTCTGATAGGCCATACTCCTATAAATCCAATAATATGGATCATCGATTGTCATTCACATTTTTTAAGCTTTTCGTCCAAGTCCATAGAACTAAGCAATAAATAAGGTACCTTATCCCCAGAAAATCCTATAAACTCTAGTAGCTTTATCACACGTCCTGGTAATAATGAGATCATCTAAGAACCATTTAAATATATTTTTGTTACTCAGTGAAAGATACCCTTTAGGAAATTAATTATAAGATAATACTTCATACCAGATTAAATGCACCAATACCCATGCGAACACCGCTTTCAAAATGTACTTTGTTTTTCTCATGTTCCCACTTCTTCGTCTTCAATATTGTCAGGCATTCCCTGTTAAAAATTGAGGAAAACGTCACACAGGAAACACTTCATATGAAATGCGTTGTGTCCTTCAGCAGAGAGGCCAGAATTATTTACTTGTATGAAAGAAAGCAGGTACGAATTTTCAATCCAGCTTTGACAAAGCTGACCAAAGTCTCGTCCTCCACGAATGTAAGCATCGCCTTCAGTAGAAGCGATTCGGCATAGCACAGCTCCGCATGCACCTCATCTGCAATTTTAAGTTTTTATAATTTTCTACATGCGCCCTAACCCCCCCCCCCCGCTTCTTACTCTGTATCTATCTATCTATCTTTTACACTTCTTATTATTCTCATTTACACTTTTTCCATGCATGAAAAAGATATCAGTAACTATAAAAGTTCCCCTTTGTTAGGTAGAAGTGGCATTGTATCCATAAATATTTTCTTATTTAATAATATTTCTTAGGTCTATAAAATAAGTACAAACCATCATGACTTATAGTGCCTGGTAATTGTAAACTGCAAAGAACTTCTGGTTGTACATGATATACATACGTTGTACATCTTCATGATGATGTGTACCTGTTTTGTAGATTATCTAATGTATATACACACAAATATATACATTACCAATTGTATAACTATCATAGTTTGTTTTTTTGACGATTTTGCCCAAGTTTTGAGTAATTGTTGTGTGTTTACGATGCTTGGCACATACAGCCATTGATTGTTTTAGAGCTTCTGAAGCTTTTTCAATCTCCTTCTATATAGGATATATCAAAATAAAATTCAGAAAGACTGTCCAAGGAAATTTGATAATGATGTAATTATTTTGAAATTCTTACTTGTTCAAATGTCAAAATCGCTTCCAGAAATAGAAATACACTGTTTCCCAATGAATGATACAAGCTACTATCTGACCATGGCTCCAAAACTTTCTTTGCCCTGATGAAATCGTTGTTGAAAAAGTAGTGCATGGCCTGTGTAGCTTCCATCATTGCTGTATCCAAATCCATGTTATTTGGTCTACAAGAAAATATGAATTATGTATTTTTATTATTAGATGTATCTTCATTATTTTATTAATGCTATAAACTTACAGGGATAGCAATTCTTGTGCATCTTGAAACTAAAATATAAACAGTTGTGAAATCTGTCACTAAATCTACAATCTAGTATTATGATTCAAAAAATGACTTACATCATCTTCAGCCTCAATGTCTGACATAATTAATGAGGATCTAAAGTCTTCAACGAACTTGATTCCAGTATTATCTCCTTACTGTAGACACCGAAGTATAGAAAAATAATTCGTGTATACCAGAAATGTTTCTATTTATATCCTTGCAATCTATTATATATAAAATTCATTATTAGTTTTTCTTATCGAATTCAAATAATAGTTACTAAAATTAATAACGAAAGCATTCTATAAAACTCTGACACTAACAAGTATGGCAATATCTGTTGAAAATGGCTAATCTTTTTCCTAAAGACACGTCCTGCAAGTTTTTTATCATTCATCCAAAGTCATGTCATGATAATAGATAATTAACACGCATACACTTGCGGAATAAAAAATCATTTGATAAACACATATTTAACTAAATCATTGTCTCAGCACTATTGCAGAATATCTTGCTAGCGGTTAACAAATAAAAATTTAGAGTGATTAAAAATAAATTGACCTGCTGAAAGGCAGCAGTGTGCCCGTGTTCGATATAGAATGTGACTTCTTGTTCCTCGTTTAACTTAGAATATGCCTGTCAAAATAGACGTTTATGGGTCGCACGTTCCAAAGAACTAGACCGTCGTCAGAACAACAATCGCAACGATAAGGAGAATGACGATGACAATGTAAAGAATAGTTACGAGGTCGAATTGGTAATTGCAGAGAAAGAAGCAATCGAGGCAGAGGTAACAAACAAAAAATAAGCGAGGAATGCGATCAACTAAGAACACACGCAGACACGCAAGTAACGGATTCCGATAGATTTAATGGAGTTTCGTATTCAGTAGTGAAAGATTTTAAATAAGAAGTGACGGGGCGAATGAACACCCTTTTGATTTTCTTTGAAATGCACACTGGTAAATGGATTAGCGATAACGATCGTCGCACTGCTGTAAACAGAAAGAAGCCACTGGCAATAGTAATCGCTATATTAATTCCTCAAAAACAATTAGAATTATCGATCACAGATACCTATTTGTAGGTATGCGTATAATTAATACTACTACAAATAAATTGAAATGATTTATTTTGACCGTGTTCCACGTCGATATCGCTAGGTATCCTAACTTCACTTTAAAGCCAATTAATTACTTAACGGATCTTCATCGTCTTTGACGCGCGGTCATGATAAAATGATCATCGTCATCGTTGCCCTTACATCGAGATTTTTATTCCTAACTCAGGTTAACAACGTATCTATAAGATATAATTCCTGTTTCGTATCTTCCTTGATTATAGCATATATACTCATCCAAGCTCATCCTTGGCCGTGTATATATGTACAGTGGTGATGTAGCTATACAGTTCACGATGGTCAACAATACAAACCAATATTATCCTTTTGCTGATAATCATTATGGATTTCATCAGTACACCACGAACTTTTTATAAATAAGAGATTCAATCAGATTCGATAGAACACGGCAAATTATTGCGTCTTAAGAAGAAATAGTAGCGAGATATGAATGGAATTTTTAAATAAGTATAATAGAAAGAGTGAATATATTGATATTTATATGGCCGCTTAAAAAAAAACAACTTCCGTCGAGCGGTGTTGTCAGGGGGGTAGTGAAAATATGAAAAGTGAACAGCTGTTAGCCAATCGTTATATTTGTCTTCCTTTGAACTTCACACGCGATTGGCTAACAGATATTCACTTTTCGTATTTTCATTACATTTGAGTTACACAATCGACCCCCAGAGGGCCTATCACGGTTTTCGGATTGGGTGAAAATTACAAATGTCAGCAATTCACCCAATTACGATCAATCTCACCTCGTGAAAATACGAGACTACCCGCGCGAGGAGCCTCGGTACGAAATTTCATGTGAAAAGGTGAAACCGACGCAGCTTACCTCGAAAATAACGCGTACGTAGATGATAGCAGTATTACTGGAGCGATGGAGAAATTAACGAATAAAATGGATAATTTAATGGTGATGCTATTTCCAGATATGAGTAGGGAGATACATAACGCTACGGTTTTAGGCGATACCAAACATAGAACTTATACTCCTGGACGGGGAATAGCCTACTGTAGCAATGAGTGGAAAGTGGCCCCAACATGTTAAGACAGATATATCTCTCTTCGTTCGTAACATTCAGTTCCTCTCACTACGTACGCACGCACTACATCATAACAACGGCTGCCTCCAATCGAATTCCTTCAGTCTTCATGTAACTCGCGTTTCGCGTTAGATTGGTTAGGTTTTGTTAGGTCAGTAAAATTGCGCATTAGCGCAGTGAGGGGAACTGGACGTTACGAAGTGAAGAAGAGATATGCCTCTGTTCCAGCATGTTGGGGCCACTTTTAATGCGTCATTCCTCTTCCAGGAGTATGAGTTATACGAATCCATTCGTGTTTACGCTGACTGCAATATATACTAGAACGATGATCATAAAATCCTACTTCCGCACTCGCCGCTACGATTTTGCGCCATGCTTTTGGTATCGCCTAAAACCGTAGCGTTGTGCATCTCCCTACTCATCTCTGCTTTTAACAACGCCATTTCTCTCTCAAGAGTATAAGTACTATGCTTAAACCGGTGTAGTTAATGCTGATCTAAAGGAATACTGGTACATCTCCTCATTGGAGGAGTCAGCTATAAGGAAAGGAACGAAGATCTAAAGGAATTGATAGGTCATAGGCATTTCTACTTGTGAAGAGTATTACCGTTTAAAGCTCCCGTGTTATCGCGGTTCAATGTATAAGCTTTTAACTATGCTATTTGCCAATCAGATACTTGTATTTTGAAAATAAAAAAAGTTTATGCATTGAACCGCGTTGAAGAAAACGGATTTTTGACTGTCAAACAGCAAACTTTTCTTCTATTAAACTTAAGTCCTCCATGATTTGCTGCTACACGTGGCAGCACCGTCTCGAAGAAGTGGCAAGCACTATAGTACATTTAACTACAGTAACTACTTACGGTTGCATACGATTTGCCTACAGTTTCTCAGCACGACCTGCTTACAAGGTAAGGTCTTCCACCAGTTCGAAGACTGAAATAAGATTGTCAGCAGTTTCTATAGGAATTGTTTACGATAAATTGGTTATTTGTTTGATACCTATTTTTAACAGTGTCTAGAAGGCCATCGCATGTTTTTCGTTACTTTGACAGTATAATGTGTTTGTAAATATTTCTATCATAGAAACTCTTGTTTGTTATTTATATTGCATCATCGTGTCTGTAGATTGTATTGTACATTTTACACCTTTCATCATAGCTTTTACTATCTATAAGTTATATCTGCATTTCTTATTTTCTTATATTATATTAGTTTTGCTTTAAGACTTGTACATAACCTTCATTGTATGTCAATTTAACCATGTACTTATGCATACAAATTTGTTGTTTCTGTAGAATGAAAGATTATTTTCATTCCAATAAGAGTCACTTACCTGGAAATAAGTTACAAAGCAACTAAGGATTAGATTTAACATACACCCATTACATGTTTGAATTAGTCATTTAACCCTGAAATAAATTTTAACTAATATTAATACAAGGGATTCTAAGTAATTTTGTCTGTATAAATTTCTTGATTTCATGGCTTCAACATTGAATCAAAATGAATTGTATCATATGAATGTGCCATTGCATATTTAATATTCAATGTATATATTCTTTGATATTATTTGGTACTTTACATAATTTCCAATCCTGTGAAAACTGTGAAAACAAGCTTACTTTATTCTTTGAGAATCTTAATGAATTACAGGACTTGTGTGCTCAGAAATATTTGTTGCTTTGTAAAATGATTATTGTACATATGTACATAATGAGTATAGACAAAAAAGTTGTGATCCTTTTTTTCCCCTTAGTTGCTACAAAGGGAATGAAGGACATTTACTGCCTTTCTCACGAACGATTAAAGGATTTGTTAAGAATTGACTAGTAGAATTTTGATTTACCATGGAGAATCAAAGTCATCATCATCAACTTCATCATACTCAACAATCCTTCTGGAAGAAAAATACTCGTGCTGTACCAGGAAGGTATTTTCGAAAATCCTATATTTTTAAGATTCTAACCAACCACCACATAAAACATTTTATTACAGACCTAGTCCAAAACAAGATTCACGTCAAGGAAAAACTAGCAGTGTTTCCAGTCTTGCTGTTGGTTTGGTAGGAAGTGTTGCTGCGACTGGAGGGAATGCAGGAAGTAGTGGAGGTGGGTCAACTTCATTTCAAGATTTCCAGGAAAGTGTAGATGACGCATGGGACTCTGGTGACGATGAATTTTGTACCGTGTCAGACGTTAAAATATCGAAAAGGGTCAGCCACTCGGCAGCTCTTAGTGTTATTAACAGTCACAGATCTGGTGGCACAATCACAGATCCTCTAGGAAATATAAAGGATTCTATTCAAGTGCAGGAGAGTATTCCAACAGACAAAAAAACAGAGGCTTTTCGAAGACTAGCTGCGCAACCATTAGAATTACGAAATGCCAACTTGAATAGTACTGCACCTCAAACTAATCACAATCAACATCCTGCCGAGGATGCGGACATTAAACTCGGAATTTCACCATACCATAGACTCGCTCAATTCCCAGGAAGACCTCAACCTCTGCGACAGTCTTGTGCGCCGAGTAAATTCTTCATACCATCCAAGGAGCATGGTAGCCTTCCTTAATGAATCTTTTAACCTAATGTAACCTAGCATAACAAATACCAATAATTAATGTGATTACCATTAACGTTTTAGACGGCGAAAGTAAGGTAGATAAATTTCAATCTCTCCTGGATACGTCCTTACTCAATCTCGATGAATTAAGACAATTATCTTGGTCGGGAGTTCCTGCTAAATTGCGCTCTGTCACCTGGAGGCTATTGTCTGTAAGTGGGCAAGGTACCAACAAGATACCGTCTTATTGCTTATTTCGTTTTGTTATATAACAAACCTTGAAGTGATTGTGTGAAATAAAGTATTTAAAAATCACCTAGGAATATCTACCAGCAAACGTAGAACGCAGACAGCATGTTTTGGAGCGTAAACGCTTAGACTACTGGAACTTGGTAAAGCAGTACTACGACACTGAAAGGGATGAAGCTTTTCAGGATACTTATAGGCAGATACATATTGATATTCCAAGAATGTCCCCACTCATTGCCTTGTTTCAACAACCAACGGTGCAGCTCATCTTTGAACGAATCCTTTACATCTGGGCCATACGTCACCCAGCATCCGGTTACGTTCAGGTACTATTAAACAAGTAAATTTTCATTTTACACGTCGAAATCTTATATTTCCCAGCGCTTATTCTTCAATTCGATTTATATTAAAATGATAAAGGGCATGAACGATCTCGTGACACCATTTTTTCTGGTGTTTCTGCAAGAGGCTGTGCCAATCTCAGCTTGGCAGGACTTGGAAAACTATGAGGTCGCTTCGTTGCCACAAGAGCAACGCAATATCATCGAAGCCGATAGTTTCTGGTGCCTTTCTAAGTTTCTCGATGGCATACAAGATAATTACATCTTTGCTCAATTAGGTATTCAGCACAAAGTGAATCAATTGAAGGAACTCATACAGAGAATTGACGGTACCTAACATCATTTATGCAGAATTGAAAAAAGATATTCTCATGTAGTTAAAAATATTTAATTTTTTCCTAGCACCACTTCATCAACATTTACATCAACACGGTGTTGATTATCTACAATTCTCCTTTCGGTGGATGAACAATTTACTGACACGTGAAATTCCACTTCACTGTACGATTCGCTTATGGGACACGTATCTGGCCGAATCCGATCGCTTTGCATCCTTTCAACTTTACGTTTGTGCAGCTTTTCTTCTTCGTTGGCGACGTAATCTTCTATTGCAGCCAGACTTTCAAGTGAGCGCAATTTCATGAGCATTGTTACTTAACATCCGACTGCATTCTTCATGTTTTGTTCTGTTATTATGATTTTCTATTTAGGGATTAATGTTAATGCTACAAAACCTGCCAACTCAAAACTGGACTGACTCCGAAATCGGAATCCTGGTTGCCGAGGCGTATAAGCTAAAGTTTACATTTGCTGACGCACCGAATCATCTCCAAGCGCACGACTCCAGGTGACCATTTTTCTATACGTTTGGCTAATGTTCTTGGTTGACTGGCCTTGGTATCCGTTCTGGCTTCGGTTTCCAGTGGTATAGGCGCCATCCGCAAGGTAGAGTATTCTCTAATCCACAGGCCCTTCGTTCGGCTACTCATTCGGTCTTTCGTCAACTTTGTTAAAGGAATTCTTTCATAAGGATTTATATCATCATTCAGATACTTGAATCATGTACAATTCGCACGACTTCCACATTGGAAATATCAAATCGCTCCAATAAAGATCATTACGAGCTAACATTATTCGTAGTTGGCGTACAACGAAATTCTTTAACGTTATCATTTGCCATCTGCCGATTTACGGTAGCTTTATATTACTCCAATAAAATAAGTTATACATATATATATATATATAAAATAATATATAAACAAAATGTTTTCTATATATAACAATATAATATAATCGTCACTGTCGTAAGATATAATGATTATATGACCATCTACATCAACTTGTATAATACAAGTTTATTAAACTTCGGTTTTGAGATTACATTTCTTTGAAGACTTTCAGTGAGAAGCCTTTAAAAAATTCCTAATTTCATTCTATATAAAGAAATACTAGATTTCTGAGCTCGTATCTGCTCCGATAATACATACTACATGATCTCATTAAGATTCATAAATACTTCAAGGGTTTGAAGTAAATGAAAACTATTTTATTCGCTTTTTACAGTACGCTTTTTCAAGTAAATACACCTAGAGGAGAAATTTATTCGCGTTAAGTGTCTTTCGATCAATCATCCTCCATGTCGATCTGAGCGTAATCCTCCTCCATAGGTTGCAGCACTGACAAGGCCTCATCTTCATTAAACGATTCCTAAGGAGCGGTATAGTGTAAAATTATAAGAATAACAGTGTAGGATAAAATTTCTAATAAATAAATATTAAACTTACATAATCCACTGTAACTGGTGTAGGATAGACACAAGGCATACACTCCATTTTAGTGACGCCGTCGTTGTTAGCGATACATTCACAATGTTGACATGGACTAGGTGAGGCACTTAGTGCGACTCTCTTTGAGAATACACTAGCAAACTTCTTAAGAGGACCAATTTTATCAGACCGCAGCTTGTTCCCACTGAATATGGTACCATTTGTTTCCAGAGACAAGGGCGTGCAATACCCAAGCACACTTTTGGGCAGTTTTACTTGTCGCCTGAGATCCGTATCCCCTGTCAGTATTCGTGCATCCTTCTTCGTGTACGATTTGGTAGCATCTAGCCCATAGAATATCTTGTTAAGACGTTCCTTTTCAAATTGGAAATTTCCATCCATTAATATGTGTAAAGTAATATCGTGTTCCAGAAGAACTTGATGCAGTACCGAAAAGTCCAGCTGTAAAGTATAAGAAAAATTAAAAAATGGTCAACAGAATTATACGAGTATCATGGATGAATCTTAAATAATACTAACAGTCTGGTTTCTCGGATCACAATGTGTACATGGCATGAGAATGAAAGTCTTGGAAACACCAGCTCTGAATACAAGTTGAGATGCAAAACCGATAGCAGCGAAAACGTCATCTGACCCGTCGCCAATAGGAATCCGCTGAAAGTAGTCGGGGAACCTTGCAACGCGTGTGGTGAACGGTGAACTATCTAAGACAATGCTCCTTGGTTTATCGTAGACTCCGTCACCACCAAAGACGACAAGGGCCCATCGGTTATCCGTTAATCGTTGCTCATTAAATTCTTTGTTTAATTGTGTCACTAATTGTTCTATGCTACGATTCGTTTTTATGTCCCGATTACATTCCTTGGCTTCGACGATGAATACGACGTCGGTTGATCTTGGTACCGAGTCTCCGTCAAGTTTCCGAAACTCGCCTTCTGGCACCTCACTTCCGTTAGTCATTGTACATTTGGTACACTTGTCTGGAATTCTAAGATAGGTATCGAAGAAGGCGCAAGCTTGCATATAAGCCATGGCAAGCGTACAGGCATTTCCATCATTGGTATTTGAATGCATACAGGCTTCCGCGTATGGTCCAGCATCCACTACGTTGAAGCAGGACGAGAGTTCAGAAGTTTTATTAACAAACAGATCTTCGCATATCTGACTTTTACTCTTGTTTCTCTTATTTGATTCTTTGTCTTCGTCTTCATTTAAAGAAATAGTGAAATCTTTGTGGATTGTACACTTAGATAACTCTTGGTTGAGAGACCAAGAACGCGTAAATTCTTCAACATCTTGAAGAAGACGTCCGTCAGAAGCTAAACGATCGGTTGCTTTTTCGTTGTCCATTGTGCCCAGAAGACCTGCAGTCTTTCCATGATACCATCCGGACAGTTCAAGAGTGCATAAGTCATATTTAAAATTGCATTCTAATTTGAATTGATTTTTACGTCCTTCCACGATCACAATATTCCCTTCCTGATAGACAAATGCCTGGCCATGTTCTAGCTCAACTGGTAGCTGAAGAACTGTGTCTGAATTCAACAGCTTCACCGTCTGCGCACGAAAAAGAAAAAAAAAATGAAGATACCAGTGATAAAAATAAGAGTGAGGTAAAACGAAATATTATTGTATGCAAAACAGTACTAACGTCTTTGAATATATCGAGCTCAATTGCTTGTTCACCTATGAGTACAACGAGGCGATAGGTGCTTGCAAGCTCAGAGATATTTTTATTGTTATCATCATATTCGATGAAAATGGCAAAATGGTTATGAACAAAGTCTCGTGCCAATAAGTAACGACACGAACCCACGAAGTCATAATGACGTTCATCAAAAGTCACAAAGTGTTGTGATCCAACGATCATTGCTTGAGCTGTACGAAATAGGAAATTACATGGTAAGTATATTAGAATAATAATCTTCTAATGACAGCTGTATATAGTACCTCGAAATGGTGGTAACCAATTGGTTGGTTCTGTGTACGGTTTATAACGGTAATACAATGTCCAGAAAGTTGTATTGGACGTGGTGAAGTATGATCCCATGTCGGCAATGGCTCTGTATTCAGGAATCTCTTGGAATTCAGGAGTTTGATTGAAAGCATGCCAGGACATTGGTAATTTTTGTTCAAGGCACATAAGACCTTCTTGTGGATCAAATATGAATTTTGTCTTGGCTTCTCGATATCGATTCTCTGCTTCTAAAGCTGTCAGACTAATGTCCATAAGCTTTGAATGGACAAGACGTATCGTACTTTCAATTTTCAATCTGACATCTAAGTACTCGTACAAGTATCTTGCTTTCTCGTACAACTGCTCCATTTTTTTAAAAGCATAATTCACTGATGGAAGATTCTTTAATTCTTGTACCCCTGAAAGTATCTCGTTAACGACATCCTTGAGTTCCTTGCCGAACGGAACGACCGTAAAGTATCTCTCCGTCAGAAATTGTATGAGGATACTTGAATATTTGTGAATGTTCGTCACAATATCGTTGGCCTTGATGTCTTTGTAGATCTTGTCCACGTCTTGCGTGAAGTTTGTGAAGCGGTCGAAATATGGCGATGTCATTAGCTCATTTCTGCGGTCGTAAAGAAAGTCGAGGATCTCCTTGCTAGCCTTCCACACGACGGTTTCCAAGTAATGGATAACTTGTATGAATAATGGTTCAACCAGTTTAAGGAACTTATGCCATTGTTGCGATAACCCAAAGGATAATTTGCTCCAGAGATTCTCAACGTACTTGATAAATGATACGTGAAGATCTTTTACAAACATATCATATTTTTCAACAAGCTTTTCAACAATAGCAGCTATTTGCGACACAGAGTCTCCCTTAAGAATTGCTGCTATTACTTCTGATATCTTGTTAAAGCCATTCTTCACAGTCTCAATGATCCACAGCAAGGAATTACGGATTGCTTCACCAGATTCACCCATTATTTCCCATATTTCATTCAGAATATTTGGCAATGATTCTATGTGACTACGTAACGACAATTCATCTATTACATAAACCACAATGAACGCGATATCCTTTATATAAAATTCATTGGCATTGTACGAATTGTTAAGATAAATCTTTAAATCTTCAAAGTCTCCTTCGAGTTTCTTAAGATCGCTAAAAGAACAAAGTTATTAATAATTTATTGAGCGGCTCACAAATCATTGATATATTTTTCTTGAATTATGGAATTAGCTTGATAGCTCGACTCACTCCCAATCTTCGACGAAAGCTTCAACGTCCTCTTGAGCATCGTCCCAAATGTCAGAGATGGCACTGACAGTTTCACTCTTAATATATTGCTTCCAATAATCAGCATCATGGCCTATACCTTCATACAAATTTGACATTGTCGTTTTGATGGTATTCTGGAATGAAATGAAAGTGGTATCATAAGACCCGAAGTACCAAAGATACTCGACTAATGCACTTATAAGTTAGTCAATATGTTTACAGTAACGTCCTGTCGAAGATCTGGTCGCCAACGTAACGTTGAAGTGACAAGTCGTGAGTGATTCAGTCGTAGATAAAATGATACATCAGAAATTGAGAAATCTTTGTCATACGTTCTCCAGATATCAAACACTGCACTGCGGGCATCTCCTATACTACCGTGCATCCGTAGACTCTCGAGCGCATCTAAGTATTGAAATAAAACATGGTTTAAAAAAATGTGCTTGGATGTGTACCAGAAGAAGCAAAGGAAGAAAATCTTACCAGGAGTAAAATTAAGCATCAGCCAAGTGAGCTTTTCTTGAATGTCCAGATAAAACGCACCGGTGGCATTGACATAAGGCGTATTGATAAGTGACCCATTCAGCACATAAACAGGATATGTTGGATAGTACCTAGCAGAGAGATACTTAACGAGTTCATTATTTTCGCGATGTAGTTCAATCTCGTAGTCACGCGTATCTAGGCGAGCCTTAAGTTGTCCATTCTCAACAGGCAGGAAACTGCGTTTATAATGCGCCAGATTTTCAGTTTCCAAAAGTACAGAAGAATATTTGCGCAAGTGCCCACTTACGGCTAAGTCGAGCCTGGTACTTGGATGCTTGCCGGATATAGAGTAACTGTACTTCCGTTCTAGAGGTCCTTCGCTGTCGTCCCGTAGGACACCTGAGAGTTGCAGGAGCTTTTCTTCACTCTGAGAATAATCCAGAGTCAGTGCAGCATTGACTAGGTCGCGTTCGTCAGTCTTTCCAAGTTTTCCTCTAAGTGTCACGTCTTTTGAAAAACTCGGATGTGTGAAACTAAGAACAGCATGCTGTTCACTAGTTCCAGTAGATGATAACACATTTGCCCATTGGAAAGCGGTAGCGATCGACCTAGGTCTTTCGGTGTCATGATCCCATTGGAGCTTTGCTTCAGAACTAAGCTCAGATTCCGATACCTTGTAGGAGCCATCAAGAGTGAAGTTTCTCTTCGGATATGCTAGATTCACGAGGATAAATTGATTATCTATCTCTTCGGTGGTTTTGTTGACGATGTTGAGTCGATAAGCAATCCATTCATTCTCAGCGAGACTCAAAGAACTCTTCTGATCGAATTCACCGGGTAGAACTTTATAATCTGCCTGCAGATGTACCGTGCGATTTGCGTGGATTGCTTTGAGATGGATATCCTGACCTATATCACTTGTTTTTATTCTGCATTCTCCGGCTATGTTAAAGGCTGTCCTGTTATTTAAACTATAGACATTTACTTGTTTGAACTCTACAGTGGGGTAATTGGTACCCTGATATCCTGCACTGTACTCATACTGATTCGTGTACACAATGCCTAGTGGACGATAAGTATTCTGAATGGTAATCTCAATGTGGTCCTTCTCAAAACCTGCCCTAGATTCGCTTTTCGACGTGTACTGTCCCTGGAGGATCTTCTTCGTGTTATACGTAAGCTCCGAATAGCCATTTGTGATTTGTGGACGTTTCTTGTAACCATAGCTTAGCAGGGCAATATGTCGTGTGCTCAAAGGAACCTCAAGCTTAAGAATGCCTTCGAGGGAAGAGTCGAGTCTCTCGCTGTGATAGGAATAAGCAGATTCCAGAATGGCTGTGTTGTTCGGCGAGAATACCTCGATGAATCTTCTGTTTTGTTTACTGAAATACAAATTATATATTTTCATTCCTGGGTATTGTATATATATATAGCGAATTGCAAAAGAAGTCCTACTTATGTGCTCTTACATGTTAGTGAGGACTTGGAAGTTACAGCCTATAAAGTCGAAATTTGCTATCGGTATGGAAGCATTGATAGTCCCATTGATGTTAAAAAGGTTAGCATAGGATAGATGAGCAAACCCTACGCGTTCACTTCCTGGATAAAATACTTCAGCACCGATGATGTTTTGGATCTCGGATGCCGGATCATAATTCAAGAGGACAACCAGAGTCTCCTCTCGAAGGAATCGTGGGGAAAACAATGAATACTTCACTAAGACATTCTCTTTATGAAATTTAGCATTCAAGAGACTATTCAGTGTTTGATTTTGTAGTAAACCCCACGTGATGCGAAGCTGGCCATTGATATCCTTGGAGACCATACGTATCTAGGAACAAAATTATACGTATCTAGAGGATCATTGCGATAAGTCTTAAGTGATTATTACGCTTAGGGAAACAATTGTATACCGATCCGTCAGACGCATAATTTAGTCTGGCCCGTACGGCAGTATATCCTATAACGTAGGAGGCATTCTGGAATCCATTATTGGCTTGGTAGCTGCAGAGAATTTTATGATCATCATTATCAGGAGGAGGAAGTTTGACAGAAATGACTGCGTCTACGTTCGCCAGGCTATGAAAACCTAGAGTGAAATTTGTGGCGAATCTCCAGGCTTCGTGATCGACGTTCAAATCGATCCCAGTATTCAAGCTCTTAAACGCTCGCCCCGGATTGTCAAAGAAAATTTGCACAACGGCATGTTTTGAAAAGTCGGGCGTCTGATAACTCACTAAAGCTCGGCCTGACATATTTAACATGTATAACAGAGTCCATGAAAGTGAAACTTCACTTGATTCTTCGTTCAGACGATGAGTCAATTGTAAGTTGCCAGTTTCATTTATCAGAAGCATATTAAGCCTTGTGATCAATGATTTCAACTCTGGCCAGGGTGTCGCTACGTCTACGTAAACTGTTGTATTCCCATCAACCTGGACATTCGTCAGTGCAATCAATCTGTACTCCATCCTTGAATTCTGATTAGATGTAATCACTTTGGCACGCGTCTCCCAATTTAAATTATTCGTATAGCTGTAGCTTGCGGATCCATCGAATTCTTGACTCTTAATGTCCAACGTGAGACCATATTTTTGTTCCCTCAACTCAAATGTCAGTTGGTTTCCACTCCTTTCTTTATTTCCATTTTTGGGTGCTACTTTACCCTCTATCGAAGTCAGCGCCTGCAGTTCGGCTGTTCGTGCAACTCGCACCAAACTTTCAAATTCATAAACTGTAGATGTTTCTCGATTCTCAATATCACCCTTCACCTGATAAGTCTGTTCAGACGTATCATGGTTCAGTTTCTTTATGGTACCGATAAATCGCAGATGCCCGTAATGAATCAGCGGGCTGAGTAGTTCAGCACTGATGGATCCATTCTTAAATTCACCAAGGAATCTATATTCCTGGTTAGGATAGTGCTTAATATTTGACGTGAGTCGAGAGTAGCCATCTTTCATTATTGTATTGATACAGAGTACATTTACTTCGATATCCCTAAGGATATCAATCCACGTATTCAGGGTAAATGAGACTTTCAAGTGATCGAGATCCTTGACATTCCAAATCCCGTGCAAGTTCAACTGAAATTAGAGAATTAATAATTGTTCATTATGATATTTATACTCAATTATAAGTAATGGAAGTGTACTCACAACTCTCGATACAGGATCATCAATTTTAAAATCAATGTCCAGACGTTTTTCATTGTCTGTGAAATCTTTCTTGATGATAATATTTGTCTTGGGAAGTTTTAGCGGTACGCTGTCGATCATGAGTGTTATTGCCGTGTCCAGATACTCTTGATCTAACTCAAGAGAAGCAGTCAAGTCGATGACGCACTTATCTGCTCGAATATCCAAAATAGTTTTGTACGTGCTCTCATCGATTTCAACGATAGTTTTTGCATTTAGGAATGGAATGATCTTTAGAGGTGTCTTCATCGTAAACTGTACCGTGTGAATCTTCGAATCATCGACCTCTCCTTTTTGGTACGTGTAATTTGCATTAAATCCGGCCTGGAAATTATCCAAAAAATATAATTTTCATTCTTTACAAAAAAAAGGTTCTTTCGGGATGGCATTCTTACAGTGAACTAACCTCTATCCAATTGTCGTGATTCTTCACTCTGACGTCCGCTTCCAGAAAGTACTTGGAATTTTCCGGGACAATAATGAAACCGTATATTGAAGTAATTTCAGAGTAACACGGGAAAGGAGTCTCTATGCTAAGATCATTTCTAATTGTGAAGACGTCATCCATGAAAAACTTGTCATCAAGTATGATTTTTCCCTGAGGAAGTTTTAGCGAACCCAAGATCTTGTAGGTTGAGTTTTCCTCGTCGATGTCCAGGGCTCCGATAATCGCTGGGATTACAGCAACATTCAACTGTAACATAAAAGAAGAATAGATGACGTGGTCATGAATGATGAGAGTACTTTTAAAATATCTGTACCTCCAAATCTCCACGCCAGAAGAGGTTATCCTGAATGTCCTCCTCTTCGTCCTCATCCTCGTACTCATCGTCATCTTCATCCGTACTACTTTTATCGTGAACAGTGCTACTCACTGGTGGATGCTTAACTAGAATACGAATCGGTGGAGGTTTAGAACCACCACTGACTTTTATTCCAACTTTCGTTTCTGCTAATCTCACGGAGAATTCAGTGTCGAGTTTAATGTCATCGCGGGGCGGCATACGAGCAATCAGCAGCTTGGTAACAACGCCGCATTCCTCGAGTCCTTGAAGTGGCGTGAAGAAAATATAGCTATAGTGAAACTCTGTAAGATTTCGGTAATGCCAAACACCCTGAAAGCCAACGGTAACGTTGTTGTAGCCAACCCGAAAGTCAGCCTCGCGTTTATTCAATTTGGCAATGAGGAGTGATCGCTGTAGTACATCAATTGGCGTGGCTAATAGAAGCTTCAGATGAAAATCCGATGATTCCGTGAATAAACGATACAGAGCTTCAAAGCCGATTGGTCCAGAAGGACTCAGGATTTCAGCTACGACATGCTTCTCCTTCTCCGAAAAGCCGAATCGCGCGCGTACAAAAGAATATTTTTCGAGTGGCGTAGTAAGATTCAATTGTACAGAAGATTCCTTGAGCTTAGCAAGGTCTCCAATCAGTTGACCAGTATATCTGCGCTTTTCTATCTGAAGATTGGCTGCTCCTTGGAATTGCCAGTTAGGCATGAAGCGCAGCTGGCACTTCATCTGCCCATGTCGATAGCTGTTTAACGGTGACTTCAACTCAAGGGTTCCAGTAAGGTTGAAGCCTTCGCTCTTCGGATCTGTTGGCCTCTCCAGGTACCAGAGACTCTTCGCGTCGATTACCTTGTCCGGATAATAATTTATTAGGAGTCGAGTATCCGCGGTGTTGTCATACGTTTGACTGTGAGTAAAATTCAAGCTGATATCTCGTATTGTATGGATGCTGCTATGGAATTCAGCTTGCGCATCCCAATCTGAACTATTCACATTCTCAATGGCGTTAGCGCTCAAGTTCAGAAGCACATGACTGGAGTCCTGCCAGTGCGCACTACCAGCAGCTCTCAGAGAAGTCTCGTTCAGCAGATACCTGTCGATTTCAATAAAAACAGACCGTTAAGGGGATGATCTCCAGATTCAAATTATTCAATAAATAACTTGAATACTTACCTAGCATTGAGTGAAGTTCTTCTCCAATTTTCAAACGGTGTTAACAACTGTGTTTCCAATTTGATAAATTTTAGTTCACGTTGTAACTTATACTCAGTGTCTATACCCAATTGAAGTGTTTTATCTGGACTTAAATCTAAACGAACATCCATCACATAGTTCGAATAGCCTTTCAGTGCCAGTAGACATGATCCGGTTATCAAACGACCTGGATAAGAAATTGTAAGACTTCCAGTGGCATTTTTTTCAAGAATCGTAATCTCCCCACTTGGAGCAACAACGACATCCGCCATTTTAAAGAATCGAACAGCCGTCGTAAGCTTTAGAGTCGGATCCCTGTTAGCGTCCCATTTCACGTCGAAGCCAAATTCCTTCTTGTTTGGCTCATTAATACCTCTTGCTATAAAGTGAATATCCCGCCAGCGGTCCAGATGCAGTTCCAGCCTGACCTCACGATCGGTATCGATATTTGTCATTGCCGTATACAGACTGTTCTTATACCTGCCTTCGACATATGTCATCGCACGAGACAACGATTGACTCGTATGGTTCAGAACAAAAGCGTACTTGTCCATATCAAGTTCCTCGAATGACATTTCAATTTGTAAATCGGTCACATCCTGGTAGAGCTTACAGTAGAGTAGTATGTCTCTTGAGAAACTGGGAGATTTTAATAAAAGTTTCAACATGTGATTGATTTGATTGGTATTCGATCGATCAGCATAGGTACCACGTGCAGTCATATTGTGACCACTGAACCAGCGTCCGGAGAAGTCAAGCTCGTATGCGTGTCGAGCTTTTTCATGTATTCGAGCGTCTATCAACATTGGCATAAAATTTGGAATTGTCAGGTTTACGTAAGCTTCCATTGAGAGCATCGGACTCCGCGAAGTCGATTCGGTTAATAGAAGAATAACTTCCTTGCCTGCAATTAGAGAGATATTATATCGAACATTTCGAATGCTTTCCGAGAGATATCGGTATTAAATATTTCATCTAGACACTTACCTGGCGCATAACGAACAAGCGCACGTGTATTTGAATCAGAACCAATACTGGAATGACTAATTCCAACTTTGATGTCAACATTTTTAATAGGCTTAGTAATGGCAATAAATGCACTGATTTTAGCACCTTGGTTCTGGAAGTAAGCCTTGGAATAGGTCAGTACCAGCTGCGCGGTCAGCTTGTGTCTATCGTCCTCTAGATAAGGACTCGAATTTATTTCGGTGTTAAGTTCAAGGTGGCCGAGCGCTCGCTGGTACCAGGACTTTACTACGACATTAAGCTGTGGATAAGCTGAAGATTGAACCTTCAAGTTAGCCAATTTGTGCGTCAGTGTTCTCGAGGATCGGTCGATGAGGGACACTTCCAAAAGTAGAGATTCGTTCTTCGGAGCACTCGATCCTGGCAATCCTTCCAATCTGTAGTCCAGCTGAATATTTCCAGCTATACTCATGTTCCGTATCATTACATATCCCATTACGTGACTTTGCAATCTCTTCGTCTGAAAGGTCAGATCTATGTCGCACTGGGACACATTGTGTTTATGTGCGTTTCGTACAGTTCCTGAAATAGCATTTATTTTTTTAATTTCTACTCATTGACAGACGTCTACTGACAATTTCCTCTTGAGTACTACCTGACAAATTGGCTATGCATTCATTATTAATAGCTAAATAGAGCTTCGGCGTGTAAATATATCCATAATTGCTCTCTTTTCTTACGTATCCGAACTGAGCATCCAGATGCTTGGTACCATTGACGTCTAAACCCATATCTACTAAGGCTTCGTCCTCAGTTCTCTTGTACGTTCCTGATAAATGAATGAGGCTGATGAAATTTCTTCAAGAATCATGCTGATGCTCACTCGAAGAAAAACATACCTTTTGCTACCAAGGAACTGCCAGCGGCTCGCAGAAGCAGTGTAATGTTCTTACTGATAACGTCGAGGTTGACGCTTGCACTCAATTCCCTTTTAAGTTGGGAGCCTGGCGTGTCAAAAGCCAATCTGATAACACTCCCATTCTGTAAAAAAAAAAATCCAAATTTTTGAGATACATAAATTCTCTATTATCGAGGCTTGCATTAATTAGTGATACATACCGCAGATCCCTGCCACTTGTACTCGAATAAATAACTTTTGGCGGTACGATCGGCTTTGATGAGGGACAGCTTAATTAGCGAGGGCCCATTAAGAATAAAGTAGGAAGCGTTTGGATTCTTGGTAACGTTGGGGAATTGATATTGTGCACACATTTTCAAACCGATTAAGCGATCCAAAGCAGGCCAGCTGCACGTAGTGCCGCTGATAATATGTGGATGAGAGGCTTTTGAATTTCCCTTTGACTGTACTTTTGAATTATCGTCAGGTTCTCCAGTAAGAAGACGACCTACTGGTATCTCCTCGACTTCCGGCCCATTACTGTGCACTAGGAGGACGTCTGTCAATACGGATAATAACTCAACTTTCTGATTAGGTAGACCAATATCGAGACGGGCGAGTCTTGCTCCTTTTATTTCAAGGTGCCCTTGCACGGCTCCGGAACTATAGACGTTTGACCGTAACTTCAATCCGGCACTTTTGTAAAATCCATCAATTATCATTGTGCCGGTTATGTCTAAGCTCACGCTGAAATGATTAAGAGACTCATTGAGTGTTATAATTATACCAAAGTCAATTTTCAATTAAATAAAGTAGATCATTTGGAGACCTTGGGATGAGCTTGCCAAGAAGTTCCAACTCTGCATGGCTGGTTAATCGTTCCAGATCGAGGGAACCGGAAGTTCTGAAGTTGCACGCTGCAGATCCGGTAAGAGCTAGTCGTAACGGCAATCCGGATGTTGTCGGTGCGATGTAACTTGAGTCCAAGAACATTGCTGCGTTCTCGTAACGTATTTCACCACCGGAAAGAATTTCTTTGATCTTTTTCCATGGATTAAGAGAAGCCAAGGTATTTCTGATCTCCGAGTCACCATCCATAACGAAGTACTTTAATTCATTGCCGAAAACTTTGTACGAGATACTGATTTTTGGTTGATCGAAATTGTTATCAATCAGATTAGGCAATCTTTTCACTTGTTTCCAATAGTCCTCTTGGTGCTCGTCCGGTGCCGAACGAAATTTTCGCAAGAATTGCTTCACGTGATTTCCTACCTTCTCGTTACTGAATGGTCCATCGGGGCCGAACAAATTTTCTGCATAAGTTTCCAGACCTTCCATTCGAACGGCGATTTCGAAGAGATTAACAGATTCGCCGAAGAGGTCAACAGTTGCATTGAGAACGGCAGTGCGCGGAATGTAAGATTTTGGTGAGAAAATTAAATTGCCCTGATAATTAGCACCGAAGTCAAACTCGTCTGAGAAGAAGGAGTTGTCGTAGTTACGTGAAAATTTCCGCATGTCACTATTGAACTTGGTACCCAGATCCCTGTCTGTCAGCAAACTTTGTATTTCGACTCTCGTAGGTGACGCTGAGTTCAGAAGATTCGTAAGGTGACTCCAAACAAATGAACCCACTAAAACACAGAGAAATTGCACAAAAATCTCGTCAACTTGAAAATAAGAATATCATGGCGAACAGGTAGCACGTTATATGCATTCGCAAAAAAAAAAAAGATATTGATCTCGCGCATGCGGAACTTTCAAACCGAAAGTGCTGGGGATCTGGAAATGTTATTGTTCCATTTACATCAGGAACGTGATACTCCTTGGGTATTTTCGCCCGAATAGTTTAGCCGTTTTTTGGAATTTTAGATAGGATATCTTGCGTGCACTTTTTTCATTAGCGAATGCATAAGACACTACCAGATGTTCCAAGTGGTCGCGCCAAAAAGTTAAAGATCTTGTAAAGCTTGCGAACCTTGGTTCACTTCCTCTTCCTTGAGAGTGTGTTTGATAGTCTTAACGACATTGTAATCAGGGCAACGCATAACTTGCATATACGAGGCAATCCTGAGTTCTGTGTCAAGTGTGTAGTTGCGATAATAGTCGAGGAAGTAGCGATCCCTGGTGAGTTGACAGGAGGGTAGTCTACGATGAGCTTCAATAGCTGCCAGTCGAACTTCCATCGGTACGAATCCCCCAGAACCATCTACGCATCTCAGCAAACTCTGTAGAAGTTCTGTAGTCTCCAACCCTGCATTTCCTACAGCCTTAATCGCTTCCATGGTCTATAAAAAAATAACAGTTTCCGGTTAAGTTCATATAATACTTACTAAGAACATGGAAGTATCTTAAAGACTTGCCTCTTGCAAAGACGACTGGGAATGCAGTCGCGGAGCGCAACCAGAGTCAATTTTTTTCTGAAGCTGAGCTAAAAATCTAACAATTGGTTCCAATCGGGCGCAGTCGCTATCATGGTTCACACAGTAGGCATGAATAAGTGCGGAGTAACTCAAAGAAAATTGGGCATCAGGGATTTCCTGTTGAAAGTCAAGGAGCGGTCCCAAGGCCCAAATGAGATCTCTGTCTGGTCGTGGAATCATGCCGAAGGTAGTCACCCACTTATCTATTCTGTCGCGTGCAATTCTCTTTTTAATTATGAGATCCTTCATCACCATGGCAGCAGCATTGCTGCCCATAAACGGTAGAGCGTCGATAATATGTTTTCTGAAAAAGAAAGAGATAAGGATACCCCCGCATACTACCATCACTACTACTACTACTGAAAACGAGATAAAAAGAAAGTCATTGACTGTTATAACAATGACAATACGCACCCTCCATTCTTGCAGATGCTATTAGCTCTCGCGAGAAGCTGTGATAGCGATGGATAATTGAGTACACGAGCCGAGTGTATGAACTTGGTGAAAATTTCAGGAAATCGTTGCTGCAGTTCCTCGTTAGTATCCAGGCTACACATATTCTTAAGAAGACTCCTGCTAGTTCGCAGCTCGCCATGAGTAGGTTTAGGCGTATCAGAATGATCATAGAGAAGATTACTCTTCTTCTCAGGAGTAAAGCTCTTGTCATCTCCCCGTTCCTGGTGATGCTCTCGCCTGTGGAAGAGATCGTCCGATTGCACGGACGCCACTTCCTTATGTTCCTCGATCAAACGCAACGAGGCGGTCGTATGTGTTTGCGCGCCAGCCTTTCCTCCGTTCGAAAATGGTTGCAGTAGTTGGAAATCTCGACAAACGACACTCTCGTAGATATTATGGTCAATTGTGATTTGACATTCGCTCGAAGATTCCAGAAGAGGCTGTGGAGGAGGTTTCGAGGGCAACCTGGGACTTGCATAAGCGTTAGACTGAATTATCGATAAGTGCTTGTATCGACGAATGCAGGTTCCAATATTTTTGGTTTTCTCAATCATGAGACTCGTCTTTCTGGCCTCCTGGAGTTTGTAATGTGTGTCGCAGATGCCATTGACATCGAGTTCGTTTACTTTTCTGTCCACGTCAAATCGCTTCATGGTATTTTGGAGCATTGAAAGGACACCGCGTTTCAGGTTGACTACCCAGATCGCATCCTGTGGATGAGGACAGACCTCCAGAATGTGCCCATCGTCAAAGGCAAAACGAAGAGGATACTTTTCGAGGCTCGACTTGAATTCAGCCCCGGCACGATCGGGAAATTCGTTATTGTATTGAGAACGATTCTGACTAATACTAGCATTAGCAAGTCTCAAGTATCCTTCGCACGCCGACGTGAACTCGATCGAGGCAGTGGCGTCGATATGAAGTGTCGACTCCTTTTCATTTCCGGGGGCGTCCTCGCTCGTATCTTCCTGAGGCTTGCCCAAGTTCGCATTTGAACTGACTTCGTATTGATATCGATACACCACGTCTTCCGCATACTTGAACTTTCGTTCGGCAGGCACTGATAACGCGAACGTCAGGATTAATAAATGATTAGTAGTTATGATATTGCTAATTATACTTACCAACGCATTTCCGGCGGCCGCACGATTCTGGATCTTTTAAGAACTCTGTAATAAGTACTAATTAGTATTTTTGTCTCACATTCTCATTAGTACGATAATTGTTAACTTTTCCAAAAGTTACCTCCTCTAGAAACGCCTAAGATAAGAACAGCACAGACAAACGACACAATCCACATCTTTGAAGACCTCATATCGCACGCAGATTGATCTTCCTCAGGAAGAAAAATTCATCGAATCCTCAGTATCATTGCCTCATACTCGCTCCTCTCCACAATCGGAGAATTGAGATGTAAATCGAATGGCAGGATGACGGTGAAGCAATCGCAGAGACCAAGTCTCTGAACACTATTCACTTGAGGCGAATATGAAGTGACAGTCGTTGAACATTCACCGAGATGTTGTAGCGTCCAGATAGGAACCGAGGGGCGAACTGAGAATGGTTGGGGTGCAACCACATCGACTTGATTGAACGAACGTACACTATCGTCACTAAGTAAGTGCTTCCTGCCGTAGCCGAGTTCGTCGTGAGAATGACTCTATGCAGCATCGAGGGATAGCTGGTCAAAGGTCTAAAGCGTGAATGCCGTCCATTTCGGGTGAAAGGTTACTCTTTCGATAAGATAAGTACCGGATACAAAACCCTGCAGAACTCTGGTCTAGCAATATATCTTGAAGGCTTGCTCTTATACGCATTTCACCGTATTTTAAAAAACTTCATCATCTGATCCCTCCAGTCTGTTGAGTCATGCTATTTTTGGTCTTCTTTTAAATTTCATTCTTGAGGAGATTCTAGCAAATGAGGTGGACAAACAAATATAAAAAAAGAGCAACATGAGATATTGATATGCATATACTTGCGTTTGTGTGTCCGGTAAGTGGTGTACTTTAAGCTCATGGAAGGCCTGATTAAAAGATATACGGTATATCTTTGTTTATCTAAAATCACAGCGAGGGTTCTTATCTTCCTTGTTTTTTTTTTGGAGGAAGCTTGTTTATTCTTCTTCTTCATTTTGTTTGACGACCAAATCTAGTTCCTAAATGCATCGTCGGCAGCCGTGTCTGTCCTATTTAAATAAACCTATGAGTTAGAAGGCGTCAGCATTACCTGGTGTGATGACGAATCCGTATTTCATGCGACACATCATCCTCTGAAATGGGATTAACAACTTTGATTCGACTATATTTATTATATTTACTTCGTGTGTATCTCTAGCTGATCTCTGCAATTCTGTTTATGCATATAAGCAAAAACATCGCGTTTGCCCGGATAAATATCAGAGACAAAGTAATCGAAGCGGAATACTAGTTCGTAAACAGTTTCAATATTGAAAATTTTACGTAAAAATTTAGTTTTCTCTTATTTCCTGCCCAGATAGCAAAATGAGCTCAATTTTAATTGAAATTGTAGTCAAGTCGTGATTCCTCAATATTCCTCTGCATTTAAATAGAAGCATTATTGCAATGCGATCTGGATATTGCGTGCATCCATAATATCAAAGAAAAATCCAATTTACGTCATTGTTTGATGCTTTTTAGAATTTACCAATTGACGTAGCAATAATTGTGAACGTTTGAATGCAGCATTGGTACAAAAAGCTACTTTTCTTAGTTGATTTAGTTTATGTGACAACTGATCCAACGTACTGTCAAGTCTTACTTCTATCAGCTAGACAACACTGTATTATGTCGTCGTATGTGTAGCAGTAGACAATGGCAATATTGTTAATGCATTTATCAACTTTTTTCTTCAGTGCCATTAATCGGCAATGTCGGGAAATGCTATCTACAATATCTGTAGTTGGTGAAAAAGAGCACGTTATAAATTAATGCTCAATTGGTATTTTGGAGAAAATAATTGAAAGCAAAATAATAATTAAAATAACTACGTTTACACGCACGCGTTTAAAAAAGGATTAACCAATCACATTGGGTTATTCTTTTTAAATCATACACACGATTGGTCAGCGGTCTGAATTCTTAGTCGTACGACTGACTTATGGTGGAGTTGGCAGCGTTGTTTCCGAGCGTGTCCTGCCCGCACTATTTTCGCGTGAATCAATTACAAAAATTTTTAGGTCCACGAAAACAAAAGTTACTTGCGTGTATAACGTTTTTTTAGTGTTAACCACGCTCCAAGAAAGTTTTGTGTGAATCACCATAACGTAAGGGAAAAAATAGAAAATGTGAGTGTTTTTAATATACTTTGGTCTAGTTAATCCAGAAATGCCGACTGCCATAACCTCTTGTATCAAATTGGATATATCAAAAAAACTTTCTTTTAGGTCTTCACTTACAAAACCCAAGTCAGAAATGACACCGGAAGAACTCGCGAAGCGTGAGGAAGAGGAGTTCAATACAGGTCCTCTGTCTGTTCTTACTCAGTCCGTTAAAAATAATACTCAGGTTATAATAAACTGCAGAAACAACAAGAAACTGCTTGGCAGAGTTAAAGCCTTTGATAGACATTGTAATATGGTTTTGGAAAATGTCAGAGAAATGTGGACAGAGCAGCCACGTACTGGCAAAGGAAAAAAGGTTGGTATATATATAGTTTAGTAGAAACACACTACCCGAAGTTAGCAAGCCCCTGTGAGTCTTATGGTAAAACCATGTTCAAGTAGTGTCTTTAGGCTAAATAACCTGATATATATAATTTCTATTATACATTTTAGATTAAAACATGAATTTTATTCTTTCTTTTCCAGACAAATCCAGTAAACAAGGATAGATTCATTAGTAAAATGTTTTTACGTGGAGATTCTGTGATCTTGGTGGTAAGAAATCCATCAGCTACAGCTGTAGGGAAGTAATTTAAGTTCACCTTCATTTTCACTTTCAATAAGACCACTTAAGCATAAGACGAGACTAATTGAAAATAAATTCATTAAAATAAGTCACGACATTTATTATAATTCCATTACAATCTACCCGTTGTATATGCAATATATGATTAATAAATTGTAAGAAATGATTGAAACATGACATTTTATTTGTTTATTATGTGCCTTACAATTAATAGAATCAATCCTTCTCAGCAATGGCAGTTAGGTGTTTGTCAATTTCTTGTTCATTAAGAACTCTGTAAAATCAACACATTTTAATATTAAAATTCTCATAACATTACAATATGTTATGCAAATGATTTATAGATGAAAGATTTACCGAAATTTAGGATTATCCTTGGTAACCACCCCAACTTCAATTTCTGAAGGTTTGAAATCCACAGACAATACAGTTGACAAACATGTAATAGCTAACTGTATAGCTTCATCATGTTCATAGTTCTGCTTCTTCTTAAGTTTCTTCTCAAGATATGAATTGGCTTCGGTTTGCTTAGCACCAACAGAAACAGCTCTGTAGCCACAGTAATAACCTGCTGGATCAGTCTTGTAAACACAAGGACCATTTTCTTTATCATATGCAATGAGCATCATAGAACAACCAAGTGGCCTCATATCTGCATTTTGCGTGTAAACTTGACTAATATCAGCAATACGTCTACATAATGTATCAACAGGTATTTCATAGCCATGTTTGTACTGAAAATTTGCAGCTTCATAACGTGCACGCTGAACTTGTGATTTGCTATCAGCTGTAACAATTAAAATATATATTAATAGTTCCAAAATGATATAAAAGTATTACGTGGCGTTACCAATCATTCCTGTCATGACACATCCAATGTGCTCAGTTAGTTGAAAAACATGGGTCATACTAGTAGCATCCAAAAGTTTATCCTGTAACAAGGTATATAATTTATAGAAAAAAGAACAATAATGATAACATTGATACAAATACTCTTCGAGTACATATAAAAAAATAAATTTTAAATACATAAGTTATACTAACAGGCACTTTTTTCTGTGTGGCAAAAACGGCGGTGTCGACGCCCTTAAGTGCAACAGACGTAAGACCTCCTTGATTGATAGCCTTAAATGCATATTCTATAAAAATAATAGATTAATATATCACAGGATCCTTTCAAAAGTGCAGATCACGCCATGTCATTGGTCGGCGAATAACAAAACAAAGAATAATTCAATACCCCATACTAATGGTATAACTAAAAACTTAATGAAATCTTTTGAATAAATATAAAATAGTTTCTCACAACTTACCGACTTGATAAAGCCGTCCTTCGGGCGAAAAGATAGTAATATGCCTGTCAAAACCAGCGCTACTGCCTCGCGACATGATTGCAAGTGGAGCGTACTGGAGCGAACCACAGAGAACTACACAGAATCAGAGCGACAATCACTAGTGATCTCTAGTTGGCCTGAGCCGATCACAGCGACCACTGCTGGCTGCATGGGAAATAGGCAAAAATTCACTGCCAGTACTACGAGTATCGTTATGTTCTTATTCGACATAAGAAGTCAATGAATATGCAAGAATCATTTCGCTTTGTAATTGCCCTTTTTCATTAGATAGCACGCATAGAACGCATCCCTAAACTTACACTTCATTCAGACAGAATGATTCTCTCAGAGATCTCGGCTCATTTTGGAACACACCTATTGGGATCTGCCGGTTAGGATTTCAGTTTCATATAAACCGTTAAAAATTTTATTATTTTTATGGTCAACCACTTTTTCGAAGTCCGTTTTGATTTTCTTTATTTTCCACAATTTATAAACAATCGATATTTATATTATTTATTAAGTAAAATATGTTTTGACAATAGTGCTATTTGGATATCCTGCTACTGGGAGAACCAGTGACTAGTACGAAACCTATGATGTGCTTTACAGGGGCCCGTCAACGAGTTGCGATAGCGTATGCTACGTGCGTTACGCTGGGTAGCACTATTTCCAAAACGTGGTAGCGTAGCGGGTGGTATCATTATTACGGAGTCCGGTCCAGTGCAGGTCATGTTACATAACAAATTATATATATTCTTTAACCGTACACTTTTAAATAACGGTTATTAAGCTGCCATTCAAGGGTAAATCGTAAAAGGAAGATAAGAACTTTCAAGTTACAGAGTGACGGGAAACGTAGAATATTATTAAAGTTGAAGAAATATATCAGTCAAGTCAGCACAATTGCTCTTTAGAAAGAATTGCAAGTACAATTAAATAAGTGCTTATCACACATTGTGTAATCAGCTCATTAGATTAAACTTTTCGAAACAAAGTATTTCTCGAGAAAATAATGTCTCTGAAAAAAAAGTAAATAAATTGTATAATAATTTATGGAGGTGTTTATTCGAAGGAAAAAGTTAATCGGTAATGATGGAACTTGATACTGCATCGCAAAGTGAAAACGGTGATTCTGACGATGCAACGAATTTCGATGCTACCGGTAAGATTTAAAGTGGTAATTAGATTTTCTAGCAATGAACCGACGCCTTGATTGAGGCTGTTTATTACAGAACATCAACATATTAGATATAATCCTTTAAGCGGCGAATGGGTTTTGGTCTCACCACATCGCATGAAACGCCCCTGGGCTGGCCAAATAGAAGTGAACGACGAAAACGAAATTCCTGATTATGATCCGCATAATCCACTATGTCCTGGAAATGTCAGAGCTAATGGAGAGGTAGTTATTGTTACACTAGCTAAACTCGTCCTACTCGTTCTAAGAGACGTGGCCTTTCCTTAGATTACACCAAATTACAGCAAAACATACTCGTTCGTGAACGACTTTCCCGCGTTGCTAGATACGGTACCTAGTCCGCCAAAATCCGAAGATGAATTATTTCAAATGGATCATGCAAGAGGAACATGTAAAGTTTTGTGTTTCCATCCAAAATCGAATGTTACTATAGCTCTTATGCAGGTCGAGGAAATCAAGGAGGTTATAAAGCAGTAGGCATTGCAAGTGTAATGTATAACAAATAATGGCGAATGTATATTTGTATTTGAAATATTTTATAAGGTGGATACGCGAAATGCTTGAATTGGGAAAGAAGTGGACTTGGGTTCAAATATTTGAAAATCGAGGTGCACTTATGGGCTGCAGCAATCCTCATCCACATTGTCAAATTTGGGCAAGTTCTTATTTACCTAATGAACCTAGGAAAAAGGACAAGTTGCTTTCTGAATTTTACTCACGCCATAACAAGCCATTACTCATTGATTACATGGAAAAGGAAATAACAAAAAAGGTAATGATTTCATTACTGTATCTATACATTGATTATTTGTTTCAATTATTAGGCCAGAAATATTCTAGGAACGTCTTGTTCTTGAAAATAGTGATTGGATTGTGGTAGTACCCTTTTGGGCATTGTGGCCATATGAAACTATGATTTTGCCAAAGAAACAAGTTATTAGAATGCAGGATTTAACAGCAAGTCAACAAGAAAATTTAGCTATTATCATGAAGAGGTTGTGCACTTTGTATGATAATCTATTTCACTGTTCCTTTCCATATACCATGGGTTGGCATGGTAAGCTATATTGCAATTCAAATAGTTACAGATTGCAGTTGAATAAACATGTATTAATTAAAGGTGCTCCAACTGGTGAGATTGGCCTGAGCAAGGACTATAATTATTGGACCTTTCATGGAATTTACTTTCCTCCTTTGTTACGTTCGGCATCAGTGAAGAAGCATATGGTTGGCTATGAACTACTGGCACAAGCACAAAGAGATTTGACCCCTGAACAAGCTGCAGAAAGATTACGCGGTTTACCAAACGTACATTACAAATTCCCTGAGACGAGTTTAGCGCCAGAAAAATAGATGAATTGTTGTGGTTATAGTGCGCCGCAGCTGTATAGTTCTTGCCAAAGTTTATTGTATAAAAATAATTTTTCTTTGTTCCGCAAGATAGTTCACATAATCGGATATAAAAAACGCAAATTGATCTCTCATTCGTGTAATCAGTATATTGGGAAGAGGGGATCAAATTTACGTGACCACGCATGGATACCTCCTTCTATATCTCTTATTTTTACGTTAGGATTATCAAAGTACTTTTGCAAACGTTTCACAGCGTTCTGAGAATCGTTTCCACGGCGACATAAAACAAACACTGTCAAAAAATTGCTCTTTTAGATTTTCAGGAAATTAAATGTAGATACGGTGGAACATAAAGATTACCTTCAACTATGTCGTCTTCTTGTTGTCTTTTGTTTACCTCTGCTTCAATTAATGCTAAACAACCGTCTTTCTCAATTTCTGTGAACGGTACATTGATGGAATTTTTTATTTGACAAATCTCGAATTCTTCGGGAGATCGTACGTCGATTAGAATATGAGGAGTTAGTTGTGAATTATACATTTTATGATAATCCTCGACGGTGACTCTTTCGTCATCTCTCAATATCTTCAAATCAGGATTTTTATCATTTGCTTTGGCGCCACAAAACTGTTCATAATCAATTAATTTATGTATCGTACGATTATTTCCACAAATGGCACAATTTAGGTTTTTTGGACGTAATTTTATGTTTCTAAATGTTGTTTCTGTGCCATCAAAGAGTAACAAACGCCTTGTAAGTACACCAGGCATTTCTAGTATAATCTTCAATGCTTCCAGAGCTTGTAAAAGTCCGATTGTTCCAACAGCTATAAAATAATAGACAAGAAATTATATCACTACGTTTATTTTTAAAAAATGAACAAGGACATAAACTAACACTTACCAGCACCAACAACACCACCATCTCCACAGTTAGTTACTGTATAAGGTGCAGGTGGTGTAGGAAATATACATCTGTAACAAGGCCCTTTATAATTATATACTGTTAACTGTCCCTCAAATTTTAATGCAGAACCAGATACTAAAGGTTTCCCACTGAGCACACAGGCATCATTCAGTAAATATCTTGTAGCCACGTTATCAGTGCAATCCAAGACAATGTCATAATTTTCAATTACTTGTAGAGCATTACTGCTACTCAGCTGAAGCTTGTATGGAATTATTTTAACATTTCTATTCAACCTAGACACATGAAAATTTAGGATTGAATATACTCTGCAAAATACAAATTAGTATTATGTATTATGTTACCAATCTGTGTGTACCGAGTTATAAACTCTGCAGCAGCATCCACTTTAGGTGTACCAATATTATCTTCTGTAAATAACAACTGCCTGTGCAAGTTATTAACTTCTACATCATCATAATCCACAATTCCAATACAACCAACTCCAGCACCAGCTAAATATAATGCAGATGGACAACCAAGTCCACCTGCTCCGACAATGAGGACAGATGAATTTTTTATTTTTACTTGACCTAAAAACAAATATTTTACATAAATCGTTTTCCCAAATCGTAATTGAATAGTTATTTGAATTATGAACTTTTAACCTTTAATATTAATCTCTGGAATAAGAATTTGCCGACTGTATTTACAAACTTCATTATTGCTTAGTCCATAGCTTTGCAGAATTTCTTTTTCTCGACGCAACGCAGCAAGTTTATTTTCCTTCTCATGCAACAGTTTCCGTAACTCAGCGATTTCCTTTACTAATTCTTTCTCCATTATGTTAAATTATGTTTATTTCGGTTGATTTAGCAAGAGCGCGTTATGGGCGCGCCATCTGGACGGAGGAGCCTTGAACCAGTCCCACGTGTGATTGTTCGAACGTATATACATTTTCTTTTACGTGATAATCATGTAATCTGTAATACGACGTATATAGGACATAGGACGTATTTTCCGTATATTCATACGGAAATCTGTTACGCTGCAACAAGAAATTTCAAGGAATTCTATATATTCTAGCAATAATGTGGAAAGTCGTGCGATGACTCACTGTACCGTTTGTCATCATATGCTCTTTATTATTATGCTATTAGTAGTGCTTTGACACTTTCGAAATTTATTCAAAATATAAAATTTAAGCTAAGTCAAAATCTCGCTATTTTCACTGAATTTGAGTTACATAATCGACCCCCAGAATACACACGTTTTAAAGTGCCACCCGGTATAAATCCATGCGTCTCACGGAGCTGCACGGAGCTCACGAATATCACGCGTAATATATCTATATATACTCGATCAATTAAAAACGTGGGTATGCATCGACATATAGTATGGACTATGCTATCCTTACTGCAAATCCTTTAAAAAAGTGATCGTTCAAATAAATAAAGAGGAAATGAGGTGGCATTTAGGGTTTATACTTTCGTACTACAGCTACTGATTAGAAAGAGACAGGACTTGGCCGCCACCATTTGCTATCATTTTCTTTCAGCCGACCATTTTTCCTATGTCCTATGGGTAGTCCATTCTATATATGAGCCGTTCAGTGCACACATCGATTAACTCCATCAAACAAAAAGTTGAGAAATGCGATGAAGTAATGTATATTGTAAATTACTTATTATTCAATGGCCAAAAAAATTGTGCCGTTTAATGGTGCTAATCTTTATTATTCAGGAAAGTTATTATAAATATAAAAAGTTATGACTATACCAAGTGCTTTGCCACTTAAATTTAAGATTTTTCAAAAAGTGGAGTTAATCGATGTGTGCACTGAGCGGCTCATATGTCGATGTGAGTATAGTTCGACGGCGCTCCGCTCAGGTGGCGCGTCGACGCCTAAATCAAATTGGTTACAAGAAAATCGGCCCACTGGCAATCTCCCTACTCATCTCTGCTGACTGTTCCACCGGCTGACTCATATTAGTGCATGATAGTCTACTGAGGAGTGCGGACACGCGCTTTGAAATAATAATTTTGACAGTGCTGTTCGCGCAGATCCGTTCTATTTCTTAGTTTTGATTTTCCACTTGACCATCATCTATCATTTTTCCTTACCGTCTCGTGCCTTCTGATGCTATTATTACGCTTTGGCGTATGCTTGAATATCTCTTATCTGCTCGAGTGTTTCTAGTGTTTCGTTTCGATTGTGCGATCCTCCTTACCCTTTGACAAACTTAATTAATCCGGTTAACTCGGTTGTCACTTCCTCGTGAGGAAGAGTCATGTTACTTGTGCAGTGAAATGGCCTCGAATGCACATAATTACGGAACTATTTGGTGTTTCAGTGTTCAGTGACTTCTCAGGGTCTTTATTATTATTTATTAAACGTGTTATACTCGAGTGATAATTAGCATAAAATGGTAAGTGAAACCGGTATGATATTTAATTTCGAATTAGTCACGCGCTTTGGATGAAATTGTGAGGCTATTCTTCGATCGGTTTAAATATATTTACTGATATCTTATAGTAACAGATGACACTATCTTATTAAGTTTAATCGAATTATAGTATACTATTGTACTTGTGTATTATATCTATTTAACCTTTGTGTTACGTTGATTAACGCAATTAGGACATAACTTACAAAGACGTTTGAAAACTTTACAAGAGTTCCATCTACCGGATACTGGTGGCACGCGAGTGAGAAAAATATGAATTGCATAGAAGCAAAATATAACATTTAGTAATATTTAAGATTACGAGATATTCCAAAAGTAAATATTCTGTTTGGTGTTGGAACAATGGTCATTGTGACGTTCCAACCAAGCACACAGCCATATAAATTCATACGGAAATCTGTTACACTGCAACAAGAAATTTCAAGGAATTCTATATATTCTAGCAATAATGTGGAAAGTCGTGTGATGACTCACTGTACCGTTTGTCGTCATTGAGAAACGGATCTTAACGAGAATTGAATGACGACTACAGCCAATGTCAAATTGACAAAGAATCCTCACTGTACCCGAGCCAACGTTAAGATTTCTCAGGTAGTCGATGATGCGTTTCTCATTTCCAATGCAAATGGTGATCTTACTAACAGTTACTTCCATCGTAGTCAATGTGATTTCTGCTCAGTCTCCATTTTAATTCGACAAATAGGATTACGACTAACAATCCCACACGGAATGAGGCGAAGTTAGCGCAGCTCGCGAACCCGTTTAATCAGGTTCAGTGAGCTAGTTTTCAAAGGGACAGAAAGCAGAGAAACCTGCCGACGTGACGTTTCTCATATGTATCATATGTCTAATTATAGTACGTGCAATTACATATCATACGTCATATACTTAATATGTCGAAATAAAGTAGAATTTCCGCAAAAGGATTTAATTGCAGAATTAAAAACTTCATATGTTACAAAAAGATTCACTTAAATGTTGAATAGTCAATTTTTATAGTGACATTAAGATGATTCCAGTACTAATAAATCATTTGGATGTTTTCCGATAAGAATTCTTCAGCAGTCCTTTAGGAGCAGTACTAACGCTCCTTTATAGCTAATCTATTAGAAACATTATCGACCAAACGTCTCAGTCGGCACGTTCGCGAAGAGGCCTTTGGAAATTTGTCACGGAGTAGGTAGAGAAGAAGGAAAAGTTGTTTATTCCAATGAGTGAAAACACCAACTGTGAACCGGGAATTAAATTACAACTGTCTCTTGAAATAGACTATACCCCAATGAGAGTGTAGAATTCTCTTGGAATACAATGCACTTCCCGGATTCGGTGCTATGCATTCTTAGAAATGCGATGCAGTCGCGAGATGCGTTGCTTGCAGTTTGCGTGTTCGCAGTGAACGAAGCTTCTGGAAAAATGAAACTCCTCTAGATTTTAACCGCTTCCTGCAGTTTACATTCCCATACGTATCTCGAATTAAGGGATCATTAAAGTGCGACGTGTGTTCGTTAGATTTCGCTGTGCTCAGTTGTTTTTGACATCCAATCTGATTATAAGGGAGAACTGCGCAATGTTAAATACACAAGATATACTTTTTTATTTTCCTTTTGTGTTATACGTCTGCGTTAATTCGCAGCTTGGCTTACTGTATACAAAGATAACGAAATTGAACGATAAGATTTTTTTGATACCGATAACTCGAATAAGTCACATGCCCATAATAATTGATAAAAAGAAATCAACTGGCATCATTCCAGAAATTTAGAAGCGTCTTTGATGCTTCAGATTAAATAACTGTTGATTAGTGATAATACACCAATTAGCTAATTGCGTGTTGAACTAATGAATGTCACGAGACTGTTAATCGACACCGTTCGAACGAGTTTCTAACGACCATAAATATTTCAAACACTTTTCACATATTTTTTCTATTTACACAAAAGACGTCACTTTTGTTCTTCGATAAAACTTTATCTGTGCGTTTTTTAAAACCCCGTTTATCCGTTGGCAAAACGGAGCCAGTTGTTACTCTACGTAATATAACTTGAGCAAGAGATAATTCCATGACGAGAAGAGAGAATCGTATTTGCAGCTGGCAGCGGAACTGCGGTTAACGAACAGACAGTTTCATCGTACCGCACCGGAAGTGTGGAACCACGTTTAGCGTTCGATTCTCCGGTCTTGCGCGCGATTTCTCCTCTTTTCTCTCTGCATCTTGCCTCTTTTTCTTTTCTTCTTCAAATCGCTATGTGGTAATCGGAAAAAAGTTTTTGATAGAGGTATCTCTCCCTCCTGCCCCTTTAAAAAAAAAAATTGCGAAATAAAAACATCTCTACTAATTCACGCAATTTTACACTTTGCTGCATTCGCATGAACCAGACATCCGGTAACGCTTGTTGATACACCGAAATTAAATCTCACAAACCGGAAGTCGAGCTGCGAAATAATTATGTACAATAGCAAAAAAAAATTTATACCTGGCATCCATTTGTACACCTATTTTCTTTTACCTGTGTACTATATACACCTTAAATTGAAGATACGTAATTTATAAAACATGATCTTAAGTAATTTTCATTCGAATTCGGATATATGGATCCGACGGAAATAAATGTTATTCGAGTGTATAATACTTGGAGGATGGTCAACCTCTGTATTTAGAAAATGTCGAAGTCAACCGGCTTCTCCGAGGTTCGTGACGCCTTAGAGCGGCACCATAAAATTGTAATTGGATTACCGGCCGTGCCGTCGAGTGACTACGTTAGAATATAATGATAATAGTAGAATAATAGAGCAGAGCAGGGCAGCAGTGTTAATGCTAAATATTATTTAAAAATATTGGGATTGACGAACATTGTTTCTGTAATTTGCAGGTTTATCATTGGCAGAGTCAAAATGTCAAGGTTTCCGGAGTGGACGACATGGTGTTACTACCGAAGGTCACCGAGGAAGCCATTATTGAAAATCTTCGAAAACGATATATGGACGATTACATATTCGTATCCTTTGCTAATAAATCAAATCACGTATCGATTCCCTCATCGAGCTGAAGCTTGATTGGCCTAAATTTGAAACCTGAACCAAAATGCTGATGGATCGTTTATCAAATTTCCTGCCGTACATTAAAGGCAGCCAAGCCCAGTTTTAATGATGGGATATGCTATTATACAGGACATGATATATGTCCTGGATGCTATTATCATGGTTGACTCAAGCCGTCATAACGGAGTTACATTACGCTCTCTACTTTCTATCCTGATTTTTATTTTCTCGATCGAGTCAAAAAAATTAACCTTTCATATATTTTCCTCAACCGTTCTTAAGACATGTATCGGACCTGTTTTGGTATCGATCAATCCTTTCAAGCAGATGTCATATTTCGGTGAAAAAGAAATAGAAATATATCAAGGAGCCGTAAGTTTATAATGCATTTTATTATACGTATTATATTTTATTTATGATAATAGGATTAAATGATAATTTGTTTTACAGGCACCATACGAGAATCCGCCCCATGTCTACGGGCTGGCAGATGAAATGTACAGGAATATGCTGATTGACAGCGAAAGTCAGTGCGTGATCATTAGGTAAATAGAGGGATAGTTGTTTAAGCATATGACGTGGAAATGCTGAGTATCGTTGATTATTAACAGCGGTGAATCCGGAGCTGGGAAGACTGTGGCAGCCAAGTACATAATGTCATATGTGGCGAGAGTGAGTGGCGGTGGGGACAGAGTGCAGAGAGTGAAGGACGTAATTTTGGAATCGAATCCACTGCTGGAAGCTTTTGGAAATGCAAAAACCATGCGGAACAACAACAGCAGTCGATTCGTAAGTGATTAGCCGGATCGTATGAATGCGACGACACAGATTTCATTTTGGTATCTGGAACGTCCTAGAAAGAACAGGTTGACCAAAAGTTCTCTTGGTCGGTTCAATTTGAAACCGGCTGTATAGGTAGAGACTCCTTTTCTTTAACTGGGCCATATAAAACGCGGGTTACGGGAGCCATTTGCATATGACTTGTGTTACGCCATGCATGCCACAATTCTTTAATGGCGGAAACTTTTCTATTTATATAGTGTATCGTACAGCTGTTGCACAATTGACTGATTACTTCGACTGAAGAATTAATTAGGAATATTTTGAGAAATGAATAATCCAACTTTTATTTTTCAGGGAAAGTACGTGGAAATGCAATTTTCATTGGGTGGCCAACCCAGTGGTGGGAAAGTATCGAATTTTCTGCTCGAGAAGTCACGCGTGACGTCACACAATTCTGGCGAGAGAAATTTTCATATATTTTATCAACTCGCCACAGGCGCTAATCAACAAATGAAATGTGAGTGTATAGAAGTTATTGTGATTCGTAATTATTTAAAACAGTTTTAAAATGTCAGATAGTAAGGCGTTATATATATTTTGGATTTTAGCGGATTTCGGATTGACTGATCTCGACTATTATCACTATTTGAGTTATGGCGGAAATCACAAAGTCGATGGAACCAATGATGCACGGGACTTTCAAGAAACCTTGAAAGGTTAATAATAGATCCTTAAGGGAGAGATTTATTATCCACGATGACTGTTTAATGTTATCGTTTGCGTGCTTTTAGCCCTGAGCGTGATGGGTATCGGGGACGCAGAAGTGACAGATATATTGAAGCTAGTAGCAGGGATATTACATATCGGAAACATTCAATTTATGGAAAACGGAAATTACTCCCAGGTCGCTGATGGGCAGTGTGAGTAGTCAGTGGCATATATTCGTGAACCATCTGGCAAAGTCATTTCGTTGTCTCCCTGAAACAGCTATCGTTTAAATCGATAGTTGGATGCGATATCTCGAGATACCTGCGTTCAGAAATACGTGAATATAAATCTTGCTATGTTTCAGTCCTTGAGTTTCCTGCTTACCTTCTTGAGATATCCGCCGAGCAATTATCTCACAAATTGATCTCGAGACAATTTGAATCGAAATGGGGCAGCCAATCAGAGAAACTTGACGTTACTTTAAACGTCGAGCAGTCACTTTACACAAGAGATGCATTAGCCAAGGATGTGTACACCAGGCTCTTTGATTATTTAGTGAAGGTAGGTATTGTTATTTTGAAGAAAGACCTTAAGACAGCTTTACATTTCAAAGTATTCGACACTTAGGTATTACGATACTTTTCACTATAGAATTTCGTAATTTTATTTCTCAGAGAGTAAATGCGGCAATGGAGACCACCGGCAATGAATTCGACATCGGAATCCTGGATATATACGGATTCGAAATTTTTGAAAGAAATGGATTCGAGCAATTTTGTATAAATTTTGTAAATGAGAAGCTCCAGCAAATCTTTATTGAACTTACTCTCAAGGCTGAACAGGTAAGAATATCCACTGTCGATTACAATGCTTGACACAAGCCTTAATCTGCACGATAAGAACTTTGAAAAAAACTATGACTAACTTTCCACGAAAAGAGAAGGCTACGTATCAACTAATTGATTATTGGTATGTCTAATGGTATCTCATAGCGTATACATATGTGTATCCGGAATGTGTAATAGTATCTATGAAGTTGGATTGGAATCCTGGATACCAGTATACATAGTACACACACTGTGCATGGATATCTGCACAATAATTGATTCTCAGGAGTAGTTGGTTACATAATTCAATAATATTCTCCATTTTTAATATCATAGTGCAACATATATTATATATAAATAATTGCATCGGGCTATCGTTACAAGCGCGGGCTGTCTCATCCCCATACATACTTGACAGTCTGAGAATGGTGTTGTCAAAATTTCCTAAATACAAATCACAGCAAAAATTATTATACAGGAAACTACGTTGCCGCGATTGTCGATCAGACGAAGATCAGTCGCTCATTGTGGAAATATCGTTAACGGTATAGTAGAATCTCGTTACCATTCTACAGAATGATGGAACGTGAGTCAGACTGTCGCCTGATTGCGTGTCGCCTCTTAATGAGGTTTAACAGAAAGTCTGATTATAAATGACTCGTTAACGGGTCTATATGCTCAATTCAATATCAATAGACAGGTTACGTGACCTTTTCGAATACTCATAACCTCATTAACGAATGTTAAGTGTAAATAAGACAGATTTTAAAACCGTCCCCGATAACGTAACATTAGGTGTACTCGAGTGACTCATAAACTTTTATCTTTGCTCGTCTCTATGCGAATCATACTGACGCGTTACGTCAGCAATCAAAATGATATCGCCCTTATTTGTCTTATCGACATTACGAGCGGGAATGTTGAATCTTTTCACACTGTTGCGGTTTTCCGTGCGCGCTTTGTACATTGTCCCGTGCCGAGTTAACCAGTCTGCGCATGCGCGCCACGAAACACGAGACACTTCCGTGAATCATCGAAAAGAGATACTGACCGGTTCTCTTGTCAGGCTTCTTTTTCTTCTTTATTTTTCCATTCCTCCTTTTTCTACAAGAATAACGAAACCGCAATCGTTCTCATACGTCTGCGTATCCGTAACCCGGCAGAATGTCAGTTCTGTGGGACATGTACTTCTGCACTGGGGTAGTTTGCGCCATAGCAGCCTGCCGGGGATTTCTGCTAGGTGGCGCTGGAATTTGTTTGGGCAACTCGCTCGACGTTACCATGGAATTTTCCGTGGTCGACGGATCGTCCATATCGCTTAACGAAGAGCCATAGCTCTTGGTATTCGAATCAGGTCGACTCGCTTGATAATTCCTGGCGGTTTGCAGAAAATTCTCACGATCCGTCGTAATGGAGTCGGTGGTCGAGTAGAATTTTTTAGGACGATGATCCTTAATCGGGTATCCCTTGTCCGTCTGTTTCTCGAATGATGACGTCAGTGTCTCGCCAGGATAGTACTGTGCGTTGGATGTAAAATCCTTGTCGACTTTTTCTGTCTTGCCTCTCAGGTTCACGTAGACCTTTGGTCGTCCGCTCTTGAGATAGTAGAGCTTCTCGTCGAGGTCCTGAATCCTCGTGGAGGCCAGAAGGGTCCTCTTGTCCTCGGAGCTTTTAAAGGGCCTAGGACGAAGACGGGGCCGCGTCTCCTTAGGGTCCAGGGTCACGTTGGCGTCGTTCCTTATAATCGCCTGGAGTATGTTATTCAGATTGAACGCATCGACGTCAGCCCCGTGCAGCTCGATCTCCAGGAGTCGATAGTTATCCGTATTTGGCTTCTCGACGTTTGTACTCTGTCCGTGAAGTGCTTTCTCATTGTAGAGCTTCCTGTCGACGATCTTCTCCACGTCCTGGATATGATTCGGCGAGGACGGAGGCCTCGGCAGGACCATCGCCGAGAGGCTCATCTCCAGAGTGGCCAATAATATCCATCCCCTGATGTTCCACGACATCCTGTAAGAAGGACGATTATTAGCGAGAGCTGTAATAATTGTAGAAATCGAAATTTTTTATGAGATATCATATAATTATTAGAAAATTGTTCACTCCGAATCAAGCGTCATGGCATCTAGAGCGAGAAGTATAGGTGGCCTTACGTGCTAACGAAATAACACGTTATTAAAGTCAGTGAAAGTTCGAGTGCACAGGTGTGAGAGAGAGAGAGAGAGAGAGAGAGAGAGAGAGAGAGAGAGAGAGAGAGAGAGAACGGAAGAAAGAAAGAGAATGAGCAAAAGCAGCGGCGCAACAAAACGCTACAATTTCTCTTATTTTCTTACGTAATATGGGACGCGTGTCCGCGCGCTAATCAAAGTCGATAATTAAATACCGATCCGGAATCGTTTTGTCGTCGATTTAACGGATTGGCTCCCCAGTCTTTTTTTTTTTTTTTCTTACGTATAATCTGTAGCTCCTGTCGGCAAATCGATCCTCTGTGGTTCTCCAGGAAATCGGATTCGTTCCTGACATTTGATAGTTAAAGCTGCTTTACGTAATGGGATATCGCGAGGCGACCGGTTTTCGAGGGAGAAAACATTGACCGATTCCCGTACTTTGTACTGATTCGCCAATCGATCAGCCATACTTGTCCTTATACGCGCCTGACGCGTTCTCACGCGGAGTCCGAGCACATTTCACTGATCACCGTTCATCCTAATACATCAGAAATACATTACTGTAGAGAATGATCGATCGGACGAAAAGGTTCGTGCAACAGGTTTTCGTCCTCCCGCTAGAAAATCGGCGTGACTCGGTGATTTCTCGGGATTTGTCCCGTGTACAACGGGAGAGCGAAGGGTCTTGTTTGTCTTTGTTTGCTTTTAAATGGTGAATTTATCAAAAGTTCAATGATTAGTCAGATCTCTGTCGTGGGTGTGGTTGGTCTAGCTCTATGTATAGGTTCTCCGGTGCAACTGGTAAACAGGTTTTCTTAAAGAGTGCAAGTGCATTGGTATCACAGCCGGTGAACGTTTGCGTCTACCTAAGAGCCAGAATCGCGTGCACGTTCATACCTTCTCTTTGGCATGGCCATCGGGCTATTTTATTTTCCCTCTTTATTCCCTGATCATTGATCGGTCCCTTCACTCACGAACTACCGAACTCCCGATTTAACCTAGTGCACGGCACGACTCTCGTTGACTCGACTTTAACGTCACTTGGCCGATTTCAAGAGATCGATCACCGATGACAATCCTGATCCTTCCGTTCGCAGGGGATCGGTGGGTCCATTGGGCAATCGGTTAAGCCTGCTATCTCGAACTCTATCGGTTTCCTCCGGCACGGAGGCACTCGAATAAAAAGACCGGTTGAGGAAATCGGCGAAGTTCACTTTCCTAGACTTCCTTACTTGGTCGGTAATTGCAAGGGAACTTTTCTGTAATTCGCATGATTATCGGTAGAGGGATCGGGCTTGTAGGAAAATGTGGGGAATCGAGTCTAACGACGACGTCTCGAAATTAAAAGAATCGGCAACAGTCACGACGCTTCCTGTTGCCCGACGACGCTTACGACCTCCGTCGATTCCGTAGGAAGCTGGTTTAATTTCCGTGAAAGGTATACAAAAAGGACGAAGAATCTTTGTGGTTGGATTTATAATGAAAATTGTGGTTTCCTAGGATTAGCTCGATTTCGAGGAAAATATTGTAGAGATTGCACTGTTTCGTGATGGGTGGAGGAGATTGGGATTGGTGGACGATCTTCTGGCGTAAATGATACTGATAAATAGAGGGGAGTGATAACCGGAGGTTCCGATGGGATTTACGGGGTGAAGTCATTCGAAGCGAAGGCTACGTATCTGGATTAAAATCTAATTTATAGGTTAGGTTAGTCGTACGTTTCTCGCTGTCCTTTAGTCGATCCTCCCACCAAAATAAATCGATGGATCGTAGAGCATCCGACGAATGGACGTTACTTACGAACCGCCAAATCCTCTCGATCCGATTTCGCACTCAGTTTCTATTATTTTGCCGCCCTCTCAATTGACGATAGGATATACAGCAAATTATTTGCAAATCATTTTAATCGTCTTCGGACAAAGATTCGTGGAATTCAACGAGCTGGTAAGATTCGCATCTGGCGTCTTATGGAATTTTTCAAAATTCCCAAAGAGGAACGACTATCGTCCGCAATCTAGTCTAGAACGAGAATTCAATAACGTCCCACTAGTTTCGCTTTCCGTATCGATAAGCGGCTTGAGAAAGTCATTTTGTCGAACGTGATCGATATTCGATAACCAATAGAAATCTGTCAATAGAACGTTACACATGTACCGTTGAACGTGGCGAACTTCCTCTTTTGTGTCTACTCCGCGTTTTGATTTTGCACGAAATAACGAAGCTGCATGCAAAGACCGAGCCGAGTCTCTTGTATGAAAGTGAGAGTGGTCAAGGCCCAAGTTACAGATCCCTCCTCTGTTACAGATCAGCCTGTGGTTTCACCTCTCTTCTTATCTCACTCTCTCTCATTGTTAGCAGATCGCTCTTCCACGTGTTTGCTCTCTCGCTGATCTTGCGTAATTATTGTATACGTTACTTATAACCAGAATAGGACTGTCTACTGACTATAGAATACGAGGAGTCCCGGTTTCGACCGTGAGTTGGAGTCGTGTACAGCAGCGTACATTTTGCCGAACCGGCAAGGACCACTTGTTCCTTTTACACCGACACACGCGCCGGCCAGTTTGGATCGCTTGATATTAGAATCGATAAGAAGTCACCTATGCAACACGCACGCCCCAGTATCCCGAGGGGACATGTGTCAATATCCCTTTTTTTTCTTCTCGAACTACGTTTCGTGTTATGAAAAAGACAATGTTGTCGCGTATTTAGAGGAAGTATAGTACCGATCAAAAATTATTTTCATTTTTTCACTATTTTAGGCATCAGCTTTTCTATGTACTTTCAGTATACGTACCACAGTTAGTTTGCCTAAGTGCAAAGCCCTTGAGTTATTTTTTCTTAATA